CTTATTTGTCAGGCCAAAGTTGCTAAGGAACCACTTGGCGTTACTTGGCCTATAAATGGATCGCCAGAACAACTTGTTTGGTTTATTATTATCACATTTATCCCTTCTATTAGCACTATGCATCTGGTTTCATTAATCATTTTGACTATGGGGTGAAATCTCTTTTCTAAAAATTCACTTAGGAACAGAACCATTTAGCATCACTGGAGTTTCATCATTTGTAACGATGACAGATTTGTACTAGTAAAGGTATAAAATTCATATCGTTTGACTTCAATCTAAGCAGCATACCATTCAGATGGATCCTTATTATTTTTTGTTCACTAATTTTTTTGCAAATTTTTTAAAGTATTATTTATTGATTTTATTTATCAATCTATTTTATAAAATTATATAATAAGTAATACTTATTATATAATTTTATACAAGCATTTAATACAAATTTTATACAAGCTTTACAAGCATTTAATACAAACTTTTTCGTCAATGACTTTGTTTCTAACTTCTACTTTCCACTTTATTTTCCCTTAGCTGCCAAATTCTCCCAATTCCCATCATATATTTTCATTAACATCTCGTCCTATCATGTAGCTTAGTGCAACCTTATTGCAGGTAGGTCATGGCCACATTTGACGAGTCTTCAAGAAAAAATAATTGAGCTGCTTGGTACTAAATGGGTTTAACTACCCTTAAGATGGTAAGTTTTGGTGTTTATCAATGGGATTGTTGCGAAAATAATGGAATTTGGTAGGGTATTTGTGAAACGAGGGAATTTGGAGAGTGTTTTGGAGGCGATCTTAATAGGATTTAAGGTGGATTTTTAAAAAAATATATAAATGATGTAAAAGTTTGGGAGATATTAAATTCAATTGGTTTAGAGGATTTCGAATTTAAAGCCACTGATCAATAAAATGGTTCTTTCTGGATACACTATAGTAGCAAATTATTCTGTAATTTGGTAAAAAGATCTGTAGAAATTTTATTTCATTGCGTAATACACCATAGGAGATAAGGTGGACGTATAATCTTGCTTCGACTTCAGAAAGATCTCGCATCTCTAATATCTCTCTGACGAAGGTAGAATGGCTCAATGGGTCGTTGCTCAACTGGGAGCGCCAAAGTATTACTTTCCGCAAGAGTAAACCTATCTAAAAAAACCCGGGTAGCCACTCACCTATACTTCTATCACCAAGGAACTCCCTGGCATACTTTTGTACGACAAGACAGTATTGCGAGCCTAACAAGTAATGGTATAATAAATTTGGTATAATATGTTTCGACAAGGAAGTTAAAGAAGAATTCTGAACAAATGTTTATGTTCAAGAAATATGGAGAAATATAGAACTATTAATCTAATCCCAACGGCTAAGCAAGATTGGAACCCGGATAACTGTAGCTAGAAATGCCTTCACCCTGCTAGCGAAACCTTTATGGATTCGTTACAAAATCACTATAAAAACGAAAATCCGCATCTATATTCTTTCTTTCGATCTTACTATATGGCTGCGAGACGTGGCCAATGAGAGTGGAGGATATTAAGAAATTATACGATCCACTCATGCATGTCTAAGGTACATTTTATCGGTTCGCCAAGTGGATAAAATCTCACATGATCCAAATACTACTTGTATTAACAGTGCCAAACAGCATCGCTTGGGCTGGTTAGGGCACCTTCTTCACTGCCCTTCATAGGAGTTGTCATATATTTCTTCAATTGCTAAACCCTGTGACGGAAGGCGAGGAGGATCAATCAAAACCTGGATTAATAGTCAGAAAAAATTTTGAACGTATAGGGAAATGCTTATAGGTGGAAGAAGGAATGGCTTTTATTTCTCTCAGTGGTGGTATCGAATTGAAGAATCTGCAAACGCCTCATCCTTTTAGCTGAAGGAGCTAGCCTAACCAGTAATGATGAGAACTGTTAGAAGAAAAGTATGTGAGATGTGCGAGAAAAAAATACAACTAAGTTCGAAAATTTAATGAAATTCGCAGTTTGACAAAATACATAGCAAGGGAAATTTCTGTAGCTACTCCTAAGCAAAAAGTGATCTAAGAGTGATCTGGTTGCATGCAATAAGACCATCTAATATAGCAATAATGGATATCTCATCAGACGTTTACAAATCTAGGTCCAGCATCTATTGCTACATTTGAGCCTATTTGTAAGAAAAGAATGGCTTGAAATTCTTGCCTGAGCTAGGCTATTTCTATGTGTAGGGAAACAAAAAATATAAGCACAAAGCGTTTTATCCGGAGGTACGAATTAGAATCGAAAACACGATCACGACTACCAATCAATAATGATAAACCAATGAACTGTAATGCAACTCCGAGAAATATACGATAATAACCATAAGGAATATAGATATAAATATAAGGAATGTTATACAGGAAGGCAATCAAAGGTAAGGTTTTACATAGGATCGAAAATACAAAAAAAATTTGGGAATGTGGTGTAAAAGGCGTAAACGCCATATGGCGAACAGTATTCAAACCGTGAAATTTAGATCGTAAGCATTGAAGCACTGATAACTTACGCTAGATTTCCTGATGTTTTGTAAATGATAAGAGGTAGAAGCAAGTGATAAGCCTGGGTAGCCTGGAATTTTACACCAGTAATTAGATTCTAGTTAGAGATAAGAAATAATTTTTTAAAAAATGAGTCTTATATAATACTAATTCTTTAAATATTATTTTCGAAAACAATCAAAGGAATTTGGGGAATATTTCGCGTCATTTATTTTACTGTCATTGGGAAAATTGGAATAACTGTCTTTCTATCATACTAATTTTAATCATATAAAAATTAATTCGATTAATCCGATTATGTAAAACTTTTATGTAAAAATTATCATTTACATAAAACTTTTTGCATTAAAAATTGCCTTACGAGGTTAAAAATTTTTCCTACGAAATTCATTCTGAAACTTTTTTTCCGTTACTCGTTCTCGAAAATAACAGTTTTGTTGAGAACCTCTAAATAGTTTCTTTTTTAAACGGGTCAATTAACGTTTTAATATAAATATTATTACGAAAATGGTTTTAAACTCGCGAAGTGAAAGAGTCTCGGAAAGAGCCTCTCGGGTGATATTTTAAGAATCACCGACGTGAAGAATAGGAAATTTCATTTACATTGTGTTTGCATTCTTTATTCGCATTAATCGGGCTATTGAATATCACATATTGCGAACTGTTGACTTGTGCTTTTAAGGTAATTGGTTTCGAAGCTTTAGCAGTACATAAATTTCAGATGAAGCGGCAAATAGGCTAATTCGTCTTTCGAAGCAATCACCAGAAATCTCCTCTAGCAACATTGGCGATTTTAGTTTTAATGATAGGTTTACATCGAATTAATGATGCCTGAATTTCGGTCGATTACCAAATCATTTTGCTGCTAAAGAGGATGGTTTAGAATGACCTATTGAATCAAATATACTTAGTGGTGAGTTTGGCTGAGTGGCGAGACCGAGCACGACTCCTCTTGTCCTTCGACTTCATGTCCTTCGGCGAGAATAAAAAATCAGCCATTAAAAGTGAAATCCAAATGGCTGTTGTGACTCATTCATGCTTCCATCCCCTATTGTCATATCCGATATATCTGATAATTTCTATCGATAATTATGCGACTTAATCCAATCGTAAATGTACAATCGTCCCAAATGAGAATCAAAATTTTTTATTCCTCCATTTTCTGTTTATTCTTTTTCGTTTACTTAGGTGAATTCAATTTTCAATCAGTTTTCATTTGTCAAACAATGCAAATTTCGTTATTATTTACTTTATATTGCGCTGTTACTTCTTCGTAAATGTTCCTTCTTTATCATTTAATTTATTATTTTATTATAAATAAATTGGCTGTTGAAAATATCTTTTCGTTTATACAATTCGAAACGAAACATCAAAAAATAAATTATTCGAATATTTTTCAGGACAATTTCTACGGAAAAGGATAATTTTAAGGAATTTATTGTTACAAACTATTTTAAATAAAAAAATTTTGAAAAAAACAGGTTATTTGAATTACTCGCAAATTTACTGAATACTTACTTGAATAATCCGAAATAAATTACCTTATATAGACGAGAATATTCAGTATAATTGTCCGCGGAGGGGATAGGGTGGCCGAGTGGGCTCAGATCACCGTATTGCTCCAAGCGCTAATCGCTTAACCACAAGTCGTTATCAGAAAGAAGTTCAACATTACAAAAACTTATAGCAGTTAACATGAACATCTGGATTAATAAATAGTTCGTCTATTTTATTGGTACTAACTTATTCAGATTTAGATGAATCGTTTTTTTTTATATTTTATGAAATTATGTCTTAAAAATTTTTATCAGTTTGTCTATCTACTAAAATTCAAATCAATAATTGAAACAATTCATTTTCCTTGATTAATCAAAATATATTTTTCGATATAGTGTTAATGTTATTGCTTTCTACGAACGATAGTCGAGTAGCTTATTCTTTTAACTCAGAATTAATGCGTCGTAAGTGTGATTCTTGTTTTTCGATCAGAGTAAATGTCATTTAATGTGAAATGCGAATGGTGCTGAGGTGAATTTATTTATAGATCCAACGCCAAGTGACTCTGTGCTGAGTGTATTTCATCCTAATAGCCGGTTAAGTTAGCCAAACCAGAAATGATGCCTGTTGTTAAATAGGAGAATAGAATGGAAAGGTTTTAAAAAACAAAAAAAAATTAAATAATGAAAATCATTTGTGGAAACGATTTCCATTTTTCTCATTTTGTTTTGTTTCTGCATAAAAAGAAGTATAAAAGCTAATCAAATCGACAAATAAAAAAATATTCCCAAAAAAATCATAAAATATCAAAATTATTCCTTTAATATTTTCAAAAAAAGTTTTTTTCTCATTGAAATTTTTTTATTTACTTTTTTTATTCATTTTATTTTTTTTCTCGTTGAATTGTTGAATTTTTCGTTTAGAAATTTACCAACTTTTCGTAAATTTCTTCTGAAAAAGCGAGGATTAAACTTATGAAGAAACTCTATTGTAAAGGTAGAATAATGTGCGATTACGTTGACCCATTGACCAATACTTTACTGGTAATTAGTAATGACAATCTGCCGAAAATGGCGATTTAAATCCCTTTCTATAATAATTTTTAAAATTATTATATTTTATTTTATATTATTATTTTATAAATTATTATATTATATTTTAATTATTATATTATATTAAGAAATATTCTTTTTTTATAGAAATTCACTTATAAATTTTTATTTGATGGAAAAAAACGAATTTTTTTAATTTTTATTTAATTTAGATTCAAGCAGTCCACATTATTAGAGAGGAAATATTATTTAATGGCAGTAAATAATTGCACTCGCCACTTGTAATTTGGCCCGTTCGGCTGACCGTTAGTGCAATTAAAAATTTTTGCCGAGGAATGGCGGTGCAAGTGAATGGAAAACCAAATTACCTTGCAGGAAGATGAGAATTAGAACAATTTCATGACAAAATTCACCAAAGTTCATAAATGATTCAAAAAATCAAATTGGTTATTGAAAACGGTTAAATTTTAGATGAAAAAATGGAGATTGGTGTTATTCCTGGCATTCATCGCATCCATCGTAATTTTTTTACTACAATTATCAATAATCAGTGGAGATGAATATGAAATCGGAAAGGTTGGATTATTCCCCAATTTTTTTCTGCATCCTGGAGATTCCTGAAAATTCAGCAGTCAATCTTTCGATTAATTCGTCATCTGCTTCTCGGATTATTTTTTAAATAATTAATTATAGTGCACTTTTTTCCAAAAGACAAAGCAGTTTCTAGTTTGGCTAACTACACTGACTACTAGTGTGAAACTCTTTCGCTCGATTTTCCATTGCTACGTGAATTTTCTACTTTTAATGATAAAGTTTACTCCATGGATAAGAGAATTTAAATTTGTTTGCCTAAGAAATAGACTTTGCTGTATTTTTTGCAGAAATGGTTCTATGAAAAAAAAATGTCAATTTTTTTGGCAGTTATAAATATTTAATTTTTAGGTATTTGCACCGTTTATCAGAAAAAATTCCAGATATTCTCGAACTGAGACTCATGTCGAGCTTTGTCCACTAGTGAATTTATCCAACGATTATTCCATTGATGTAGTTTTATTTTTTATTTTATTTTAAATGGTTCTTTTGCTTATTATTTGTATTGAAAATTATTAATTGGCACTGGTCAGTGCTTTAAATGATTTTATTTATTTAAGTAATCCAATATCTAAATTTAAAAATCAACGAATTTTTTTGGATTGTTTAAAATTTCAGGTGTCAGGTCATAAGGTCAAGTTGAACATTACTAATAGTAATAATAAGGCTCCAGAATTTCTCAATGTTTTCGTTATTCTTCACTCACACGTTGATCCAGGATGGTTGAAAACTTTTAACAATTATTACTATCATAAGGTACTTTTAGATATTTCAATAACAAAAAAGGATTCATTTTTAATAAACCCATTATTAGAATTTGGGACTTTAGGACCTCAGAGTTGCGAAAAAAATTGAAATTAATTTTCAAATCTAAGTTGTTTTGCTTTGAAGAGACGGGAATAACGAATAAATTCCGATTTGCATTATTAAATTTGCTCTAATTGAGCATAAACATTAAATTAATCTGCATAAAAGGAATGAAATGTTCAAAAATAATCAGCAGCCTTTATCGTTCTTCGGAACAATACGCTTCCATCTCCAATTGATTCTCTGATAAAAACATAGCAGTCGATGTGGCAGCCAAAAGAGTAATGATGAATATTGCTAGAAGAAAAGAGAATGCATGGTCAATTAATTAAGAAAAACAAGTATACTGTATTTGTCTGGTAGATTTCCTGATAAAACGTGTTGAATTAATATTTTAGGTAGAAAAAATTATCGATAATGCAGTGGAATCATTAATGAAATTCCCACAGTTGAAATTTATTTGGTCGGAAATTTCATTTTTAGAAAAGTGGTGGTCAAGACAGAAGAGAATTGCTCAAAATCATTTGCTTAAGTGAGTAATTTTGCTAAATTTTATTTAAAAAAATTTCCTTCTATAGAAAAAAAATCAACAAAATCTATTTTTAAACATTGAAGGTCTGTTTAGGCTTGTAAGAGAACGACGATTTGAGATCAGTGGCGGATCTTGGGTTATGACAGATGAGGCGACACCTTATTTTTGGGCAACTATTGATAATATGATAACTGGACATCAGTATCTTCTACAGACATTCAATGTTACTGTTAATACTGCATGGTATTCCTAAATTTTATATGATACGCGTGGAAAAAGGCTAAATTATTCAAAATCAACTTCCTTCCTTGTTGAACATTTTTCTTTTTCACTGATTTGCACCGATTTTCGCTAATTTTCACCATTCTCTATTTTTTTTATTACTGATTATTTTGTTTTTTATTGTTATTTTTGAATTTTTGAAAATCAGGTTTATTGCGAAATACAATTCTTCTGAATGATGCTCTTTTTTCCACTTTAATTTTCTTTACAACATTTGGAATTTCTTGATATCCTAATTTCCCAGGTCTGTGGATCCGTTTGGTCATAGTGCAATGATGCCATATCTTTTTTCACTGTCCGGTATAAATCGTATGGTTATAAATAGAATCAGTACGTTGATAAAGGATATAATGAAACAAAAATCACAACTTCATTTCAGATGGGTGCAACCATGGGATGAGGTAATTGCACCTCTTCTCTTATACACAGCTATTAGACAATCCCTTCTTAATATTCTAGTAATGCTCGCTATTTGTGGTTTAGCTGGACTGATTTTACTTTCAATGATTATAAGATTTTTATGATAGGATTTTTTTCCTCTCAAGAATTGAGGACATAAGGTTTAGGATTGAATTTATTAAATGGTATGAGAAAATATAAAAATTATTAAATAGATTAGATACAGTCGATAATTTTGAAAAAAAGTTGTTAGCCTTTGCACCATTATTAACAATCTGCTTAGTTAGTTTTAACCTTTTTTTATAACGAAAAATAAGATTAGTTAAAGGAAAAAAGTAAATAAAATTATATTTTTATAATAATTATTATTTATTGTTTTATAGATTAAATGAAGTGAATATTTAAGGAAATAAAATGGGCACCGCTCGTTAATGTCTTACCTCGGTTGTACTATACGACCATTAATGCTTGTGGTCCTGATGAAAAAATTTGTTGTCAATTTGATGTAGCACCAACAGCTCGAACTTTTTGCGAAAGAAGAGCGACAAGCGATGCGAGCACTCTCGAAGAGTTGTAAGTTATAAATATAAGTGAATAATTTATGACAAAAAATTATAAAAAAATCTCATAAGATAATTTTAATTTCATTCCACATTCGTTAGGTCTTTTGAAGATAATTACCTTTAAAATCGTCGACCGTTCCTTAATTATCATTTTATCATTTTACTATAAAGTAAGAAGAAATGGAACGGTTAAGTGGATATGTCGTTAGGTCAAACCATCCTATGATATAGGTTTTTTATTCTTCTTTCCTGATGGAAATAAATCTCTCATTAAAAATGAAACCCATGTGGTAATGCAGCAGATCCTCATATTTTCTTTCCAAGTGGTTCTCTGGTGGATATTTCAATGGAATAAGCCAAACCAGAAATGCTGGATGCTTTTAAAAGAAAGAAAGATTTAGCCGAAAATTTACCATTTGTTTTCAAAAACGCAATCTAAAATTGTAATAAAAACACAAAGAAGTAGATATGAAAGTTTATTTTCCATGCATTGCTGGAATGTTTATTTTTTTTTAAATATCAAGCAAAGCCTATAGCGATATGCTTGTTTTACGGTAAAATTAATAATTTTAAAGAAATTTGAAGAATACGGAATGATGAAAATTCTGAAATATTAACCGCAAGGTTGGGTAAGGTAGTAGCAATAGTCGTGCAGTATTATCGGATTTGTCTCGTTATTTCGAAATTCTTATGGTTCATAGGTAGAAGAAGGTCGATTTTATCGATGACACCGCTGAATATACCGAAAATAAAGCCACCATGCTAAAGCCATGTTGTTTTCGCATGGCATAATAAATCCTTGTTATGGGCGGATTTATTTAGCAATTAGTGGAATTGTATTTGGAATTTCTGCTTTTCTTTAAGAAGGTCATTATAGAAGGTCATAAAAAGATTCAAGAAATTTAAGAAATTTATTTATTTAAGCTCAACGCTAATGGCTGATCAGTACCGCAAACTGCAGCCATACTATAATTCCAAAAGTGTGCTGGTCGCAGCGGGCGACGATTTTCTATTTGCCGGTGAAAAAGATCTACCGACTGTTCACAAAGTTTATAGCGCTTTGTTCAAGTATATCAATGAACATCCCAAGTTTAATATGAAAGTACGTGTCTTTTCGATATGTTACTTTATCATTTTTATTTATTTCGTGCTGCTGCGATTAAGCTCAAATCACCATAGTTTCGATTCGTTCCCCTTTACAGAAGTAAATCCAAGTAAAATTTCGTACTGAGGATCCATCTTTCCATGCGTTTCCATGCCAGGTAATTGTCTTTTGGCGAAATAACGAATGGAGACAGTATGATCAGAAGCGATAGGTGCTCTTAGACGAAGACGAAGAAGAAATCCTTATTTTGCTATAAAATATGAAATATTGAAAAATCATAGAAACTCTTATAAAATTTTGCAAAAATTTGCGAGAATTGTTGCACAGCAGGAGAAAACTTAGCTTTCTTAGGTGCAGTTTGCAACAATCAACGATTATTTCAATTCATTGGAAGGTTCTCGAATTTTTCCACTTCTCAAAGGAGATTTCTTTCCTTACGTTGACAATATCAACGGTTCATATCCATTTTGGACTGGATTTTTTGCTCATCGGCCCTATCATAAACGATTGGAAAGAATCGTTTTGGTTGTTTTTAAAGATTGATTTATTGATTCGAAGCATTTAAGCATTTCAAATGCAAGTATTACAAATAAATGCATTTCAAATGCATTTATTTACAATACTTTTAGAGAGAAGTTTAAGGATTTAAGGTGAAAAACGAAAAATTCTGTAAAAAAACACAAATAGGACAAAAAGGAATTTCTCGTTATCATATCATCACATTAAAGATGATGGAAATTTTTATATTTATGTTGTATTTTTTATATTTCTTAGTGAATATTCAGTTTATTATCGCAGTATTGATTAAAAAGATAAAAATTCTATCGATTTAGGGAAGGCTTCGATCAATGGACATACTTTCTGCCATAACAAAATTAGAGCCTAGTGTAAATTCGGAAAAAGCTCGACGAGATTTTGCTTTGTTTCAACATCACGATGCAATTACAGGGACAAGTAAACCGCATGTAATGAAAGATTTTACCAGCAGGTAATTGGTATTGGTTTTTTGTCATAATAGAAATGTAAAAAATTTCTGGAATTCCAATCTTTTAGTAGGACAACCTAAGACCTATTCCTTACATCCCATCCCATAGATCCATAGCTGCTTTTGTCTTTATCCCTTCACCTAGCTTTAATTTTAATTATAGTGCATTTTTAAACCAATAAATTTCGTTAACTATTCCATTAGAGATCTATTTCAGGTTGAACGAAGCAATAGTACAAATCACTTTACAGCAAGTCCACTTTTTAGAAAAATTTGTCAGACGGGGTTCACCATTAATACCAGTCAGTTTTTTTGTCGAGTTTATATTATTGCATTTTTATTATCAACTGGACCGGTTCAAAAACATTTAAAATAATGAATGTTCTAATAGTATTCAACGATTAGGTTAAGAATTTTTTCTTCAATTTTGCAATAAAAGTAATTTCAGATCGATTTACCTACGAGAGATTCTGAAGAACTTATTCCACAGAGAGTTCTAAATTTTGGAAGAATTGGCGGAAGGTGCAAAATTTTTTGCGATATTTTTCTACTTTTATATATATTTTTAAATCTTTTTTAATTAAATGTTCAATAAATATTCAATAATTTTTCAGACTATTTTTGCGAATTTTCAATCAAAATTCATTCAGTTACTCACATTTAATAACGGTAAAAGTATCTACGCCAAATATTCGAGTAGCTTATGAAGGAATTCCAGTTAAAGCACAAATTGGACCTTGTTTCGATGGAATGTTTATCAGTAATAACGTCTACACAGTAACTTTTGTTAACCTTGCTAACAAATTATAAGATCTGTGCTATTTCTTTTTGTTTTTTAAAGCAATAATTTAATTTTAGTGAGCTTAAATTGAGTAGAAAATATTTCAAAAGTCAATTTATTAATAATTATCAGTTTAATGAACAATAATTCAGTTATCATTTATGAAAAGAATCGAAGCGTTTGGTTTGGTAGAAGTGGAACTTACAAGAACTGAATCATTGCCAAATTCAACAGTGCTTTCAGTTATTACATCGTTAAACAGTGAAGAGTCAGTCATCTTCAGGAACTTTGAAAATAAGCGAATTGTCGTCTAGATCTTTTACTTGGGAGAATTTTTTCTTCAATATTTTTTTTTATAGAAAAATAATACAGGGCTCAATTTTTCGATAGTGACGTAATTTACCGAAAATCTTATGGTTACCGATAATTATTCCATAAGTTAATACATCTCTTTTAAACCAATACGCCAGTTGCTTATAATAAAGTGATAATAACGAAAAAGAATATTGAGTGGATAATGGAAAGATCCTACGGATGGATTTGGTGCAATTGCTCCTTATTACCTCAAAATCACTTTTTATTCTTTTGAGACTTTTCTGCTTTTTCCGATTTAGATACTAGTGGCTTATGGCAAAGTTAGTTTAGTTTAAGACGACCAAGAAGCAGTTGTACTTCAAATTCGACATTCTCAGTTACTTACTTATCTTGCATGATTTTATAATTTGTAACTGCGTGGATAGCGGAGGAGGGCAAAATGAAGGCGAGGATATCAGAAAGCCAAAACATCAATGGATTGTACATCAGGGGAAATTTCTTGAAATTTTTATGAAATTTGAAAAAAACAACTTTAAAATATTCAAAATAGAAAAAATAATGAGATTAATTTTTATTTTTTCTTCCAATTTACGTTCGAAATTTGCAAAAAATGCGAAAATTTTGCCATTTTTATGAGACAAATTTTCGTTTAATAAAATTTTACAGTTCAGTTTTCAGTTCGATTTTCCCGTTAATTAATAATTCGAAAAAGGCAAAATTTACAAACGATTTCATTGAATTTATTTATGATCCATACAGCGATGAAGAAAATGTATCGAATTGAAGTTTCTTATTTTCGATTTTCCCTGCAACTCACAATATATTGCGGGATTGGGAGCCCATCTGTAGCTCTGCTCATTAGCTCATTCGCTGGGCCTATTCCACATTGATCTGTGAAATCAGCTAAGACAGGAGAAATGCGAACTATTAGAAGTCTTACACTATCAGTACGAAATTTGGGAATAATGGAAGTTATTTGAAATCGAATAAAATGATTTCAATCGAAATATTTGCAGATGATCATTTTAAAAGCTGACGGTAGACCGATAAATTTCAATATACAATTTACTGTTCAACGAGATATTGGTGGCGCTTATGTTATAGTTACACAAGGCTTACAAAAGGTATTACGGCATTAGAACATTAAAATGGGAGATTTTCCTTAACATTTAAAATTTGGTGAAAATTTTTGTCGTTGTTTTCCTTTCCCATTGTTGTAAGCATCAACACTTTAATAAACCATTTTCCATTTCAATTGGTTGACTCTCGTCAAGCGATATAAATTGAACTCATATCGTAAGCAATAGCAATTTAGGCAATGCCATATTGTGTTTAGACTGCATTTAACGGCGGATATCTTCTTTTTCAATAAATTAATACTTAGTAGGTGAAAAAGAATTTAAATTTTAAATTCTTTTCTTGCAGCCTATAAAGAAAACCAATTCACCAGCAACTCACATCATAACAGGACCTGTTTTTTCAACAGTCCGCCAGATGTTATCCGCAGATGTTACTTATGCTTTGTCAGTAATTCATAAAGCAGACTCATTTGCATCAAGTCTTTTTTTGGAAATATGGCCAGCTTTAATATTCAAAACCGATACAATCTTAATGGCACAATTAAATTTCCCAATTAATGATTCAAACTTCTATACGGATGTTAATGGAATGTATTTGTTGAAAAGAAGGTTGAAGTTTGCAATTATTTGGGTAATATAAAGTATTATTAAGTATTATTGCAAATATAAAATATGCTAAATCCCATTACTGATGGATCCTTTTTTTAAAAATCTAACCACTAATGGTTAGACTCGCTCCGCTGGCTTATCACACTAGGCAAACATGCCAGGGAATCCTTTGGCAAAAGAAGTACAGGTGAGTCACCAGCGCCCGTATTTTGAGAGGTTTATCCCTGAATAGGACCTCAGTATCGGCGCTACGAATTGAGCAACAGCCCATTAAGCCATTGGATTTGCTAAACGCGAAAATAATTTTTATTTTATTTTCAATTTATTTAAAAAAAAGATATTTAAAATAAAGTTCGCTTTTAGAGTATTTGATATATATTCGCTTAATTTTCCTAATTCATATAGCACCAAAGACAAATCGTCATGGTGTTAGAAGATGAAAGAGGAGGAAAAGGAGAAACCTTATAACCGAAATAGACCGTTCGACAATTTTTTCAACCAATCATCTGATTAAATTCGTTTTTCGACAAAATTATTTTTCTAAAAATTTTTTAGTTTTAGTTATGATAAATCAAAGCCATTAGAAGGTAATTTATATCCAATGCCAACTTCGTGCACTGTAGAAGATAATACATTGCGAGTGACGCTACTTGGTGGGCAGCCGACGGGTGTAACCTGGAATTCTAAAAAGCTACAAATTGAAGTGGACAGAAAACTTTCGGGCGATGATGGTAAGGGATTGTCGCTTGGAGATGCTAACAAGGTGATAAAAGTTCTTATAAAAACTGATGGTTGCTTTTTTCTTTTTTGTTATGAAAATTATTTCCAAAATACACAGCCTTGCAGAATTAGTTTCAGTCTAATGGCCTACAGCATACTACCTGCTGAGCATACTTTCGTATTTCCTGTAAAGCATGCATGCTATATTTTACGGTCTGACTCAAAGTACTGGTCGAAGTAAATAAACTAGATTCTGTGGAAACCTATCAACCTATGATTTAGTTAAACGTGTCCTATTAATTGCCCTTGTATGCTGCTTCTGGTGAGGGCTAGCATATTAATTTCTTATTGTTTAATAAAGCTATCATTTAAAAGCCGCGATGTGGAGTCATTTGTGTTTCTATTTTCAAATGATCCTGTATTGCAAGAGTTCCATTATAGTAATTAAGGCCAGCCAAACCACTAACTACATATGGTATTAGAATAGGAAGAGATAACCAAAAATATTTGACTACAGAATTTTCCAGCAAGAAAAATTTGTAGAGTCGACCATCTCATTTACAATATCGCTTAATTTTTGAACCGAAAAAGAACGTAGTAACAAATAATCTTTTATATCATTCAATTATGGTTCACCAACATTTGGAAGAATTCCTTTATCCAGTCAATTTATTCTTTTCTTCTAAGAAAGGTTTTTTTTCAGTAAATCCAATATACGAACAATTTGATTATAAATAAATCGAAATAACGGAACGAAGTTCTTGATCGAGAGTTAAGGGGAAATGGGGAAAAAGGGAGAGAATACTTTTCGACATGTAAATTTAACCTTGAGTGGTTTCTTAGCACCACTGTTAGTTTTAAAGGACTTTGTATTTTAGCAAAATGATTTAAGGAAATTCTCCTGAACTGAACTTCTTGAAACAACTGCCATGCAATGTTCAGTTAATAAACATTCGTTTCATATCTAAAAATAATCTTTTGGTAATAATGAGGAGGTTACCATTGGACTGTGCAACAAATTCGCACTGCAATACTGATCTGGTATTTTTAAAAATTTTTTAATGCAGTTTTAGTTAAGCGTAACTAAACAGGTTTACCAATATAATTAACGTGGTTTATTGCTCTCCGATGCATAAATAAGCAAAAAATTGCCTTTATTTTCTATTCCCAAGCGATTCTTCGGCGAAATGATTTCGTCTATTTCAGCTTTAATTTCACCGTGATTAGGTTAGTGAATAAAATCAGTAGTACTTATTCACCGCCTTTCGAAAGACAATTCCCATTTGAGACCTAAATTTTGATGAAAATTTTCACAATCGAAATTTTGGTCTAAAATATTGCTCTCTTCATTTATTGCTCTTGTTTGATTAAATAGTTAAGCGGTATTTGTGTTTCATTTTTTTATTTTTAATACTTTTGCTTCTTTTCATTAGAATCTTGAAAAATTTTAGGCACTCGTTTACGATTTCCTGTCGATGTTTGGCGGTAAAATATTTGATTCCAATCTTACGGGTACAAAGATCGGACCACGCTTAACAATGCAAACGATAATCGAAAAGCTGAAAAAGCCACTCCAGATTGCAATTTTCAGGATAGTTTTGTCTAATCAATAAAGCGGGTAACATATACAAATATTGTACCTTTCAAATGTGATACGTCTTGAGAATTATGTCATGCCATTTCAAATATTATCTATTGTGGAAACAATCTGTATATTTTAAATTATTTCTATAATTCTTATAAGTCGACTATGTCAAGAAAAAATTTTTTTGGCGCCAAATACAATCTAATATTTCTCTCATATATTTTAATTTTTATGTTAAAAGAAATTCTCAGTTGCTTAATGTTTAATGTTTTACATATTCAACATTTATCCATATAAATGTTTGTCCACATTTTATCTGAATATTTCTTGCCCACATTATGAAAATTATACTTTTTGGTTTAACGCATATGAACGCATTATATCTTAAAACTTCTATATGAAAAATAACGAAAATAATTAAAATTTTCCTGAATAAGTTACTTGATAAACAAATACTATTCTTTGCCTTTTTTACTTTTCGTTATTTATATAATAAATCCAGAAAAACAAAAAATATAAAAAATATAAATATATGCAAATATAAATTACAAAACAGTTCCAGTTTTGCCCCTAAAGCATTTATAAAATTCTATTTAAAAAGGTTTCCAAGTTAAAAAGTAAAAATTCTTTTAAAATTAGAAAGAAAAGAGAATCAAATCAATCTAATGTTAAAAAGAAATTTTAAAAAATATATATGCAACTAGGAAAAAAAATATAAGACTCAGGAAAATGAAAAAATTCACCGAGTAATAAAAAATATGGACAGAGTGGAAATCATCCTTTTCATTCATCATCGGAAAGTGGTTCATAAGTTGGTTGCGGCGGTAGTTTCGATGAAGAATTAATTGTTGGTGGTACTATAGACTGATTCAGTGACGCGCTTGAATCAATCTGTAGCTCCACTAATTCTGTTGACAATAAGGCTGGTTGTGCTTCCGGGTTTTCTGATTCGTTTTCGGGAAGATTAATTAATGAGAAAAGTGGCTTGCAAATTTGACTCGGAGAACCTAAATTCCAATAAAACTAGAAAAATTAAAAATTAAAAATTAAATTAAAAATTAAGAGAGAATCTCGACATTGAAAGGTTGTTTTCTGAAATTGATATAAAAATAAGAAAATAGGAAAAAGATTACCAAGTGGCTCAGCAGATACGGGTGGTCCAGAAGAATCAGAAGTATCGGGCGATAACGGTTCAAAATTACTGTTAATAGAAGATGCTGGTTCCATTTTATTTTCTTTTTGAGACGATTCTTTTGAATCCTTTTCATCAGCCTGAATCAACAAAATTTAGAAAAATGCATGAAATTTAACCAAATAACCAACAATTATAGGAAATTCTTTGAAATGAACCTTCCACGCTTGATCATTTTGTTTTGAGGCATTGATATCTGTTGTTGGCTCATCTGGTAGCTTATTCATTGTTGGAGGCAAAGATGATGTTGGAGAAGAAACCTTTAAAGGTCGCAAAAAAGATTGTGCATTGAAAGCCATGTTGGGAACAATATCTCGAGAGAGTGAATTGACAGATGGCGACATCGGACCCAAGGTTGGAGATGGTTGCTATAATATGTGGTTCAAATTAATCAGGTCAATAATTTTGTAAAATAAAATGATAACCTGATATGGAGAACCAGGTGTTATTCCTCGGAACGAAGGTTGTGGTGAAGAATGAATCGTCTGAGATGGACTAGTCAAACTCGAATTCACAGACATAGGAGTTCTTGGAGAAATCATAGACTGGATTGAAGATACCACAAGTGGACTAGAAGCACGCGCGAATGGAGGGATACTACCATCTAAACTTCGAGGTGCCATCCGATCAGCTGTAGATATTAAATGTGGTGAAGGAGAAGTATGCGTGCCAGAAACTGAAACGGCCTTTGACTGCCCAGAAACCGAAGTGCTCATAGCCGTTGATGGATGTCTGATGGTAATGGTTGGTGATAAAGTTCGACGTTGTGATGATGAAGGATTTTTTATCGCCATTGAGTGATGCATACTCGGTACAGACGGAATACAAACGGTATGAATTCCTAAAACATAAAAAAAAATTAAAATTTTCGGTAGCTGAAATAATTTCTGCGTCACTTATCCACTCCGCGGATATATGGTACTATTTAAATATTTTGAACGATTTGCTGAAGACCTGATTTTCGTTTTAACTCTGGAGTCGAATTTAAAAAATCTATCGCACGATCATCACCGGTTGAAGTCCCTCGAATATTTTGATGAAATGTAACATTTTCTTGTACTGCACTATCAACTGCAAATAATTCAGTTTTTAAAATTTATTGAATAAAGAAAAAGGTAAATATCTTAAAATAAATGAAAAAAATATAGAAAAGAATTATGAACAAAAAAAATTTGCCAACAAAAAATCGCACTTGCATTAAATATCAAATATATATAATATGAATATATATATAATCAATTAACAAACATAAAAAAATTACCTTTTCTTTGATTGAGATGATTGAACAGTGAATCATTTCTTAAAGTTGAACCATGCTTTATTAATTGATTTGCTGACGAGAGTTCCGATGCTAACAAATGATTGCTTTGGGACTGCTGCGACTGAATCTTGGATGACTGAAGTTGAGCTGCAGCCTGAATTTTAATGGTTAAAATAAAGAATTGGATTTTTTAAGAATAATTAAGAATTTAAGAATAATTACAAAATAAATCACCTTCGCGCCGAACGATAAATCCATTTGAGGTCGATTAATTCCAATAAGGCCATGGGGAGGAAATGATAAATGAGATGGAGCAATTATATCTGGCATAGGATTTATCGACGACTTAGCGACGGATGGAGGGAATTCTTTCATCGCTCCTTTGCTGACCAAACCAATGCCACCAGTTCGATCCTCTCCTGCGCCACGAACAATTACACCCGATGGTCTTAGATGGGCCTGGATTAACTCGCCTTAAAAATGATGGCTTATTTTTCGTAAATGAAATTTAAAAATTAAAAATATCTAACAAATTTCTTATTAAAAATAACGTTATAAATATTTAGAATCTCAGGAAAGACGGTAAAAATATTTTTGAATGATAAATTCTAAAAACACAAAAATGAAACGAAATATAAAAAAAATTAGAAAATAAAATGCTTAAAAAAATTTTAAGCAAAGAAATGAAAAATTTTTGGAGTTTAACGATTTTTAAATTTAGCGTCTAAAAATTCCGAAAGGATTAAGAAATACTACCACAACAAACCTTGATAGCTACGACCAGCTTGCCTGGCGTTATTTTGTTCACGCAACTTTTCCATTTTTTGAAAATGGGCAATTAAATCAGGTCTTTCTGCTAAAAGTCGATGGAATTCGGCGGTATGGGCTTTAGTTAACTGCTCTATCATCCGTGCTTCTTCATCCTAAAATATCGATAGGAAAATTTGTAACATTAAACGAATATGCTGAAGATTTTTAAAAAAATAATTAATATAATCTAGAACTGATAAAGTATTGTATATTTCTAAAAAGCTAGAAGATATCAAAATTTTAAATGATAAATGATAAAAATAATTACTTGTCTTTGCTTGTCCAACTGTTTTGCCGTTTCTTCACGTTCTTTACGCATTTGTTCAGCACTTCGCAAATCACTGAATAATTGACTATTAGAGGGGGTGACCTTATGTCGAGCATCAGTATTCGCAATACCAGGCGTCTGTGACTGGACAAGTTGTTGTTGTTCGGATGATGTAGAAGAAAGCGATTGTAGCGGCGTTCGAACTGCCGCTGTAAGACCAGGAAAGAAAGGATTGATTATAGACTGGTGCATATTGCCCTGTTTCAATGCATTTTGTTGAAGAAGTTGGTGGTAAAGTTGAATTTGCTGAAAAAAAATTCTACACCTTGAGGACTAAGATCGAAGATTTGAGAAATAAAAAGAAAAATAAAAAGGCATAATATCGCTCGAATTTTTATGCCATGCCATTACAAAATGAAGTTGAAAAACACAAAATTAAAAAAGTGAAATAAAAATTCCTTACGAATAACTTTTGTTCATTAGATAAAGCACCCTGTTGCTGGAGAAGTGCGTGTAACTCAGGAAAATTCACAGAAAACTGGTAAAAGTCTAATAAATTGGGATTAAGACCTGAAAAATTTTATTTTATATTCATAATCCTATTTCCACACTAAAATTTTATGAACCTTTGTATAAAGATTTTTAACATTATAATTCTGCTAATGGCCTTCACTAATGAAGAATGAATAAAAAAGAATGAATAAATCTAAGATTATCGGTGTCGCAAACCGATAAAGTTATAACTATTCAATAAAGTTAATTTGATAAATTCAAACAAGAGATTTCCATTCAATACAACTGAAAATGAAAACATAAAAAAAAGGAAATAAAATTACCTCTATTTTGTAGCATGCTTAAGCGAATACGTTCTAATTCATTTTGTTGCTGCTGTTGCTGCAGCAGTTTCAAAAATGCATACTAAAGAAATAACTATAAATAAAAAAACCATGTATAAATAAAATATAAATATAAATAAAAAATATAACCATTAGCATAACAAATATAACCAATAAAACAAAATTTAGCAATTTCCGAAGTGAAAAAATAACTGAGAACGATAGAAAATGAAATAAAAATGCGAGAAGAAATATTACTTGAGAAGATCCATCTACATTCAACAGCTGATTATACTGATTAAATGAATTTGCAAGTGAAGCAATATCGTTAGCAGCATTACCGAATGGAACTGTTGGCTTCTGCTGACCAGCAAAATTTAATGAAGATGCAAACGACTGAGAGCTCGAGGACATTGCAGCCAACTGCGCTGCTGAAAATGTTGAAGGACTGGACGGTATTGGTTGAACAGATCTTGACTTCTCTGGCAATGATTCAATACTTGGATTCGATAGTGGTCTTAATACTGGCGTACCTACAAAATCCGAAATTTAAATTTCTTTTACTGCAATCTGTAAAATAATTTAGTAAAACAAACGAATTAAAAAATGAAAAAACAAGCCTCTTGTAATCGAGCCTCGTAAACCGTCGCCTGTTGATATTCCGCTACCAACTGATGAACTGGATGAATCGGTACGTTTTTGATTAGCTGTTGCTGCAAAAAGTGAATCACCAGCTTTTTTGGTTCCACTGGGAATCTGGTTAGATGTAGAATTAGCAGTAAGTAGTGAATCATTGCTACGCCTCAATGTAGATTGATTTGGAAGCGAAAATGAGCAATGTGGCAATCCAACCGTATTCTAAATATAATATAATAAATATAATAAACTTCATTTTGCCTAATCGATATGATATAAACCAAAGAGATTCGTTAAAAAATTCATTTAACTTTTTATGATCAAAATAAAGCAAAAAATAAGGTAATTAAGAAATAAAAAATAAAAAACTTTGGACCGTAGGCATTGTAGGACTAGGTGTATCTGTCGGTGAAATTTTATTTCCCAAAGCGATCAGTTCTGCCAATTTAGACGTTTCATTATCACCAATTTTTGTATTTGCAGAAATAGCTTCACATTTCGTAGTGGCTAAAAGCGAAACATTCGCGCCCGATGCAAAGTCAGCACGGTCCTCTTCTTTTGCAAAGGGCATAGTATCTACAACAATTTGATCTTCCGCTGTTGTTCCTGAACTTCCTTGAAACCGAGGTTTGTACACTGGCGATGATTTCGAGAGTCCAGGAGATGGTGCATTATAATCATCTTGATTATTACCTTCATCCGCGCTAAGAGTAACACTGCTTTCACCGCTGAAAGAATGAAAATATTTTCTCACTTTAATTTTTTGTATTTTCAGTTATCATACTAACGAACCGTATGAAATTAAGAGAAAGAAGCGATGTTCTAATAAATTTATTAATTAACACCAACCTCCGATCATTACCGCGATCTCCACTATCTTTTTTATGATCGAATGGTGAATTAGGTTTTCCTTTTTCACTATCTGACCCTTCTTCTTCCTCGCTTTCGATGTTATCAGTTTTGAACTTTTGTTTGTCACCAATCACCTTTTCATACTGCTCCTTACATTGCTAAAATAAGATAAGAAATAAAAAATGAGTATTATAAGAAAATAAAATTTAAAATACATAAAATATTTCTATAAAAGATTAACCGCAGCTGTAAAATTTCTTTGCTCATTTTGCATCTTTTCTGCAACAGAATTCCAATCATTTATGCCAACTTTGGCAACAATATTTTGAAGCAATGTGATATCTTCTGATGTGACAGGTATCTTCGAGGTCTGTTCCCACTGTTTTATCTCTTTTGCAAGCAGACCACTGAACAGCTAGAACAGCGAAATTTATCAGGGCAATCACAAAATTATTAAAACTTAAAGGATTTGATGAATTATGACATTTATTAAAATTTACGATATAACAAATTAAAATCAATAAAAAAGCCAAAGTAGATCTCAATAATCCATAATTTACCATATCCAATTTTTTTGAAATTTTCTTGTGACAAGTAGTACAGCATTTAGTAATATCCTCACGAAATGAAAAAATATCCATAAGATATTCACGCTGAAGATGTGTAGCTGCTTTCCATTTAACCGGCATTGAACGACTTGCTCGAACTTTACGTCTCGCATTGCTGCATGTTCCCACTTGACAACGACTGTAAATACAAAAATAAATGGCATTTAGTAAAATATTTTGTAGAATAAATGTTCTACATTTTTAAACATTTTGGTTGTCCGGGATATGGGTTCGGGAATGACGAAGTTCAGTAAAAACACTCCAATCGCCCTAAAAGAACCATATAAGACTTTCATTACCAATGTCTCGAACACTTGTGGAAAGATCTTTGTGGAAGTGCCGAAAAATCAAAATCAAAGCGAAGATTTGCATGTAACTCTTTGGAGTACCCACTGAGTTTTTGAAAGTTATATGGTATAAAGTTATAAGTAAGTTATAGGAAAATGAGCAATTAGAACAGAAGATATCAAGAAATAATCGTCGACCAGTTGTGGTTGACGTTCATTTTATACATTCACCGAGCGAAATCGAGAGAAGCCTCGCACATTACATCCATTTCTCCTCTACTACGATTAGTTCTCATCACAAACACTATTATAGATAGAGCCAGAATCACGTAAGGTCCAATCAGGATATGGAATGAGATTTCAAACTTATAACTTATTTCAATGATATATGGATATAGATGAGGAAAGCTTTCTGCTAACTTTTAATGTGATCAAAAATTTAGAAATACCTCATTCAACAATGCAGCTAGCCTGACCAATACTGATATTATCAAAGAAAAAGATATTACATATTTATATTTTTTAAAAATAAATAAATAATAACAAAATGAGGAGGAAAATAGAAAATAAAAACTTAAAAGACAGCATAAATTCAAAAAATTCCTAAGTTATAAAATAAAATTATAGATAAAAAATTATGAATTGCACTGTCTATTAAATTATAGACAGAGTTATAAAATCATAGAATTATAAAATTTTAATGTTCACAAAATTTCAGTAATTATCACTCCGATATTTACATCCATCAGCTGCTAGGACCAATAGAAGGAACAACAGTTGGTCATATTTATTTCGCCAATTAAACAAAAATATAAATATGAAAAATATTAATAATATAAAAAAAGACAAATAATAAAAAAATTAAAAATTTCTAACAGTGCAATTCTTGCTTTAGATGTTTTTACTTGACATCTTGCACACACTCGCATATCGGTAGATTTTGCTTGACTTGGATCGATCCCATATGTTTCATACGAAGCTCGTGTAAGCACACGACCAGGATTTGATCCACTATCAATCTTTCGTTTACATAAATAACACTCAGGTCTGTTATGTGAAGTGACTAAAAAAAACTTGCAGAATGATTTCCAAAAAATTTAAAAAAGTCCAGAAAAAAATTTTACCAACAACATCGTTAACTTCCTGAGTAATATTTTGCGCGATTTCTTCAAAACGTGGCATTACAGGTGCACGATAATTTTTGAATGCCTTTTTCCTTTTCTTAATTTTCTGTTTATAATTCAGGCGATATTTTGTCAAATAATAATACCAGACACAATCCTTAACGGATTTACGTTCCAAAAATTCCGCTATTGCAGCAAAATTTTTGCCATACACAATTATTTGGGTTGTGAATATCTGGAAATTTTTATTATGAGAAAATTTGCAGAAGGGTTATTTATATTTTTAAAACATCAAATGAAAATTTTTTCAAAAACATGACATTATCTCTTAAAATGTTAAAATGTTGGTAGCAACAATAACTAACATTTTTTTCTTCTTCGGTCCAAAAAGACATGAAATCATCGTATTCGCTACGGGCTTTCTTCGCTGCATCTTTCACAACGCCATTTAAATTAATATAAAATATCTTTTGGCGATCGTATTTGCTGAGCATGGTTGGTGGCATTACTGCAGAAAACTGTCGTCTTCTTTCTTCCTCCTCTTCACTCTAATTTATATTGGAAATTATATGAGTTAAAACCCATCTATCCAACTGATTAAACTATCAAAATAAAGTTTTAAATATTTCAATATTGCCTTTATTTTATCCAATTTTTTTTCATCAATTTCACTTTAATCAATTTCATTTCACAACTTCACTTAAGACTACTTGAAGAAATTGATTATTAGCGATTTATAGCAAACTTTTTCGCGCTACAGAAAACAAATGAAAAAAATCTGCTTAAATCAAAGATTAATAGATTAGATTAAAAAGAAACAAAAAATAGAATTCTTTTCAGCAAATTACCCGTTCGCTTCGATTTTTTTCTTTTTCTTCACGAGCTTTCTTCACCTCTGTGAATGTACGTTCATAAATTTCGCGATTTTTTTCGTTTCTTGATCTAAAATTTATGAAGAAAATTTTTTTAAAATTAAAAAGCTAGAATAATATGAAGCTAGAATTATTTAAAAAAAGAATAGAAAAACTTATAATGGCTATCAGACCATTAGGACCAGAAAATCGCATTAGAAAGTCATATAGGAATAGAAATAGAAGTGGCTCTTTAGCATCACTAGCATCTTTCAAAAGCAATGCATCATTGGGCCATACTGCCTTTGAACTGATATATGATATAATTATGGAAATCTTACATTTTTTTTGCATTTTTACAATAACGCTCATCATTTTTTTGCCATTCTTCATATAAGGCTTTATATCGATCAGTAATAAATTGTTGTCTAATTGCATCAAAACGATTTCTTTCGATTAACTTTTTTACCAAAAAATCATTCACTAATTTATGATTCTCAATCGTCTTTTGTACAATAGGATAACCAGATGGCAGAAAAAATGGCTGAAAAAAATCATAAAGAATTTGCAAATATAATTAAAAAGCTAGATTTTATAATTCACATCATAACTGCCAAAAATTTCAAATGCTCTAGTAATTGAATTCAGAAATTTAAACAAACTTTAAGAGGGCGCACTCGCAGTTCATCTTTGGCATGACATGCAGCTGCTCGCCTTCGATTTTCCGCATAAATCTTTTCGATAAGACTTCTTGTAGGATCCATTTCATCATCAAAAGTATCTTCATTTTCTTTTTCATCTTGTCCTTCCTTACAAGAATCTTTTGCTTTTTCATATTCATGCATCTCTTTCACCTGAAGATTGACCATTGAAACATTCAAAATTATAATAGTAGATAATTTACAAGATGGTGGAAAACGTTGCCCCCTTAAATATCGTTGATCTAATGGTTTATTCTGAGAAATTTTACAAAGATTTTGCCTGCGTCTATTCAGTGTACATTACAAATATATTTATATTAACATATTTATAAATATATTTATATATTTATACTAAGTAATATACCTAATACATTAAAAAAACAATATAGCTGATAATACCCCTAGATCTGTTTCAAAGCTACAAAAAAAACCTTTTTTCGCAAAAGATTAGTCCGTTGTGCATCAAGGCTCTTTTTTTCCTTTTCCACATTTTCCAGTCTATCAGTCAAAGCATTCTTTTTCTTTTCAAGAGTTTCATCACTAACAGGTGAAACTAATGATCCAACAGCACGCATATGTTCTTCTGACATCGATTCTCTCCTTTCAACAGGATCAAAACGATCTAATTAAATTGTGGGAATATGAATTTGTATGAATGATTGAAATTAATGAAAATAATTTTAAAATATTAACCAGTAGATAATTTACAAGATGGTGAAAAACGTTGCCCCCTTAAATATCGTTGTATTCTCTATGTAATTTTCCTATTTTCCTACAACATATTGTTCAAAATTGAAAATTCTTTCGATTTAAAGAAAAATAGTAATCCTGCAAAATAATGATCTAGAATGTTCTTTTGGCCAAGTAAATATAAATTAGAAGGTATCTTCATTAATCCAAATAAGAATAATAATTTTTTATAATTTGTTTAATAAGCTGGTTGCACTTTATAAATTTATGTTTTTCAACAATTTACTAAAAGTTGAGGCTCCAGGTAGTGCAGCGAAATCCGATATCAATGACGGGCGCCGACGAGGATCAGAATCCATTAGTGAAAAGTCCATATGCTGAAAAAAAGAGGAAAATGTTAAAAATGTCGGAAGATCCTTGTGGCAAGAACTATTATAATTAACTTACATTGCGATGTCGATTAACAGATGGCGGTTTTGATGTCGCAGAAGGTTTAGAATTTTGAGATGAAGGATTTAAAGGTTGTCTTAACGCATTAATGCGAGATAATTGTGAAACTGCATTCATCTGAACTTGTTGGGAAGTTTGATGTAGGTTTTGTTGCGTTTGTGGCTGTACGTGTTGATGGTATGCTTGCTATAAAAAATTGTATTAAAACATTTTCGAATTTATATGCAAATGCCTATTCAACAGATAATGATAATGAAGAATTCAGATCTTGTATGGGGATTCAAGGAAAATATCTTTTGCTGTTATCAGCTAAATATTTAACCATTTCGAAAAAAGCAAATTTCAAAAAAATAGAAAAGCGAGAAGACCCGACCTGCATCGCTTGCATCTGTGCATTTTGTGCAACCATTGCAAGTTCAATTTGATGATGTAATTGTGCTTGAGCAAACTGGCCCTGCAAAAAAGAATTTCTTTTAACATAATTTCTTCATAAATCCATTCAATAAATAATGAAAAATGATTTTCAATATTTTCAACAACTTAATTTTCTCAACTTCGACGATCGAACAAAGATCAAAACACAAATTTTTTATCTATTATTCCTTAATTGAAAAAATAAACACCAAAAGCAAAACGTGTTGCTAAACCAACGAAGAAATTTTTGTCTTTGTTTGCTAATTTAACAAAAGAAATTCTAATCTTGACCTTGATTTTCACCCAAATTTCATTCCGAAATTTTACAAGAATAAGTGAAACAATTCATATAATAGAAATCTAAACCCACCAAATTTGCACTTATCACAAAATTTTTTTACATTGCCATTGTTATTAAATTGTAATTATTTTCATTAGTATTCCTTTTTAAATCAATTTCTCTTTTATATAATCTTCATTAAATATTATTGCCACCGATAACCAAAACTGGTCAAGAAAAAAAATCCATTATTTTAGCGGTGATAACTGAAATGGAAACAAACTGAATATAATGAATAAGGCTGTGGTGGTATTCCCAATTGTCCTTGAAGATAAAAAGCTGCCAAATTCATATTATTTGCATTTTGCTGTGAATTCGCTGGTGCAAACTGATTATTACTGTTACCATACATCTCATTATTCATAATATAGTGAACTGTTAAGAGATCTGAAATAATATCAAAATATCAAAAGCTCTGGATTATCGTCGAAACAATTTTAAAATCAAGTTTTTTGAATTGAAAAAATAGAGCCACAAATGCATGCTCAAAAAGTATAATTATATAGATAATTCAAGCAATAATTCAAAATCCGGTTTTCTTAAAAATTATAAATTTTAGTTCTTAAAAACTGTAACTGTCCATACAAGACTGAGATAACCGATTTGGTAAGTCTGGTACAGAGAAGTGTCACAAATTATATCCCGATGCCTTAATAAGAGACTACAACTTGCCATTAAATGTGGAATCAGAGCAGCGCTTGAAATAAACCTGCATTTTTATTCCCCAAATGAAGATTGGAATGAAGAAGAATGCCCAGTATGTTTCATCTTACATATGAAATTAAGCAGATAAAAAGTTTTATTTTTTTTCGCCGAATTAAAGATGTTAAGTTAAAGATATCAAAGATATAAAAATTAAAAATTAAAATAAAAATTAAAAGGAAGAAATTATTAATGAATAAATACACTTATTATAAGAATAGTAGAGGTTTAAGAAAAACTGACGGTTGATAAACGAATTATCAAAAATATTTTTTAAAAATTTCCTGAGCAAAATAATTATTGAAACCTTACTTTTAACATTTTAAAACAAATAAAAGTATTCTACAAATAAAAATATTAATATTAATATTTAAAAATATTAATATTTTTATTTAATATTAATATTTATATTAATATCAATATTAATATTTATTTATATTAATATTTAAAAAATTTTTTAGAAATATTTTTTACAAAATACTGAATTATCTATATAATTAATCTTTATTTACAAATCCCTTCGAAATATTAAATTGAAAAGGAAAAATCGTAACAGATTTTATATCTTCTCAAAAATAGAAACTGCCTCTTAATTAAATCAAAAAATATTTATAAATTTTTTATTAATCCTTATGAATTTTAATTGATTTTAATGCATCTTTACTTTAATTTCAGTTGATTAAGTAGGTTTGATCCATTTAATTAAATCAACTCTTTAGATGGCCGTTTGTATTGCATAAATGGGACGGTCCGATGAAGATAGGACTTAATTTAATTTACACCAACCGCCACTTAACTTATGTAAATTTTGCAATCTCTAAAGCGAAAACCTACAACCCCCCACCACCCCCCTTTTCCTATCCTCCTCCTCCCACAAACAAAATATCAAAACCATTTATGCGATAAAGCCGACTGTTAGTATTGTAGAAAATATGGACCGAGTCGGCCACTAATAAACCAAACGTAATGTGAACCGCTCGATATAACAAATCTTACAGAGTAGTTGCGTTGCTTCGATTATAGTCGTGCTTGACGTGGTTGGGACGGGCATTATTAATATTAAAGGTGAAATCGAAATGATGGAGCGGGGAGGGACTAGGGGGAGGTGACAATTCTAAGGCAATAAATCTTATGTTAATGGGATTTGTGGTGCATTTTTTGTAACAGTTTTATGAGAAGTTAATGCATTGATTCACCTGAAACAAAGCAAAACGCATAATATTCGCTTCTTTTACGTATATTCACTCGGCACAAATCAAATTAGTTATTCGTCACCCAATGGCACGTCGGTTGGATGGTTTGCAAGATCACGGAAATGCCCGGAATATCTTCCGTGTCATGTCGCCATTTTTTCGGTACCGTATAGCATGAGGCTTCATGTGGGTTCATCCTGAACAGAGGGTAAAGCAGACTCCCTTAGTGAGAGAGTCATTAACACCACATGTCGAACTGGTTTTACACCGAACTCCAACGAGGATTTCCGCAAGGTCCATTGATTTCCACCTTGCAGAAGGCTGATTTCTTATTGGGAAGTCGGTGTACTGCTTGTAACTCCCTTTCTATTCTTGTCCCTTTGACAAAATTTTCGTCTTTTCTTTTAGCCAGAAATGGTGAACGCTCACCACTTGCTTACTTACTGGAATCGGCCGCCAGAAGTTCTTCGAATTTCTATTTTTATTTGTGATTTCCAAGGGCAAAAAATTGTAATATATTCAAAAGAAATAACTATTATGTAAGAAGCTTATATTTAGCTAAACTTTAATTCATTCCAGAAGAGTGCTTTTCAAACTTTTTTTGAGTTCCGTTTATAGTCTTCTTTTTTTCTTTTATATGAGCATTTCCTAAATTTCGCTGTTTATGAGGGGCTCAAGCAAGTTTTGTCTGATCTCGACGTTTCATACAAGCGATTGTTTGGCTGATACTGCTGCGATAGTTTCAACTATGACAATGGGACGCGGAAAGTCTTATGAAAGTAAACTGGATCTTCGGGCGTTCTGTAAGTTGAAATAGTCATCATCACAGTTTCGAAAAGCACCATTTGTTCATTCATATTCATTGCTTGTGAACGCATTTCGTTTATATTGTTTTCTGCTAGCGATGCATTTCCTTCGATTTCATGCACTGTTGCAAATATTCTTCAAATCGTGATTCGCGTGCGGTTATGTGTTTCATCGATTTTGCAGCCTTTGATTCAATTGATAAAACGGTGCTTTTGAGAGTGATGGAACGCGATAATGTTGCAGAGAAGATTATTCGACTCATAAAGGCATTTTATTAGCGTACTTCGGCGCAGGTCTGTATATATGAGGACTGACACACTCCTTCGAAATAAGAACTGGTGTTCGTCAGGACTGCATCCTTTCCTCTGCAATATTCAACTATACGATAGATTGGATAATGTACACTGCTTGACGGCACTCAAAAGTATAAATATCAGTCCGGAGCATTACCACAGATCTTGAATCGTTGCTGATGTAGTCCCTTTTGCTGATAAATGCAAATAAAGCCAAACAATTTGTCGACAACTGCAGCAAGAATCGGTCATAAGAATACAAATAAAACGAAAGTATTTTCATATTATTTACTGAAGAAACTGATAAAATGCCTCTTTTCATCAATTCATCGCCCTTTGAGGAAGTGAAATACCTTGGACCCACTCTAATAGTGAATGGCCAGGTAAAAGACGAAATTATAACCTGGATAACGGCAGTTAAAAATGCGTTCTTCCGGTTGACGAAACATTTATGGAGTCGTCGCGAGATCACCCCATAAAAACTAAAGTATATATATAGTTGCCATTCGTTCGATCTTGCTATATGGCTGCGAGACATGGCCAGTGAGAGTGGAGGATATATAAAGAGGTTATCCGCCCTTGACCACTCTTGTCTAATATACCTTGTCTAATGTACATGTATATTTTACGGGTTCGCCAAGTGGATAAATCTCACATGGTTGCATCCGCCTTCTCTCTGCCATTTGTATTAACAGTACTCACAGAAAGTCGTCTTCGCTGGTTAGGGCACGTTCCTCATCGCCCACTATAAAAGTTGATACATATTTCTCTAAACCCTGTGACGGATGGCTTCAAAAACGAGAAGTTCCAATAAGACCTGGACCGATATAGTCAGAAAACATTTTAAATGTGTAAATGGACCAATGATATATGGACTCAGACGATGAGTGGCTTCTATTACTGTCGACGATGGCACCAGATTGTGCAGCTTGGAAACGTCTTACCTTTGTATCTAGTGGAGTTAGCCTGACCAATAATGGTGAGAGCTGTTAGAAAAGAAGAAAAAGAATTCGGATGCCATCAGTGAACTACGAAATAAAATAATTCTACGAACCCCGGCTAAACTAACCTCAGTCGTATCCGCGACTGCAACAAACGCATATATATTTGGACATTTGAAAAAATGACACAATCAGAAGTTCTTTCATCTGAATGAAAAATTTTGTTTCTATAAAATGAATTTTTTAACGAAATTTTTATTTGACAAAAAATATTATGAACGCAAAATAAATTATTACAAAGTTTTATTGACAATGAAATGGTCAAATGAAATTTTAATTTTGCTTTATAATAAATATGTTAGTGGATTTTAATGTTTAAAAAAAAGAAAAACTATAAAAATCTGAGAAATGTTATAAAAACACCATTTGAAATTAGCCATCCTTTTTTAGTTTAATGTAATTCTGATAATCTTTAGCAACTCTAGCAATTTGTCAAAGAGAACCTCATACATCCTCCTTTTAGGCGCAGCATGCCAAGTCTCCGTCAAGCCATATCTCTCTGAAGTCTCTCTAGTAAGTATATCACGTATTTATGCAGTGGAAGAATGAATTTAAAGTATTATGGACCAGATTTTGATGGGCTTTCAATGCATAAATTTAAGAAAATTTTTCCTTCGGAATTCTTGATTGTGTCCTTTTCAGTCCGTCCAAAAATGTGCATTCTTCAATGTGTGCTTTTGTCGATGCGCCATTCTACCATAAAAACCGCAATGTGGTTGATGTAAATAGTCTTATTGTATTTTAAAAAAATCTGGCCAGTTTAGCTTTGATGAGTTGGCTCTGATATATGTTTCGAATTCAGTAGATTGGTTGAATTTCAAAAATAATCCATTTTATTCGAGTTATTTTCAGAGCATTCAATTTCTCATCCAAAACAATAGTTTAAGCAATTTTTTATGTATTTTTCAGCGGATGATTTCAAGTGCATTAAGATTTAAGTATATTTTCGAAAGAGCAAACATCCAGGAAAAAATTTCAATGTTGAGAAAATTGAGAAGTCATAATGATAATTTTAACATTGTATCACCATCTAGATGAAATCTAAGATTTCTATTAAAATCTAGATTTACTGTGTCAAAATGGCGATTTAAAAATAGCGATGAAGAGTTTAGATAATAATTTCGAAATCAAGAAATTGCCTTTACTTTTCCAGAAGCTCCGGAAAACAAAGTAAAAGTTTATTCCGAAATCAAAGGACTATGACGAGGTGGGGATCTGTTGACTTCCATATTCTCGTTTTTGAATTGATTTGAAGAATTCTGGACATGGTTCTTGTTTCCACTGACATCACTGAATCTTTCATTCTTTACATTTGTTGAATAGCACGATAATTTAAAAATATTAAGGTATTGCAGAATTAAATTGCTGAAAACTTGATTTTATTTTTTTTAAAAAAAATAAAAATTAATATGCAACACGAATCTATTGTTTTTGCACCCAAGAATAACATAATAATTTTCTTCTTCTTCTAACAGCTCTCATCATCACTGGTTAGGCTGGCTCCAAGGCCTATTAGAGTAAGACGCTTCCAAGCGGCGCAGTCTGATGTCATCGTCAATAGTAATGTGCCAACTGATGTGGTGGAGAACGTGACCTAACCAGCAAAGGCACTCTGTGATTACATTATTTATGCAAGTGGGATTTGAACGAAGATGGATGCGATCTTATGATATCTTATCCGCTCGACGGATATGTAATATGTACCTAAGAAAGCAGAGAATTTCCTAATATCCTCCACTCTCACTGGTCATGTCTCAGAGCCATATAGCAAGATCGAAGGGATCACGGCTATTTAGATGTGGACTTTCGTTTTTATGGTAATTTCACGACGACTCCATAAAGGTTTCGTCAACTGGAAGGACGCATTTCTAGCTGCCGTGATCCGAGCCATAATATTATCTTTTGCCTGTCCATTTGGTATTAGAGCGGACTCAAGGTATTTGAAATCGGGTATTTCCTCAACCGGTAATGAATTTACATAGTAATTTTATCAATTTAAAAAATAAATTTGTTATAAAATTATGGATAACTTTATTAAAATTGCAAATCAAATTCAATTCGATATTTTTATGGAAGGAAAGGTTTACAGAAAATCGAAACTCGTATGGTTCGTTGCAGTTTAATAAATTTATTTTCTATATTAAAGATTCTTAGTGGAATATATATGGAATAGAAAAAATTTGCTTTCTTATTTGCTACAATCGTTTAATACTTTTTTACAATTCAAATAAGTCATGATAGATTATGGATGGTACTTGTGGGGTACCACTGTTACTTCCTTAGAAATTTTAATTTTTTATGTTATAGTTCGATATATAATTTATTTGTAAATTTTATTTTCTAAGAACCATGGTTTCTAGCAGACTGCCTGAATGGTTCACGTAGAAAAAAGGTAAACATCAAAAATACTCTATTTTAATAAATTTTCATTTTTGGTGAAAAATTGATGCTTAACGTCGAAGTTTATTTATATTCAAGGTGCAACTAATTTAAATCGATGATACTTAGCGAGAAAAAATAGTTTTCTGAAAAATATTTCCGTTGAATTGAAGTTTTCTGTTTAATTTATTGAATTTTATTAGAAATAAGACGATATATTTATTCACAACGTTGTTCAAAAAATCTTTTTTTGCATAAAATGCCAAAAAGTTGTTCTTCTTCTGGTACAAACAATTCTCACCATCTTTTAGTTTGATTGATTCTTTTGACTACTACGATAAAACCGTTCCTTTAAAGAAACATTTGCATTTAAATTCCTACAGACCATTTCCACCACTATTCTAATTCTGCTGTCACTTGCTTGCATATTTTTTTAATACCAATCCACCATTATTCGGTACCAATCATCTAATTGGCTTTGGCTTTGGATATTGGCTTTTTCTTCTGCTTTAGACAGAAGCACCATCTGCAATTTGTCTATTGACTAATACGCTAAAATTGCTTCGTTTAAATATCATTTTGGAATAGAATATAAATTGCATCCCCATCACCTGCATTTTCATAATTATCTAATAATTATTTTCATTGTTGTTCATTCAACGACATTAACAAGATAAATCCTTATCAGTATCCTTATTAAAATCTATTGAATAATTTACACCGTTTTTCTAAAATTTAGTGAAAGAAACTGATATGTCACAAAAGAAATTTTATCAAAGCTCTCTTCGATTGTTAAGAAATTGATTCGTCATTTTATTTCATTAAAAACTGGTAAAAATCATCGTATTGAACTGTTAAAATCCATTTAAGTGCATTAAGCATGGTAACTAAGACCAAACTGAAAAACATCACCAAACAAAAAGAATCGACTAATAGCAAAAGAAGTTCCGCAGAAGTTCCGCATCTCCCAAATGACTTCCCAAAAGACATGTGTATATACATTGCATGGACTCCATTCTCTCTATTCCTTTATCCTTATCATAGGAATGAACAGAGGTCATTGTAATCAGTTATAGATTAAATTGGAAAATAACCATGAATAGAAAATGTAAAAAGTTTTTGTATAAACCGTGAGTGCAGTAAATGGAAAACAAAGAGAATTATTTTAGTGGGACCATCATTAGTGGAACTAATAGTATTAATAACTGTTTCTAAAGGGTCGTAAAACGATTCAAGGGGTTTTTACCGCATGCACAAGAGAACGGCGGAGACGTATTAAGTTCTAAAGAAATTCTTAGGAAAGTCTAAAAAAATTTTGATGTTACGGACGGAAAAAAAATAAAGCAGTTTTTAACTCAGCGCTGGAGCATAATAAAAGGGCTTTGGAAGGGTTTTAACGGACAATTTAGGCTTTGTCCTTCATAATATAAGACTTTAATATATAAGACTTTTGGCTTCAATTAAAGGGATTCAATTGATGATTGGCGAAAATTTCTTTCTCGGCGCAAATACATGCACTCTACAAATATTATGCGGGTTTTTCCGAATGAAATTCCAAGAAATTTCTTCTGGAAACTAAGTTAATAAAAATTCGTACTATTATAAGTTATAAGCGAAAATTTTTCACAGTTTTTTTAAGCAATTTTTCACTATAATTCATAAATATTTTCGTCTTTTTCATAATTTTTCATACGACTTTTTGCAGTGATGCTTCCAGCTGCCATCATTCTATTTTCATCTATAACCGTCTTATCTTGCCAACAAATAGCGGAGGATCGAATACAGAAATGCTGTGCTAAAAGAAAAGTGTCCAACTCATGTAAACCTCTTTGTACCTACAAGGAGATCAATTACACTGAGGTAAACATACATTTCTCCGACTCTGTATTTGTTATATTGAACGAGTTTATTGAAAATTTACTGCTATTCGATGAAGGTATCCGAAGAATTTCTTCGGATTATTAATTTGGCCTCTCAACTGTCAAGAATCGAATTTATGTTGCCATCGAAATCGTGCGTGTAAATTCCTATGATGCTATTACGATGGCTTCGATGGTTGGGAAATATGGTGTCGGGCGAATGTAGAGGACAAATTTTTGCCAAAGAGTAATTTATTAACAAGAAAATTTCCTTACAACTAATATTTCAAACAAATTAAGTTGCACCACTAGATAAAGTTCTTATCGTGATGCTAAAATCTGACAATCTTTGCGAACCAGGTCACCATACTGTGGTTCGAGCCGAGATGCGTATGACGCTGGATAGGAAACATGATAGACAATAAAATTCTGCAAAATTTTTCAATATCTAATTATCTTCTATATCACGCTAAAAGATTTGGACAGAAAGCACATTGCAAATTATTGAAGCAGCACGGTATGACTATGACACCTTTGGAGTGGCCAATGTATATTGGTCCCAACTAAATGCGTTTCTAAAAATTGACCAAATACACATTAGAATATGCCACTTGAAAATTCGTTATTTGCACCCATCAAGAGATTCTAACTATCGGACGCTTCGAAGGTATGGAATAAAATATGGAATATTGACTGCGGGACAGAAACCGCTGTTTAGCTCGACGATAATGGAAAACTTTTTCGTTTGCCTTGTTACCATAACTGGCCAATGAAATAGTTAATGAGACCATTCGATATAAAGAATGTTAAGTGTCGCAAGGGTTGCCTTATGATGTACAGCAAACATTTGCGAATAAATTTAAACGCTAAAATTAAACGCTGTCTGTCATCCCGAACGAAGCTATGAAAATAACTGCAACAAAAATAAGAGATATTCCTCAAAATTTAAAAGCTTAAAGCCAATAAAATTCCAGCAGAAGACGATCTGAAATCTTCAGACGCTATCCAGTATCCTCCATAACTCACAACGCTGGTATATAAGAATGAACCAATACCTGATGACTGGAGCAAAGCCATCCTATTTCTAGAAGCTTAATAGGACTTGCAATGGTGACTATTGAGGAATTGATCTTCTAGATATTTCTGGGAAAATATTTTCGCCTGCTCTGCTGAATAGACTTATGGGTGTACGACATAGCGGGATGCGCGTAATCAAGCTGAATTTGGATTGGGGAGCGGATGTGGTGACCAAATCTTCACAGAATAAATAGAATGTTTAAATAATGGCAACTGTGCCTTCGATTCGACGTTGATAGAGTTAGTTTGGAGGGTGATGGAGTGCAATAGAACCAGTGTTCCAGAGGAATTATTCAACTTATAACTTATAAAGGCACAAGTTAGTAAAAAGGCATAAATATGTGTGTATGTGTGTGGGGAAGGATGGTGGTGGAGTAGAGTGGCTGCATTCTTTCCCATAGAGTAGATTGAATTATAGACACCTCTTGCGACCATTCAAGAACTATTTAGGTCAGTCCATACTATACTATCTATATTGTAGTTGATGACGTAGTCCTTTTTGCTTAATTTATGAACATATAGCTGAAAATCGGATCTTATAAACGAAACCAGTCTCTTCATTTTATGTACTACATGCTATTTTTATAAATTCATCATTGACTAAAGAATTGCAAGATTTACCTTAATATCTTCGATTTAGTTTTGCACAAAGTGGCCAAGTGAAAAACAAAAATCTAGTTCGGCTATAAATGAGTTTCTTCTCTCTGGTGTGATCTCTATGGAATCGCCTTGTAGACATTTTCGACAGTACTTATCCAGTTGGGTGAAATGGCATTGTTCTCTGTAGCACTTGGCACTATTACCTTTGTTGTATGACTATAAAAATGGCCCATGAGGGTAGAAGACCATCCTAAGGTGCAATTATGTAGTCGCAGAGTGGAAGAATCGCCCCATAATTACAAGCTCGAATACCATCCGCATTAATAATATCGTCATGGAGCATTTTCTTTCCTTTTTTCGCCTCCCACGCAAGAATAGACGGGCATCTCTCTACTTTTTAAGCCCAGTGATGGATGATATCAAAAGCAAAGAGAAGAATTAGGAAAAATTTTGGAAAGCCCAGCGAGTATATATGGGTCTAGATGATACAAAAAGGAATATTTTTCAAGTAGCATCGAATCAGACGGTTTAGAAACGCCTCATTCTTGAAGTAAGCTTAACCAGTAATGGTGCATGTAAAACTAAACTTGCGGTGAATATTGTATTAAATCGCATGAATCATCTGTACTACTTGGCTCTATTTTTTTGGTACCAAGAATCAGCATAAATATATAATAGTGATATTAAAAAAATCATGCACGACAGCAATAAAGCTACAATGTGCCATGTTTTGCGATGTTCTTTCAGGCGATGCATATCTTTGCGTCATGCACTAGTGAAATGGATTCAATTTGGCAGTGCTCTAGTTCAATGAAGGACCACCAAGAATGCTGCAAGAAAAGTGGTGTAAGTGGTGAATGCTGGAAGATATGCGATGGAAGCAGTGGAAAATTCGATGATATGATGGAATTTTTCGTGGATTGTTTAGATGAAACGCCTAAAATGAGAAAATGTTTTTCAGAGCATTTGGAAAATAATCCTGTCGAAAAATAATATTTTGTTAACAGTAAATTATCGAAGTTTCAAGGAAATTCACAAATTCACAACGAAAATTTGCCGAAAAGAAAGATTTACCGCACAAATGGATGCAAAATGCTTATAAGAAAACAAATAAATAAATTACACTGTTTACCATTTTAAGCCTAAAATATATACATGCGTGCTGCATGTAATTATTCACTTAAATTTGGCCAAATCTATTTTATAAATTGCTGCGCTGCACTAATCGATAGGTCAATGGCAATATATTGCCAGGCGACCCGTGAGTTAGGTCCGAAACCGGTCGAAGCACCACACGTTGATAGTGCATAACTGAGAAAGTAGAGGAGAGTAGAAAGGCTTAATGGGTTGTTGCTCAGTTGCTCAATAAACATGGTTCCCTATACTTCGATTTTTCTATTCGTTTTCCCTACTTACCTGTTAATGGTGGAAGTCTTACAAATAAAAAATTTGCTTTTGCGAGGTGTTACTCGAGGAAAAATAAAAAGCACTGGAACGGCCGAAGAGACAGAGAACTAAGAGAACCAACTAAGAGAAACGAACAGAAATAGGTCTATTTTATGAGCAAAATCGGACACAAACGAGCATGCACTGGGCAAAATACACCAACACAAATGGGCAGACACTACCAATGGGCAGGAAGGGAAAAGACCAAGCAGGAACAAAGGGACGGGAAACGGCGGCGATGAACACGAATCGACACGAACTGACCAGTGGTACCAGCGCTTTACTGAATAACTAGTTCGCCTGATTAATGTCTGTTTTCAAATCAAGAAAATCCACCGGGCACCTATAACGCTAATGGATACAATATGGAAATCCATGACTAATTATGGGCAATTCTCCAAATCAAACTCTCAGATTAGGGACCGAATTTTTCGTCGATGGTTGGATTGTGAACGAGTTTGCCATCAGTCAAGTCCAGTCATTTATATTCGTTCCTGTGGCACGTTTTATATTTTTTTTTGTAATTTGGGCATAAGTAGGTTTACATCTTGGAATGTGCAAATTTGTTAAAACTGTACTATTCCGACAAATTTGCGTTAAAACATTGGTCTTCTTCATTACGCGTTCAGTTCCTTTTTTTTCAAATTTCTAATTAATTTATAATTTTCTTGTCTTTCGCTCACTCGGCACATTTCGGTACCATGGAGCACATTTCGGTGTTCGGTACCATGGAGCACATTTCGGTGTTCGGTACCATGGAGCACATTTCGGTGTTCAATACCATGGAGCACATTTTGGTATTCGGTACCATGGAGTACATTTTGGTATTCGGTACCATGGAATATATTTCAGTTATCTGATGTGCAGAGGTGCAGAGGTACGTGTCGATTATACGACACTCAGTGGCACATACATGTTGATTGTAAGCGCTTTTAGAAATGCCGACATATAGATAATGCATTGTTCAGCTCCATGGTGGTCATCAGTTATTTATAAATCCGTCATCTATAATGTGCAGAGGAATACATAAAATAATAGTTCTCCAGTACTTCGTGCCATTTTCATTTTATTTTCGCAGTTACATATTTTATGAAGCAAAGTAATATGAAAATGAATATTTTAGAGGCGAAATAATTAATTATAAATAATTTTAATTAATGAACAATTGATAAATTGCAAAAAAGTGTATTTTTCAAGGTTTTCGATTTTTTAGAAAAATTCGTAAATGCTTCAGAGCTTCAGAGAGTCCGCATTTTTTTTACTTTATTTACAAGTTTAGCTCATCAACTAATAATTACTAATTAACTTCTTCTCACTTCGAAACTCATATTATCACCCTATTTTTTTATTCTTAGCATGGCGAGTGTTCTTTTATAGGTATTGTTTGATATTGTTTCCTGTGCGATCATCAAGTCGAAATGGTTTTTTTTTCGTTTTAGGCCTAGGCTTAGATTATTTTGAAAATGTAAAAAAGAAAGTTTTCAGAGGAAATTTTTCATTCTTAAAAAAGGGAAAATTATTGAGAAAACTGCGATAATTGGTTGCTTTTTTAATATATTATGTAATCAGGTTTATCTGCAATGCTAATTTTCTAGAAGCAATTTTACATGAGGTATTCGTTTTCGTTTTACTAGTTTGCTTTGTATCGATTAGTTTTTAATACGAATTGAAGTTTAAACTTCTTCCATAATGTTGTGCCATATTTCAGCAAATTTTTTTGTTAAAATCTCGGATGATTTATTTTCTATCTCCGAATTTTTAAAGCAACTTTTTTATATAATAATTTTCCATTTTTACACCTTTCTGTCAATCAATCATTTTTTTTTAAAATGATTTTTCTTTAACTTTTAAAAGTTTGAAATTGTCGAAAATAGAATTTTTTCAAATCATTTTCATTTTATAAGTTTATATTTTTTAGAAATAGCATATGTTACAAAGAAAACAGTGATAAGCTTTTTGCTTTTGCGTTTATCATGAAAAAATTTCAAGAATCAAGTGATCGAAAAAAAGAAACTCATTTAAGATGTGAACGTCAAAGAAGAGAAGCGATCAACGTTAGTTGGTTTTTAATATGCATTATGTGCATTTTTTTGTCAGTTTGCATTTATACTGATATGTTGAAAAGTTTTTTTTTGCACGAAGATTTTTAAAGAGAATATTTTTTATTCTTTTTCTGTTCTATCATTTATTACTTAAAGTTTTATTATTCAGAGTGGTTATCAAAAGTTAAAAGATCTTTTGCCACAGTCGCTCTCACCAGTTGGTTGCAAAACGACAAATGCTGCCATTCTTTTTCGTACAGTTGACTATATTAATCAGTTAAAAGGTGATATAGAAAGTATAGATACTAATCTATCTCAGCTTGCATCGCAAGTGTCAACATTGGAATTAATCATTAAGGAATATGAAAATATGTCTGCTGCGAGCTCGATTGAACCAAATAATTTAGTTCAGTGCAATGTGGTATTAATTTATAATATTTTTTATATAGGTTTCAATTCAATAGTTGAAGCCAATATTTTTTTCAAAAATTACATTCATTTCTCTCTTATTCATTTACTAAAGGTATTTTTATTTCATTTAAGCTCATACTTTTAAAATAAATTATGCTATTTCAGATTAAAACATTTCTCGATTTGTGTTTCCAGTCATTTCGTAGTCAAATCAATGTTGCAACTATACAAACGATGACAAAAACATTATTGCCCTGGGTGGAGCAACTTGATTATGAAGTAATTCTGGCCTTTTTTTCATATTTATATTTTTATTTCAATCCATAAAGTTTTGCGACTCAGAAGTTCCACAGATTTTCTGATATTACTCACAAACATTTATTTATTTTTTATGAGCCATTTATTTCTGTTCTAAATATCTAAGTATCTTTTCGACATCGGAATTAATCAAATTAACTTATTTATACCATATACATATATGTTAAAATTAATAAATTAAAATTTCCATTTTCTTGAGACCATTTTATTTATAGATGATATTCAGTAATCTCTCATCATTCAAAGATTTTTTGTATTCGTTCATAAATTTGTAGGATTGATTTCTCCGAATTTTTTTGCAAAATGAAAATTATTTTAATAAAATTTTAATAAAATTCTAATTGAGTTAGCGATTTAGAATATAGCAGCAGAACTCATCGTGTCAATATATGGTCATCAATGTGTTTGATCAATTTTTCATAGTGCCATGTCGATTTTTCACTGAAAATACTAAATCTTATTGCCTCGTTAAATGGTAATTTGTAAAAATCTTTTTTATTAACTCTAGTGCTCTGTATTTATTTTTTTGCTATTTTTATTATTAATTTTTTAAATTTTTTTTGTTAATTTTAACTCCATTGAACGGAGCATAGGGAATGATGAAACGAAGCATTTGAATAGAATATAGTCTTGAATATAGTCTTATCACTACCTCTTTTTTTTTAACTTGTATTGAATTCTTTGACTAATTTTAAATATTTTTATTCATTTTCGTCGAATTGAAATAATCACCTTGTATTAATTTACGTCGAGCTAAAAAAAAAAAACTAAAATAGGATCTGATTAGAGTACATTTAAATGATTTTTACATTTGCAATAAATCATTAATAAAATAAAATATTCCATCGTGCAAAAGATGATTATTTGTGTGAGGCGATAATAATGCAATAATAACAATTTTACTTGAATTAAATTACGTTCATCCACAATCGCATTTTGGAAATGCGCCTGGAAACTCGAACGAGCGATAGGCGACCAGATATATTTCATCAAATGAGTTGGATATTTGTATATAGTTTGATAATATTCGAGAAAAATCGAAATGGAAAACGTCTATTTGGATAAACAAATAAATTAATTTAGGATAAACAAATAAATAAATTAAATAAATTAATTTAAAGAACATATGATATTCGTCTATAAATTTTGGCGTTCAAAGTTATTTGTACTGTGGTGATTGATGAAAAATATTGAAATAATAGTGGTTTTTGGTTTTGCAGAAACAAATTAAAATGAACAAGTGCTAGTAAAAGAATTTATATTAAATTTTAAAATATTGATTTGGCTTTAAGAAATAATTTTTTCTTTTAAAAACAAATTAAATGAAAGGTCAACACATTCTGATTAGCTGAGAACGTTGGTGTAGGTTAAGACAATTTTGCCAAAACGTGGGTTGCGCCGTTCCCGCTGCGGATTCTCCGCTGAGATGTTCGTTGTTAGCGGGAACAAGCGCGAATCGCAGTACATGAAATGGCAATGTAGGCAATAGATTCGATCATCGTATCCGTTATCGAGGCAGCTAAATTTGCTCATTTATTGCTACGGTTGAAGCGATTATCGGCCAAAAACAATGAAAGTTTCTTGAAATGGCACAGAAGAATTATTGGAAAATAAAAATATATAAATGAATGAACAATCAAATGTTTATGAATCAAAATATGAAACGACGATTTTATTCATGCGTTTTTTCTCCTAAAAAGGTGAAATTTGAAGACATTTATTACGAAAATATGCTAAAATGTCTTCTGTCAAGAAAATTTTCCATTTAATTAGCGATAGTTAAGCTAATGTGGTATATTGCTTCGGCAAAAGTCGAGCCATCCATCACGGGAGTGTTTCTATCCCTCAAGAAGAGTAAAGCTGCCATTAAAGTGAACTGCTGCTGGAGGACTCGTTTGTATATCGAGTCCGAGTGGCGAAGAGACTAGTAGCCAGTGGGAGTCCAAAATGGAAATTGCTAGTAATTATTCATTTAAGAATGAAAAAGGGTATTGTTGTTTACAATGACTCTTATCATCAACTCTCACTGTTTAAATATATGGAAAAGAAAGAGATCATGCCGGCTTCATGAATGGAAGCACTTCATTTTCGGTTCAGTTATCCATATTTGTTTCGGTTAAAGCCAAGCCATCCTACCATCCGTCATAGATTCAATTTCTCTCTCTTACCTCGAGTAAAACTGGCATTAAAAGTTATTCTTAGTTTTTTTCTTTGCTTTTTCCTTCTTTTTAGAAAATGACTGAGAAGAAAGCAACTGTTCCAAACAACTGGGAAATGGCAATTTCTTTGTTTTGCTTAAATATTTATTGAAATAATTATTTATTATTTATTTTTGCATTTAATATTTATCTAAAATTATTATAGCTTCAACATTATTATCACAGAATTATCACAGAATTTGGCATCATTGATAAGCTATACTTCTCCCACAACAACAATTTCCTCACTGCGACTATCGTTTGCTTTTATTCATTCGACAATTTGGCTTATTCCTGACAAATGAACACAAGAATTAAATTAAATATAAATTTTCATTTCATTACTATCCTAATTAATTTTATTTTGTTAAATTTTCGATTTTTTTTTTCTTTGGGACCATTTCTGGCTTGGCTGACTCCACTGGGCGGATGAAGCGTTCCCCAGGGCTATCGATTTGATTTCATGCAAATAAAATAAGTCATTTTGATCTTTGCCCACTCTTTAAGCCTTCCTTCTGAACTACTTTTAAAATTCGAATAACTCGAATTTTTCACATGCTTACTGCTGGCAATGGCCGAATATTGGGATTCGAGGCCATAAGCCACTTAAGCCACTCGGATCCGAGGAAAAAGCCGAATCTTACGCATGCATATGAAATAACTAAAACATGGATTTAAATTTTGCAATGAAGTAAGTTTAGTTGGTTTAGTTGATTTCGTGCATTGAAATTAAATAATCGCGTTGAAAGTGATTCACATAAGTCAACTAATCCTATTAAATTCTCCAATATTACTGATTGCTTCGATTTTTTCCGAACTCAGTTTCGCTTAAATTTATTCTTTCTTACTCGAAATTTTGTCGTTTTATTCCAATTACTATTTTATTGTTAATTGCATAATTTTTCAACAATATTATAACATAAAATATTTAATTTTATTTTTTTTATTTTTTAAAATTTTTATGAAATCCTAAAATGGAATCGAATATGATTTTTCGAAATATCAAAATACCTCGACTTCGTCAAAACAATTTTTACAGAAATCCCAACGCAGAGGTCAGTCTTTTCTCTTCAAATGTCTTTTTGTTGACTGAAAATGTTTAACTTAGTATTTAAAAAAATATTTGTAATTCTAGAACTTCACTATCATCACTTATCATCCACCATAAAAAGCGCGAATTTTCGCTTTTTTGTCTTATTCATTTTTAATTTTCGCTATACTTTCGATCTACTGGCTTATAATCAAAAATTCCTGATTTTATCATTTAAATCAGTCAGAAGATAGGTTATCAAAAAAGCAGCAAAGTGATTCAATAAAATAATTCAACGATTGAATTTTCTAGGAGAAATCATTTATGCCAAATAATGCTTTGGATAAATCGACGGATTACATAAATCGGGTATTTTCTAAATTATATTAATAAAAAGCCAGCCAATTTTCGTAAATGATTTGTGTTGATGCAGACATTTAAAGAATTCACTGATGTTTCACTAAAAAAAGACCTGTGGAAATCCTTCATATATGTCTGCCATCTAAGGAATTTTTGAAGAAATTAAATTTGTTGAAATGCTGAAAGAAATTTGCGGAACCTTCGACAGAACTTGGTGCTATTTCCTTTATTAGCACCATACTTTATGCGAGCAAATTCGCAAATACACTTTTTGAATATCATTTACTCGTAATTAAAACAATTGCGTTGTAATGAAAGATTTTATTTACCAAAGAAAAAATGTTCAAATAACGAACCACTTTTTCGTTATATATAACATTCGCCATTTCTGGTTTGGTTGGCTCCATTTATTCCTAGAATGACGGAAACATGGATGGGTTCAGCATTGCACGAAGCAGATTTACAAATTTTTTTGGTGGTTACGTCTCGAGCTTCTCTTCACTTACTCGTTTACAATCACTCTTTCTTCAACTTTTATTACCTGTGCAAATTTGTTTCTTAAATTTTTGCTATCACGGAGCAATAAAATAATGAATGCATTCATTTCAAATAATGATACAATCTAATTAGGAATGGTAGGTATAATAAGAATATTGATAACACTGATAAGAACAATGATATTAATGATAATACCCAACAATAATAATGCCAATAATAAAAGAAGTAATAAAAATAATTATTATGAAACTTTATAAAAATTTTAGCATAATATAGCAGTCCAATTATGTGTTATTATTATGTTACCCAACAACAGACAGTAGAAAATATATATTAAAGGACGAATATAAAACAATAAAATTAAATTCTGATATCAACTAATATCAACCTTATAGCGGCATATAATAAATAGTATATGATGGTACAATGCTATAAATATTTAGTTGTACAATATTTAATATAAATGGGCTGAAGAATTTTTTCGACTGCAACTGTGAAGAACCTTCTCATAAAGCATAACCAAACTGGAAGATTAAATAAAAATCAAAACTCTACAAACCATGAGAAAAACACAACGATGATCTGGTTACCATAAATGTTTCAACAAATGCTCCATATTGATCACTACAATAATTATGGTGGTGATAATAATGATAATAATAAATGATAAATAACAATAATAATAATTTGGGCATAACATATATAGCAATACTAATAACAGAAATAATGCTAATAATGGAAAAAAAATATAAGCTTATATTTTAGATTACTAATGAATTTCGCTTTCTCGATGATCGCGTATTGCAAACACCACCAGAGCCATCTTGGTTACCTTATCCTATTACTGAATTTGCTGATCGAACCGAAGCTCGTGGTCGTTTATCAAAGAGTGAAAGAGATGTAGCTGTGAAAAATTGTGAAAATTTGGCCGATGGAAGTAAGAATAATTTATTGCATCGAATCGACTATGTAGGATCACTTGAACAATATTTTATTGTTATCATTATTGGAATAGAAATAAGTGCTGCTTTTGGCCTACTCGTCTACGGTATTATAAGATTTGGCAAGATTTACGAGGTATTTTCTCGTTATCATATCATATCTTTTTAATTTAATATATCACATAATTTGTTTTTGTTAATTAGTTAGCCAGCTAGTCGTATATAATAACGACTGAGCCTTTGAAAAAAGTTATGCAATATGCAATATTTACGCGTTTAAAAAATTCTTCTTTTAGCGGCTCTCACCATTTCTAAATTGGCCAAATCCATCGGCTATTAGGATGAGACCCTTTTCCCAGAGAGTCAACCTATTGGAGAGAGAGAAGTGCAGATAAATGGGTTATTCCATTTCCAGTTTAAAATTTTGCAGTAACATTCGAAAATTTTTAGGTTTTTTTTCTTTGGTTTATGATGTGCTAACTTTAAACTGTTGGTTTCATTGCTTTAAAGGTTTTTATTTCGATCTTAAGGGGGACCAATAAAATGGACAAAATTTGTAAAAAAATAAAGATAAATTTTTCAAATCAAATCTGATTAGTAATTTTTAGGAAAAATTGAAGAATATGATCTATGATCCCTGATAAGTCAAGTGCTTCGAATAAAATAAAGAAAAAAAATTCTTAGCACTATGGAAGGTTGGTGGGAAATCATGCTGGCGTGATTTCATTATCATCATGAATGTGGCATAGGAGGTGGGTAGGCCGGGTAACTCAGATTATTGTCTTGAGCTTTAGTGGTTTGGATCTTGTCTTTGAGAGGAACAGAAGGTTTCATTGAGAAATCCGTGTGACGCTAACCGTCTACCTATATGCATTTAACGATCCTGTCGCCAAACGACCCTCTGGCAAAGGTTTCTGACCATAATAACAGCCAGAGCAGCGAGCCTATCCAGAAACTGCTTAATAGAAATCGCTTACTTGTTATACGGGTTGAGTCCTCATTTTTCAAAAAGCTTGCGAAATTTTCAAGGAAATAATATGGCTATAATATGACCTATTTTCATTTCAGTTCCCAAATGTTTTTGTGGATTTTGATTTCCTAGCGAAAAATTTATCTTCTCTTCCAATAGAGAATGTTTCATCAGTGCGGAGTGCTTCGTCATGTATCGTGCCTGCAATCATTCAAATGTTTTCTGGTTTCGCAGTTTTATCGACTATATTATGTGGATTTAATTTATCGCTTCAGGCAATCTCTTTCTCTTTTCTTTCTCTTTTCTTATAGCCCTTTATAGCTTTTGCGTCTATCTTTTGGCTAATGTTGACGAAAACTCTATTATTGGCCACTTCATTGGTATTTCTACGGTGGTTGTTGGTTTCCATTTTATCAAAGGTTTTTGGGCTCATTCTATGTCAAACATTTTTCTGTATTTTTTCAATCTTTTTGATAATTTTAAGGATTTTACTTTTCCTCATTGCTCCCTTAATATCATTCATTTTTTACTTTTAATCTTGGTTTTAATCTTATTTTATTTAATCTTTTTCATTTATTTCTTTGAGAAATAGGAAATCCTCGCGATATTAATATGTTCGCTTATTACCTTAATTTTTATAAAAATTTGGAAATTTAATTTTTTTTGATTTAAATTTCATTGAAACGAAATTTTCTGGTAAATTTGCAGATAATTCATATAGTCTTTTCATCAATTTGTATTCCATTTTGGTTTGATGCAATTTTTGCAAATTCCTATGAGCTTAATCTTCGTTATGTTCAGTTAACTGAAGATAATATACGGTAGAATTACGGTCATTTTTTTCATTGAAAAGCTTTTGAATTTTTATATATTTTTCTTAAATGTAGATTTTTTCTCAATAGCTTTCAAAGCATTTTTAAGCCTTATTAAAGTAAAAGGTTCTATTAATTAATTAACAACACGTCGCACTCGGTTACTTGTTTTCAGCATATCGCTCTACATTATTCTCTTAGTTCTGTTATCGTTTACCGTTTTAATTTTTCCAACAATAAGCGTCGTATGTAGTGTTCATATTATTTTAAAAAAATTTTATCATTTATCAGTACGGAATGATTCAAAGAATGCGACAATTTTTTTATCATTTTGCACAGTCGTTATAGCTGCGGTAGTTATCGGAATTACAATTGCATGCTTGATTAACACTTCAAAGAATTTTTACCACTCGTTAGCTAAATTTATTTATTATATTAATATATTAATATATAAACTTATATAAATATAAACTTATAAGACTAAATTCAAGATTTTCAAGATTTTATACTCGTTTCTACTTAGTAAAGATTTAATATCTAGTAAATCCATTCTTTATTCGTTGATCCACTTATGAATATTAATCGAGGCAAAATACAACTCGACAATCCCTATCTCCTCCTTATCACCCTCTAATCCTTTATCATATTTTAATTTTCTTATCAGTTTTTAAAAATATAATGTTGATGCTACTAGCATAATATTATAAAAAATGCTTAAATACGAATTATTCAATTTGAATTAATCAAGAAACTATGGTATTTTTTAAAAAATCACTTGGTTTCTTCAATAGAACTGAAAATTTACTAGAAAAATCATGAAATACAGGCATAAAGTCGATTCTTCAATGATTCTTTATGGACTTAAAGAATTTACCATTTCATTATATATTCTTATTGTTTCTTTCGCTGACTTTGTGATCGCTTTGACAACTGAGAGGAAATTTCATATTGTTTCAGTACTCATTTACAGGTAAATGTCTTGTTTAGCTCAGAATCTTTATATTTTTCAATTTTTTGAACATTGTACTTGGCTATTCTTCTTCTAACAGCTCTCATTATCATTACTGGCTGGCTCCAACGGCTACAAGGGTAAGACGCTTCCAAGCGATCTGATGCCATCGTCGACAGTAATAGAAGCCATTTTTTTCCGTCGTCTAAGTCCATATATTGCTGGTCCACCTATACGTTTAAAATCTTTTTTCACCGTATCAGTCCAGGTCTTGATTGGCCCATCTCGCTTTTGACGCCACCATCACACGGTTTAGCAAATAACGAAATATGCGTCAACTCCTGTGGTGGACGACGGAGAATGTGCCCTAACCAACGAAGGTGGCGCTCTATGATAACATTATTCATGCAAGTGGTATTTGAACGAAGATGGATGCGATCATTTGATATCCATTCGACGGATCCGTAATATGTACCTTAGACAAGAGTGGTCAAAGGCAGATGACTTCTTAACGTATTTGGCTATTATAAACTTGTGAATGGAATCTGGATTGCTCTTACTCGTATTATCAGCCTTAAATGACGGCTCTGGCGATGTGGTCTCATCCAGCAACCAAAGAAGTCATAAAATGAAATACCATCAGAAGAAAATCAGAAAAAAAAAGAACTTTATATTCCAAGCGAAAGAAGAGAATGAACCATGCAAGTATCCTCTTCTAATGCCCTTTATTAAAATCATTTAAAATGTCATATCTGTGGGAATTGTTATTGCAGAAGGCCTTTTTACAATATCCAATCGTATCGTGCAAAATGGATACTAGAAAATTTTTCAAATTTTTCAGCATATGCTTGCTAATATTGCTGATCCATTTGGTAACTGGTTATCGCCTATTTGCTGTTGCGCAAAATTATCGAATATTGAGAATACTTAATGAAACTGATGCACCTTTTAGTGCTTCGATGTAAGTATTTGTGTTTTGTCTCAAACACCATCATATATTTAATATCGCTTTCCTAAGGTTTCTTCCTTCCTATTTGAGGCATCTAAAACTTGTGTAAATATATAGATAAAAGATGGTCGCAAACGAGGATTTTAATAATTTTTAAATCCTACATTTTAAAAAAACTCCCTTGCTTGTTCGCTTTACCACAGGTAAATTTTAGAAATATGTTCGATGAAGATAAATGAAATATTTTTTATAGATTTATGATTCTAAATAGTTTCGTGGTAATCCTAACGATAGCAATCATTGCGAATATCGTTGCGAATATTTTCGCATCATCTAAAAGGAGAAAATTATCGAAAATATGGTCGCTTTACCAGCCAAACAATTCGAGCCAACGGACACATCTTTGAAGATTCTTTAACAATGGTTGAACGATTACCATTCAGTGAAATCTATTCAGCGTGCACTGTCATATACATTTCAATTTTTTTCTAAAATCATTCCTACTACTTTGCCATAAATCTGTAATTTTCAGAATTATTTAAGAAATTTGTGATTTCAGCTTATAAATTTCTCATTAAATAGGAATAATCTAAAAAAATGGCAATTTAAATTTCTGAATTCAGAGAAATTTCGATTCGAACTTAGTGAATTCAAATTTTTCTGAAATTTCGCAGAAAATTTTATTTTGAAACAATTTAAATGAGTAATTTTGATAACTGCGATGATAAATTCTCCACTTAAATTTTTTTTGCTTATCATCGATTCTTTCAAAGCCTAATTATTTATCAAATATCACACACCGTTATATCAAAATCAATCGTGCTCATCGTTTAAAACATGGGTCACCAGCTTATGGCTCACGACGGGTTTAAATCCGGCTCGTCTTATTATTATGGGATTCGGAAGCGAATAATTCTTTTCCTCACTTCTATGCAAACATGTACTGTGGTCGTCTACTGACGTGTATTTTTTCTTCTCTATTGAGGGCAAAAAACGTACTATGTGTTATTTTTTCGTCTTCGTTGCATGGAGTTGGGTTTATAGCTTTTAGGAATTCTATTGTGTTGTTGTTGTCTGGAACTAGTGCATTGAATTGTGGATTTAAAATAAGGCGACTCGATATTCCTTCTTAGATTATCTATTAGTGTTTTACGTATAATTGTCCAGTTATACTGAGCCACACGTTGGATTTTTTTAACAGCAAATTTGCATTTTCCTAAATATAAGGTTATCCTCTCGGATCTTACCACAGAAGGTATTCTGACAAGAAAGGCAGTGAAATTTCCGCGTGGACATTCTACTGGCGAAGTGGCTGCAGCAATAAAGCAATACATGCCGCAATGCTTATTAAATTTAAATTTCAATTTTTCTTCTCATAAAAAATTTTTGCTGAAAATTTAAAATTTAAACACATTTGTTCTTTTAATCCCAGTAGTCCCTTCAAAATATGAAAAGTGAACGCTGATTGCCGCGTACTTCCGCGAGCGAATGAATGCAGATTTCTCATTTATGGTGAATCGCTATCACGAAAAATATTCTCAGTAACATCAGATAAGATTCAAATTTCCGAGCTTCCCAAATTATAGTTGAAGAAGGCCTTCACCAGTGAATTTATTAAAAGAGTTCGTTCGGCTGCTTCCGAAGACGCGTGTCGCGCGTCTATAAATTTATCTCCATCAACGGTGACAAAAGGAATGGAAATTTGCAATAAGGAGTAGGATGCAAAAAAAAGTCCGTGAATCTTGATTGTTCGGATCGCTGCTAGCAAAAATAAGATGTAAGCCACGCGTTTATTTATTTATTTATGCGGTGTTAATCAAATGCCACTTTTAAAAGTGGCATTGAAAAGCTTGAAAGATTCAACAACTGGTGAAAATATATTTCCAAAGTCAGAAATGATTAATAATCTCCAGTTTGCACCAAATAATTAATCAACAAATAAATAACCACAAAACTATCAGTTATTATTTTCAATCTCTAAATGCTACATAAACAAAATAAGTACAAAATTCTATTGTTTAATTAAATCAAAATTGAAATACGTGGACCTTTGTTCCTGAACCACAGATAACTCTAATACAACGAGAATTCACTCCAATAGCTACAATTTCAATTTGCAAGACTACAAACATTAAGTAATTAAATGAAAAAAACGACCTTCAAGAAGACCATATTTTTCGTTGGGGGCATTTAGATAGATCCAATCCGATAACCAATGAAACTGAAGAAATATTTAAATGAGATGAATCAACAATTATTTTTAACAATGAAAGTCATATTGACAAATGCAAGGCACGAAATATTAAACAAAAATAGTGAAAAACAAAACCACCATTATTCACCGTTCACAAACTTTGAAGCAGAATGCAAATTTGTTGAAATATATCGCGAAAAAAGGATGAAACTAAAAAAACTAAAAGAAAAAAATATAATTATCCTATAAAATACAATATAAAAAATATATAGACATTTAAAAAATATGTATTTGATAAATTTGAAATTACATTAACGAGAAGAAAACCGTGAAACATCCATTCAAAAATATATCCATTTATGTTTTTTGCGGAATAGTAAAGTTCATAAAAATCAAAATAGAATAGGCAAACAGTATGATTTGATTTTGAGCTGGTACCAAATAAAATTTAAAACATTTTAAACTTCCGACGATCAGTCTAAATGCAAAGTAGGGTAGAAACAACGACTAGTTTTCACTGAATTCAATAAACATATGGAGAAGACAAATCGAAATTTCGAACTGAAATAAATTTTCTTCTCATAAAACTTAGCGATGAGCAATTCAATATATCACCATCTTCTGTTTACTATTAATAAATGTTGGCAAAAAAATAAAGGTAATATGTAGAAAGAAATTTCCAGTACTGTCGTAATTATTTATGGTGAACGTAAAACTGCTGAATGATTTAGTAAACCAGCTGAACAATCAAAATTATCTAATCGCAGCTCCAACTGAAAAAAAAAAATATGATAAAAAATAATACGTTTTTATTTCCAGTGAAGACCGAACGGTTCATACGACCTTTAACGGTAAATTCCTTAATAAACATGGCCCAACTGAAAAAATTGAGGAAAGATCCATCGATTTGAGCTATTTGCATATATGATCTAATATGAAATTATTTGAGCTTTTTTTCGAGCATTAAAGATTTTATAATTTAAAAAAGATTCTGTATTTAACCATTCCAATAATTGGTGCTTTAGCAAAAACGCCATAATTCGTTGCATCTTTCACAAGAATTTGCAGCTTATAATTACGTAAATCGCTTGAATGAACATCAAAATCGAAACTAAAAAAAAATATTTTACGAAAATTAAAAATCCATTGCTTGAAAAATATGTGCATGATTCCTTCTATATCCACAACACTGCCGGCGGATTTTATGCTTGATAAAAAGAGAAATGTGAGGTTTAATCCTCATCAAATTATATAAAATAAAAAAAGCATGACAACAACAATGAATAATTTACTGATTATCAAACTGGGGTTCTAATGATTGTTGTACTACAGCAGTTTTTCGTTTTTGAATTGGCAAAGAATTATCTATGGAAACAAGTTTGATAGAAACATATGGGTCGGCCGATCCTTGCTTGCTCATAGCTTGTAATTCTCTATAAAACGAAAAAGAGGAAATTAAAATATAAAAAATAGATTTTCATGTAAATATAAATTTCATCGAAATAACAAATCATATAGAAATAAAATTTGCTAAATTTATTAATTTTTACGTTGCAGAGTGAATTATTATGATTAGTTTATTAGTCGTTTTGTCATGCCGAAGGCTAAATTGCAATCGGCCTCGAGAATAATCCCTGAAATATAAAAAACTAAAATTTAGCCAAAAAAATTTTTTCCAATTTTCGTCAAACAAATAAGACAATCTGCTTTTTTGTATATCTTGCCAAAATGGAAAATATATTCGATCAGTGCAGAAATAACAGAACTGAGAGTAAAATTTACCTATTACTTACATGAAGCCGTTGGTGTTTGGCTGAGAAAATCTTATTGCCAAAATTTTTTTGTATAAAACTCTGACTACTGCGATTCGATTCACCACTATTTCTTCGCATCTTTTGAAAGTTTTTCGAGAAGTTTGCCTTCACTAAAGAGGAATGGATACTCGGTGACGATATAATATTTTCATTTTTATTTACTGCATGGTTTGCACCACTTTTTTCAGCTCTTTCAATATGAATTGCTGAAAATTTGTTGGTTTTAAAATTCGTTCGACCAAATGGATCTGATTAAAATATTATCGATAAGCAGCTAATTTCATAAATTTCGTAAATTTCTCATAAATCGAAATTTTATCAAACCGTTAGCATAGGAACATTCTAAATCATTGCGTCCAACAGAGTGTTCACTGGAAGACAATCTATTATAATGATCGAATCGACTTTTAAAAGCCTAAAACAAAGTATTTGAAAAAACTACAAACTATAATAATATAATATAAAATTAAAAAATTGATATAATTAAGATTTGAATGGGGTTAAAAAATGACAAATATAAAATGTGAATTGAAATTATACAGCTAAATTCACTTAAAAACGATCTAACTTCATTATCAAATTCATAAAATGAGCATAAGAAATTGAAGAAAAGTGGAAAATCTCAAAATTTCAAGATCTCAAACTTTCATGATAAATTTAAATAAATAAAAATAAATCGGTCAATTTTAAGAAAAAATTATGTCGTAAGAAATCTTAACGGTTTAAGCGAATGAACGACTATAATTGTAAAATGTAAAGAAATAAAAAACGAACACGAATCCGAGCTGTGATGACGATCGGACTTTGATGAACCCCTTGATTTAATACAAAAGTTTGTTGAAATATTTCCATCTTTGGTTCATCTACAATCGAATTTAACGGAATCTTCAAGTCCCCCAAAGACCGTTTAGTATTATCATCAATAGCCTTAAAAGCCTGACTTTAAACGAAGGCATATAAGAACGATAATGAATCTAGAATTTTATCACTAGTCCATCAGTTAAAAATACAAACGATAAAAATAAAGCCGGAAGTCATACTTCGATCTTAAGCTCTTGTCCTTCTGGATGTCGAACAAAAAACGTAAATTTGCTTTGAAAAAGTGGATTAACTGTTTTTACTTTTACAGGTGTTCTGTATAAATCTTTGCCCAAAGAGATTTCAATAAAAGGCGATGGCTCCAGCTTTGCTCGCGGATACTGAAATAAATTATTAATCATGAATTATTAATTAAAACTGATAAACATTGTAAGGGAAAATTTATAGTAAATCGAATCGAATATTAACTTTAAATTAATTAATGTACATACGGGAAGATCAGAAATATTGTCGATAAAAACCATTAGAATTGCAGGATGCATTGGTTTATCGGCATGCAACCAATCCATATTCCAGTCCTGTTTTTCAAGATCCTTTACAGAAGATGATAAATCAAACCAGTCCGCCTGCAATATATTTATTTTTCTTTAAATTAAGTTCTTTAAATTTTGAACTTTTTTTCAATATTCAAATCAAGATATATTAAGTGATCGAAAAGAAATAGTCCTCTAAAGTGATTAGTCGCTTCCTACCAGATGAAAAATCGATCGACAACGTTAAAGATGAAAAAAAATTTCGTTAGGATGGAAGAAAAGTTGCAAAATTAAATAAAATAAATAAAGAATATAATATGCAAAAATATACCTTAATATGAATATCGCCATGCTTACATCCTTCCAATGGGCACCATTTATCCATAAATATCCCATCACGTATTTTGTTAATGTCAATAACCAATCGACCAAGTTCTTCATCAGCTCCTGCTGTGTCTTCATCAAAAAGTTCCAGGCGTAATTTCTGCCCATCCGCTTGATCAACGATTGCCTCAAAATATTCATTCCATACAGGATTTAAATCATTATTAATAGTTCTTGTTTTGAAAAACTGCGAGCCCACTGAAATGAAACTGAAAAATTATAAAATAAAAAAATAAGTGGCAATTTAAAATTCTTAATAAATTCATAATTAGACTTCTGAATTGAATTTACTCATCATTTTTTTAAAGATTAATAATTAAAATATTAAATAGACCATTTTTAGAAAAACAAAAAACATTAAACGAACAAAAAATTAAATTAATTGCGGCTGAAAAATTCCTGAAAAAAGGTCCCAAAAAAAGCAAAGAATATATACACGAAATTTGACAATCATATTTATTTATTTACTTGCCTTGGATTTCACAATAAGGATCACTTTTTCCTTTTTTTAGAAAACTGATATCTCTATTTTCCAGATTTTTCGCTTCAATAATTTTCAACCGTATTATTCCATCCGGCTCAGGAAAATATAACTTTGTAACATCGACATTAGGCGCCAACGACACCACTATTTCATTTGGCAGAACACATATATTAGCTACCTAAAACATAAACAAGGCAATTAAACTATTTTAGAATCCATCCAACAAAAGAAAAAAATGAAAAAAACCGAGTTCGAAAGCTTTTTGAGGAAATATTAAATGATATTTGAAGGCGTCTTGTCTGAGGAAATAATCACTGTGATAAGTCATATTCTTTTCCCAGAATCAAAAAAGGATCGAAGAAAAAAGATTACTTCGTTTGTACTGTTTTTCGGTCAAGAAATTAAACGAAGAATCTAAATAAACAGCGTAAAGAAAAAGTAGCAATCAAATGACATAGCATCCAAGGGATTAAGAAAGTGGGGCAAACAAGACTATGAAGGTTGCCTTGGCTCACTAGTTTTGGTTAAATCTGCGCTACCCTAGGGAATGCTTCTGCGATGTCCATATTTCCATAATCCATATTTTTTTCCAACTGACGTATTAAGCAATGCAATTCGTTACTTTCGAACACTGGCGAAAAGTTCACAATGAACGAAATTCAAGTAAAAATAAAATTCTCTGTTGATGGATCTTGACCTTTTAATACGTGCAATAGAGCTTAAATGGACGACAACCAGTGGTAAATAACCTGTTCAAAAATGTCTTATTCTTCATTTATAGCGTGAAAATAGTGACGAGATGCTGGATTTTATTATCAGTTCATATGAAATGCAATATAGAAGGATCGGTTTTTCACTGTATGCACAACCATTTTGCAAGCGTTTGCCATGAATTCAAAGAATGTCGGGTATATCCAATATAACCTAATAGTATTTTAGTTGCATTTTGAGTTGGGTCGTGAAATATTTTATCTCCTTTATCTATTGAAGTAAATTTTTTTAAAGTATATATCTTCTCAATAACTTTTGAGCGGCCCAGTCGTTAACTATTTTCTCTCCAAATGCGATATGTGTATATATATATATATATATATACAATTATTACAAATAAAATAAATTCAAATTCAAATAAAATAAAATGGCGGAATCGTCTGTTTTCCTCTGTAAAATGATAAATTCCGCTAAGTATTCTTCGTTGAAATTAAAACAATGAAATAGGCTTTTTTGGTAACCTATATAATTAAAAGCCCCATAATTTCCTGTTTTAACTACGGCTCGGATCAAATTTGTTGGCACATTAAAAGGAATAACAGCTATGGCAGCTTCGTTAACCGACAACAATTCAACAGTAAATATCATTGCAGAACTTTTAGGAACGATAATCATAACAACAAAGAATATAACCTGGGCATTAACCACAGAGCGAATGGCATTCATTAGGCCTGGCAGTTCAACCAATTCACCCAATCCAGTTAGATTAAAGTCGATTGTCTGAAAAAATATCTATTGAAAACTTAAGAAATTATCTATAAATTATCTAAAGAAAATTTTTTAAAAATATTATTGAAGTGATTGTTTCCAAAATTCTTTAATCCAGAATCTCTCTCTCTCAAAATTTTCCTTTAAAAACTTTTTCTCCCCACAATCTCGAAGTGATTTTTTTTATTATAAAATGAATATTTAATATTTATTTATTGTTCATAATCTTTTAATCTTATTTAATCTTAATTTTTCAAATTTTTATAAATAAATTTCACTTTTCTAGAAACTTAGAAGATTAGTTCCTTTCTCTGCCTTAGCTGAATTTAACTTTGGCTATTACAAAAAAAGCGTCCAGCAATGATGATATGCACTTAATGCAAAACGATAGATAAAAATAAGTACCACAAAAGCCTAAAATAAAAAATAAAACATACTGGTTGTTCCAAAAATGATGCAGATATGCCTCCGATCATTGGTGGATAAGGCAAAAGAGGCTTAAGGGTGGCACGAAGTTTACCCGAAAACTATAAATTGCAACTATAAATACAAAAATAAAAAAAAGAAAAGAAATAATAGAAAAATGAACACATTAATTAAAAATTTCAATTTCAATTTTTAGAAAATTGAAGAAAATCAAAAAAATATTCTTAATAAGCACATTTTACAAAATACAATGACTTTGATAAAATAAATAAAAAATTTAAATGTAAAATGAAAATATGAATAAATATGAAATATGAATAAAAATTATAATAGCGAAAAAGTGAAATCAAATCACAAAGATTTTGAAAACTAATTTATGATTCAAATTTGAATAAATTAAATCTAAATAAATAAATAAATCCAAATTAGCGAATTATTACTTGCAATTGATTGAGTCCGCCAGTGAATCCAGCAACGCTAACAGAAAAATCAGAATCGCCAGCATAAGCGACATCCATATCAACAATAATACGATCACGACCAACGTTATGTGTATATACCTAAGTATGCTAGCAAATTTCGAAAAGAAATAATAAAAAAAATCAGCAAATGCTATTATAAATAAATATAAATCCATGAAAGGATTTATCCATTATCCGAAATACAAAAATGAAAATAGAAATGCAAAAAAGAAAAAAAAGTTGAAAATTGAATTGAAAGAAAAAAAATGAATTAAAAATTAATAAAACAATTTTGAATCTATAGGATTGTGACTAGGATTATGTGAAGAAGAATCCATAAACTCAGTTTAAAATGTTAAAAAATGAAAAAATACCTTAATACCTCCAACTCGACAGGGTATATCACCCACATCCATTTTAGTAAATTTGAAAGATTTAAATGCAGAAGGCATTTGAGCTTTTACTTGCGGTTCAATAAATTCCCGCAAGAACTGCTTCGAATATTCTCCAATATATGGCCATAATTGCAATATTACCTGAAATCTCTATAAGAATGATTAATCAAAAATAGGAGAGAGCTCCACGATTATGCTTTAAACTCCGAGAAATACTAGAAAAATTTGCTTGGCTTTTAAAGTAAATTTTCAGAATTTCACTCTTTTTTATTATTTCTAAGAATATCAAAATTCGCCAATAAACTTTTCAAAATTGGAAATAAAAAAAATCGAAAATAAAAAATAAAATTTCAAAAACTTCTTTCATAAAATTTTCCAAAAATTTCATATAATAATAAAGGAATCAACAAAAATAAATGGTTGATCAACATTTTTAAAAAATCGTTTATATTTTTTTAAAATCTCTAGTAAAGAAATGTACGAACCTTATTCATCCATTCTACACGTTCAGTATCAGGAAATTGTACCCATGCAGGCAAATCTTGTAGCTGAGCCATAATTACCTAAAAATGTTATTATAGAATAATAATACTATTAAATTAGCCAGTTTATAATTAGATTTTTGATAAACAAGCAAGAAATTTAAAAATATCATAATGCCAATAATTGAAAATTATAAAGATTTAATCAAAAAAAATCGAACCTCGCGTTCTTTCAATGTTGCCTGTCTTAATGCAATTAATCTTTTTTGTCTTTTTCTCCACATAAACGATTTTATTCCATTTAATATGACCAAAAGTATGATCCAAAAAAAAGAACAATCGTAGTGGCCCAACAGGTAACAACCCTTAATTCAATTATTTTTTAGATGAATTGCCTGAGTTAATGCTCAGCATTTACTCAGCATTTACTTAAATCTATGCCCGGAAAATTCGTTTAGGAAAATCTAAGCCCAGAATTCACTGTACCGAAACATTCTTCGAGGTCCAGTTATAAGCAATTAAAGCCCGATAAAGTCCAATTAACATGTTCAAAGCGGATAGGTAAAACAAATCAAATCATATAAATATTAAAGTATAAAAAACCTATCTGACGATCCTATCAAAAAATTTAGATAAGGAATTCAGTCACATCGTCTCAGTAAATGTCAAATGATTGGAATGTGCTTAACGAATGGTTTCGCGATTTCGTAAAAGCGCCTGAATCTTTAAAAAAAATCCTTAAAAATTTAAGTAGATCAAGTAAAATACAAAGAAAACGAACCGACAAAATAGCAAAACTACCGCAAACGGGAACAATATAGGTTTGTATTCGCATAATTTTTTTTTTCAGTTCATTTGGAGATCATTATGAATACCTGAAAGAAAAAATTTGAGATTTCAAATGTTCCACTAATCTATGAAGTTTAACAAGTTTTTGCCAGCAATCTGTCAGATATTGGGTTCCGCTAAGACCATATTTTTTGCGCTCGACTCGACGCAAATTCGTCATCAAAAATAAAATGGGAATGATGGTGGAAACCCAAACCCAGCCGTACTAAGCAAAACATCTTTTCCTAAAAGTTTTCTAGCAAAAACTTTCAACAACCGATCTATTATGTCTGTGACCAAGCATATTCAACAGTGACGAGACAAATATTTAGTGGTAAAAGAGAATACAGCATAAAATTAAAATAAAAAAATATACACATCAAAAGAATAAGAGGATGACCAGCGACGTTAATGGACTGTCAATATCAGATTGGTTGGCCTTATTTATAGTCGGATTATGAGGTCAAAGACATCGTATATAGTGCTAAATTTAATGTAAGCGAGGTCAAATAATAGTGATTCAAGATTAGTTTGATGGTGCTACACGCTGGTATTCCTTCCTTCCACAATGCGATTTCATCTCATATGCTAGTTTTTTTATTTTTTAAAATTTAAAATTTACCTACCATTACCTACTTGCTTTTTCAAATCATTAAATAGTGATTTTTTTTTACAATTATTAATCATATTATCAGCTAAGCAAATCCATGCTTTTGATAAGAAAAGTGAAATCGATTTACAAAGGGTTTTTTTGATATTAAAATTAAACTAAAAAAACTTCCTTCTTCCTTTCAGAAAATTTTTAAGAATATAAATTTTTCTAAGCAGAAAAGCTTTTAATCTTGCCAACAGCCAAAAAGAAATCAATTTATTGGCTAACAACACAAACTGACTCAATGTCTGAGAAGTAATAATGAAAGTAATAACGATGGCAGTTTTCTTCTATTATTATTCCCGTCTTTTTTGAGGAAGACAGGTGCGTCAGCAGTACCATTCTGATTTCACTTTTAATAAACAACCTCTGTGAAGTGAAATCAGTCGAAATCTATAATGGGTAGACCTTAATCGAATTAATAATCGATCATCCCGATTCTGGACCATTAAAGAGATTTGAGAAATGCATGACTAGAAATGAAAGAAAATGATTTTGCAAAATTAATTCCAGAAAATTTTTGATCAGACTAAAAGTTGACAATTATAGATACCTTCTGATTGATAAAACAAGTGGGTGGTTGCATGTGCTTACCACATCTTCAAATTTCTACCACTAACTAATAGCTATTAAAAATGATTAATCAGCTTCAATTTTGCTTTTCAAAAAGAAACAGAAAGGCAATTAAAAAATATCTGGAAATTAGAGGTAACCAAGCCTTAATCAAACCTTTGAGCTGACGGCAAAAAGTTATCCAAAGGCAAACAGCAGGACCCCTATCCTTTAATTTGCAGTTAAATCCATGAAAATCTTGGCAAAATTGAAAATCTTACCCGGGTAATACCTAAGTATTATCGAATGATGCTCTCACATAAATAACTATTAATTAAAGGAACTAGCCAAACCTGAAATTATTATAAGAATGAAACATGAAGAAACATCTTTTAAGGTAGCAGAGGTGATTTCTCTTTCCTTCATCGCTTTTTTTAAAATTATATTTAATAATTTTATTGGTTAATTTGAATTCCATTCGCCAAATTGAACTTATTTCTCTAAATTTTATTATTATTAACAATCATTTCATTTCATTTTAAAAAAAAAGAAAAAATATGTCAATAATCCTCGTTTATGAAACAAATCAATAGAGAAAATAAATTTGTGTAATTTTAAAATATTCAGTCAAAAGAATGACCGAAATTCTTCTTTGCTAAGATGCAAATCAAATAAAAAAAATAATTGAAAATTTCACTTCCGATGAATGAATTATTGCGAAATTAATTAAATTCAATACATTTGATTCTTTTGCTTTTTATGCAGAAATGAGAATCGACAACTTCCAAAAAAAACTCCCAATGATTTATGGAATGAAATCCATACTAATGTCAAAGCCAAAGCCAAAGCATAACTCAATCATTATGGCTTCGATGACTCGAATAAGCTCAACATCAATGAAAAATATTTCTATAAGCAAATAAAAGAAGGCCAATTCACAGTTCTATGGCACTCATTCCATCAAAGACAAATTCGAAATTTTTTTGACTCAGACATTCTAACTTCTTTCTTCTAATCTGGATGGCTCTACCCATTACAGTAATGAGGTTCTAGCGCGAGCAATTCAACTGGAAATAATTGGAAATAGGTCATTCTCCATCTGGACTGAGATTCTCCATCTAGACTTTTACTTCACTCTCATGAAAGGATAGGAATCGAAGCAATGGCACTTGATGCGACCATTCCGAGCCTTAAGCCTTTTTTCAGCTCCGTAAATCTTTAAATAATGATAAATTTTACAAAAAGTATAACCTCACTGTATCAGCACAAATAAAAGAAATTACAAAAACTTTATAAAAAAATGCAAGAAATAAAAATTTTGGAAAAAATATGAACCAACGGCAAAGTGGTGATATTTGCCAAATATTCAGCGAGTCACATGTCACCATTATTCCAAACAACAACGCAACAAATTCAAAAAAAAATCGCTATTAAAAGTGTGCTCCATGAATAAAAGCAACCTGAAATACGGTACCACTAATAACGACTCAGTTTTATTTAAAATACCCAAAATAATCTCTCCTAAATTTAATTCGATATCATTTTTTCATATGACTAATATACTAGTTTTGAAATAAAATTTATTGAATTATTGAATGGGCATCAATTTGGTAAACAATTTCATATGTCGAGCAATTGCTAACGACGCATTTAACCGTAAAACAGCGTATATTTTATAATTCATTTTTTTGACTTTCATATTTACCCAAATAAGCCATAAATTATGGTTTGCTCATTAAATAAACATATTTTCTCACTTCCTTATCACTTAGAAACATAGAACTAATGAATGCATGAAAATCGAATCGATGATAATTATTACTTTCAACATAACCGAAGAAATAAAAAATTGCAATTGCGCTTGCGCTTTCAGTTTAAGGCAATCGACTCAAATAAACTTTTAAATAATTTATTAAAAATAACAACAATAATTAACAACACAAATATTTCACTTTAGAGGAAATTAATATGAAATATTCAAAATTTTAAATGGAATTCCAAAGGCGATGTTTTAATAAAGCTATATTTTCCGAATTTTGGAACATAAGTCGAAATTTAAATTTGTATAGAAGATTTGAATAAAAGCATAACATACATAAACACTATACTTAAAGAATAATTTCTATCGCATGTAAAAAAATTTAAGCCAAGAAAGAAAAGAAAAAGAAGACAATTTCTACTTACTTAGATAAACAGTATACTGCAATTGTTTTCGCACATTTGATCAAAAACCAATCATTATTGCCCTTTAAAATGATTTAAACAAATTGGGAAAGCACTGCGTCAAATTATTGTTTGCAATAAAAATATTACTATGTTTAAACCTTCAATAAACCATAAAAACGAAAGTCCCCATCTATACAGTCGTGATTCGTTCCATCTTACTATATGGCTCTGAGACATGGCGAATGTAAGTGGAGGATATTAAGAAGTTATCTGCCTTTGAACATTTTGTTTAAGGTACATACTTCAGGTTCATCGAAAGGATAAAATATCACATGATCGCATTCACCTTCGTTCAAATACCACTTGTATTCATAATATTATCACAGCGTCGCTTTCGGTGGTTAGAGCACGTCTCCATCGTCCACCACAAGAGTTGATGCATATTTCGTTATCTGCTAAACTCTGTGATGGGTGGCGTCAAAAGCGAGATAGGACAAACAAGACCTGGAGTGACATGGCCAGGAAAGATTTTGGACATATAGATGGGCCAGTAATATATGGACTTAGACGATGAAAAAAGGAATGGCTTCTATTACTGTCGATAATGGCATCAGACCGCGTCGCTTGGAAAGGTCTTACTCTTGTAGCCAACTTAACCAATAATGGTGAGAGCTATTCAAAGAAGAATAAAACTAAGTCTAAATAATTTGCAATTCCCTTTTTCTTTCTTTTATAGTAATTATCAAAAATTAATGAAAATGGTACGACATGAAGGTGAGCCTCGAACTACTGATAGCTCTAAAAATTAGTGCCACCAAAAGATACAACACCATATAGAAAGAAAGCAAAAGGTAAGGACCAAAGGACAATGGTAATAGTAATATAAATTAAAAAGCTTTAAAAAAATGAATTTAGATTTTACTGCAATAGAATACCAACTCTCATTTTTTTATAATAATTTCGATTTTTTTGATAAGGCCTTATTTTCGACAGCTAACTCGCCACAAGCAAGTTCCATTTTATAATTTTTTGTCACCATTTCAACCCATTTCGTTTCTAATTCTTTTAATTTGCGCCCTGCTTCAACTTGACTATTTCGTCTTCTTGAATGTATGTCCATCACTTCTTCTCGCATCTAAAAATTTATAATTCGACATCATTACCAATAAATCGCTGATCAATAAATCAGAAAATTAAACGATTAATAAATCATAAGAAGATAATAAGATCTGAAGTTTCAGAAATACCTTTCGTAAATATTTTTCTTCATGATGAAGTAAATCTTCAAGTCGCTTATTAAATTTAAGATACATTTCAGGCGCATAATCTTCCATTAATTGTAAATTAAGATTCCTCAGTAAAAGATGTTCATTTTGCGCAGCAGCATTTCGAATAGCCTGTAATATCTCAATTGATAAGTAATATCCAAATTTTCTGAAAAAAAACTTAAATTAGATTATTTTAGATAAGGCTTTTCGAGCCCTAAAACTGCTCAAAGTATTGTATGCTGAAATTCTATTTTAATTCTATTTTAAAATTTTTTGAATTTTTTAATGCCATAAATCTTCTGTGTTCTGATGAAGCCAAGGACATTTTCGTGAAAAAACACATACCAAATTTTTTTAAATACATAAAATAAAACAAATAAGAAAAAAAGGACAATAATAAATCACATAGATAAAGTCGCAGATCCAGCTAATAATATGGGAAGTTTGTTACCTACATCGAAATACTAGAAATATGTTAAATTTCAACTGGACATTAGAATTAAGATCTTCGATCTCAAATCAAGAGCTCAACTTTGGTTTTAACATTATATTATATTGTAAGTAAAACTGATCCAATACCAGCAAGACTTATAAAACTTTGAACTATGATCGTTTGCTATGGATGATATGTAAGATGCTATATGTGTTATCCAATTATAACGGTTGCTTTTTTGATAAGAAATTTTTTTTTGATTCCGACAAAACTTTAAATCATACTTTTCGCCATGAAGTTTTGTCACCTTGTCGACCTGTAGTTGATGGACAGGACAATTCACATCTTGACATATCCAACTTTTGCATCTCCTAAAATTTTTTTCAAAAAAATACATATTTCCTACCAGAATCTTATAAATAACCACAAAATTAAAAAAAATGTGGGCGATTTTTATGGACCAAATTCTACTTCTCAATTTTTGATTTAAAGTCGCTTTTATATTAATAAAATATTAATTGCAATAAATTAAATATCTTTCTTCTTAACATCACTCTGGTTTGACTACTTCTTAAAACTACTAAGATGGTGTCGGCTTTGCTAGCATCACCTATTATTTCTGTTAAGAAGGAATCCACGATGCATCGAACGAAGCAAAAAATTGCTCTATCGCCCTGCTCCATAGCTATTCGCTAATTATTAATGATATTGAAAAAAGTGAAAAAAGGTAATATATTTAATAATAGAAAAAACAAATAATTTTTAAAGTAATAATAATTAATGAGAGAAAAAAAGTATTTCGTAATAAAAGAAGCAAACAAACAAAATTCAAATTTAAAATTCAGAATTTGAGATTTTCAAATATTTTTTTTAAAAATGCATTCTTCGCGAATTTCCAAACGAAATCTGAAAAAAATGTAACCTGTTTTTTTGCCATTCGGGAATGTTCATTGATGAGGCAATTTGTTAAAAATACATCAAAATCCGGCACTGGTAATTGTTGCAAATAATTTTTTGTTGGCCGAAATATTTGTGTTTCATTCTCAATCAGCTGTAAAGCCATTCTGCGATCATTTTCATCGTAATCTATATCCAAATACGGTAAAGCATCTACCAAATGCGATGGCTCCATCAGCGAACGACCACAGTTTGTAATTGCCAAATTTGCCATTAATTCTGAAGCAAATCGGCAAATGAGTAGTAATGAGTGGTGCTTGTAGTATATTTCATAATTAACCAATTTTAGTAATTTTTTTTTCTGATAGCCACTGGTAGTAAGAAATCGCTCCACTGGACCAGACAAATTTTTCCGAAGAATCATTTGACATTAGAATAGATTAGTCGCCAGCATCCTCTGCATTTCTGAAGCACGAGCTTATTACTGCCAGGAACTTCAGCATCGTCCGAAATGAAAGCAACAGCCCATTGGGCCATTCTATTGGTTCCTTTTGTTTCCGCAGTCGACAATAAAGCGTGGTGCCAAGCTCGAGCACAATCCATCCTCACAGACAACATTTTACCTTATTACGCACCGTTAATAGATAAAATGCCATCAAATTAACAAAAATGAATAAACTGAATAACTAAGATAAACGCAAACTTTTAATTTTTAACAATTTTTTTATTTCTTAACGAAGAAATTCTTTGATATATTGTAAATCGCAATCGACTGGTAAAAAAAACAAGAAAATTTTTCGAATTTTTTATTTTTCGAAATTCATTTAAGAAAAATTGAAAGCTTAAATTTTTGCAAAATACACGACACGCACACACATACATAAGAATAAATAAACATGCAGAAAAAAAAATGTGCTGACAAAATGAGCAAATTTTTATCAACGATCATAAAAGTTGTATTGAAAAATTTTTTTAAAAGATTTGCAACTCAAACTTTATAAAATTCAGAAATTCCGGTAAATGGTGGGTAAATGCAAAATCTGAGCTATAATAAAAGGTAAGAAAAGAAAAAAATTATTACCAGATAATTTTTTAAGTACAAGAAAAGCATCATTACATCAAAAAATAAAATCTTTATGTTGCCGAGAAGCATTTGCATATTAAAGACCTAAAATCCCTTTCATTTCTACCATTTATATTTGTATGCCTATGTGCAAATAAATTTACAAGTACAAATTTTTGAAACGCAAAGCTTTCGACAACAATTAGTCAAATGATTAAAAATATTAATGTAACAGATCAAAATCATAAAGAGGCATATAAATCTGCGGGTCATAGATGGCGAACTGTTTTTATGGATGTATTTTCTAGGAGAGATTCGCCTCCTCAATACTAAAAGAAATAATTAGTGATAAAATAATCGCCCAAAATTCTTTTATCAACATCTAATCGTATTTTTCGTATGAAAATGCAGCAAAAATTCAATCTATAATTTAAAAATCAGTAAATCTGTAAAATACAACATCAACAATACGAATCTATAGAGTTATCTATCTCTATCATCAAATCACTCATTGGCGAAAGAGTAATTAGCAATCAATGGAGCCAGTCAAACCAAAAAAGGGGAACGGTGTGGGAAAGATAAAAAGAATAAGAAAAAAAGATATTCATCGGATAAATCCAGAGGCGATTTCATTCCGTACCATCAGTATTCGAAAATGTACAGTACAAATACGACTATTTACTCTTTTAAATAATACAAGTTCGAGGAAATATAAAGATAAATCAAAGAAAAAAATTTCAATGAATATGAAAGAGAAAAAATAAAGTGAACCATAAAAAATAAAAGAAATTCTATACAATCTAAATCATTAGTAAACAAATGGTTAATAAAAACGAATACTTTCAAATAATATTGATAAAAATTTCTCTGCAATATTTTCCAACAATTTTTTAATACTCAGTTACGCGAAATTCCTCGTAAATATTCACTAAATAAAATGATATAGAAAACTATCAGAAAAAGAAAGAATTAAACTAAAAAAAAATTAGAAATTCACATAGATCGAAGTAAAAATGGATTTAAAAAAATTCTAACATCTTTACAATAATAACTCGAATTCCAGAATATTTCCATGTTTCCTTCACTCGTTCAAATTGAATCATAAGATTTCTTCACTTATTTGTAAAAATATTTTAACCTATAAATCAAATTCATTATAACTATCTGATTTAAACATTAATAATTTGCAATGGGAATTACAAACAAATTTTCTAACAGATTTTATACATTATAGCGATATCATCAAAAAAAAGAAATGATTTTTCAATATTCAGGTAGTAATGCAATCAAATAGTACCGAATGATTATTTTTTAAATACTTTTGTCGCCGTTTAGGTTTTTACTTAAATAAAAAATGACAATATCATAGTTAATAAGTAAGAAAGATTTTATATGATATTGACAAATTAAATAGTAATATTCCATACTATGATATCACATTAATGACCCGACCGTGAGAAAATAAAATAAAACAAAATTGTTGATAAAAACGGCAAAAAGTAATCAGAAGACTTGAAATGAATTCGATAATATGCTTTTTGATCTCTGCATATAATAAAAAAAACATTAAAAAGAGCACACTATCAATGAGTCCGACGTAAAAAAGGAAAAGGAAAAAATTCAAAATGAAATTATACCCGCAAAATAGGGACATTCAAAGGAAAATACAATTTAATGAATTTAAATATAATTCTTTCAATAAAGAAATAAATGAAAGACTAATTTTACCATAATATCTTGAGCCTAAAACATTGCCCATATATCATATTTATAAAAAAAATTTGAAAAAAAATTAATATATAGATGAATTTCAACCAATCTTCTATTATTTTAAGCGTTTCTTTCTATGCTTTGGATGGAATTACCTGCAAAGAATATTTATAAATATCTTTAAAATAAATTAAAATAAATTTAAATAGAAAAAATAGTATAGATAATAAAGTAAAAAATACTGATTTAGGCATAGGACGACAATAATTTATAAAAGTATGACGGTTCAACTTTCACAATCAATGAAACTTGACAAAAATTCTTCCACAAGAAAATAATAAATAAATCCTTTGCAAATATACTGTAAAATTAAATATAAAAAACTCTGAAAAATGATACATGAAGTGTTTGAGCACATGAGACCTCATCGGTATTTAACAAGCCATTTTCAAGACCCTTTGAATTGTCTTCGACATCTGTAGTAGCTTGTCTTTGACCATCTTTCATGTCAAGAGGCGAACTGGTGATACCAGACGGTTTTCTGGCAGAAACTTTGGAAGATGGTTCATCTGCACTGACCATATTAGTCTTCCTCTTTGTACTGCGTCGATTATTAGCATTGTTTGAATTATTTTCAACTTTTTGTTCATTTTTTATCATATCATCAGAAGTCGCTGGTACTGATATAATTTCAACATTCTAAAAAAAGTGAAATCTCAACATGCCACCAAATTTTAAACAGCAGTGTAAGTGAATATTAGTAACTTAAATAAAAAGACAAAAAATAAAAAAGCTTTAACAAATGCTTCAAGTGGGGAAATAAAAAATTCGACACAAAAAATTGGAGAAAAAATAAGACGAAATTTAAATTCCATTTAAAAATGGACTTTATTTTGCGCCAAGCTTTTAAAAATCTAGGAAGCCTGAACGATTAAAGCATATTTTTATAATTTAATTTCTCATATCTTTTATGGAAATAGAGTGGAACTCACAGGAACGAATCGATATTCTGCAGCCATACTATGAAGCCGCTCTACCGCAAGAATTTCTCGTTTTGAGCAGGAACGTTGACTCGCCTGACAAATTGCGGTCGATAATTCGTGCCGTAAAATCTTGAAAAATATTACTATTTATTTAATATTACTATTTATACTATTCCAATATTAATGAATATTATTTAATATTAATGAAAATAAAACTTGAAATTTTAAAGTATAAATAGTAATATTAAAATTTCCATAAATTTCCATACTGCGATATTTCTGTCTTTGGTTTGTTTGTTTGGTGAATTATTTTCAACAAGTTCAGCATACATTGGATCCCAATTACATTCACGCAATAAGAACTCCTTGTAAAAAGAATTATTAGAAAAATTGAATTTTTAAAACGTGCTTAAATTCATTATAAAATGAATTTATTAATTCCATATAATACCTGAACTTTGCTATGATCAATCGAGCCTTTCTTGGGCAATTGTGCACGAGAATATTCTATTACACTAGGAGTGAAATAAGCGTTGATTAAGTTCGAGAAAGCATCAGTGTTAGGATGTAAACAACGAATATCAATGAGATTTCGTTGGCATTTTTCTTTTAATTTCCTTTTTAAATCACTATCAATTTCTCTCACAGGCACAGCTCCAGTTACATACGATCTGAAACGTTAAAACTTTCAAATATTTGCATTTATAAAATATGAAATAAAATATTAGATTGAGAAGTGATTAAATTCCTATCCGAATCTAATCGACATATCATGCTTCATAGGGCGACAGCTGCTGAATAGCAAAAACTAAGGGGAATGGCTCAAGGGTTTGCTGTTATCATTTCAGAATGTTGATGCTGTACTTTTACTCGGCAGGAATAAACCTACCTTTCAAAAATGCTGGGCGACTTACTTGTATTTCTATCGATTCCCCAGCAAATTTCCGACAAGCCAGTAGAGTGAATAACAACAAGTGTGGTCTTAGGAAAAAAAATGATTAAATCAGAGTTTAATTTAAATGATTTTAAGAACGAATGACAGAAATCTATCTTTTAAACAATTACATGTGATGCAGCAAAAAAGTGTTGAAAATCTAATAAAATCAACAGAAAAAATTAATAAAAGCATATCAAAATATAAAATAAAAGATATACATGAATCTATCCAAGATAACTTGAGGATGATCCTGTTTCATGACATAAAATTCAGAAAGGATTTCGGTAGCTAAGACTGCACCAACACCAGGAATTCCGCCAGTATAATAATCACATCCAATCATAAATGCCATTGCGATTAAAGCTGATCTAAATAAAAATAACTTTTGCCAAATAAAAATAGAAACTGCAAAGATATCACTGTTTTTTTAGATGGTGGTAGATGGCTCAGATTATGGAGCCAAGAGGCAAGATGCCTCGAAAATGTGAATCCTGGTGGTGATGGTGATACACTTCAGTTTTCATCCCTACAAACAATTAAAATCCAGGAATTATTAATAAGAAGATCGAAAAGATCGAAAACATATTTTTCAAGAATCAAAATTTCAATGCCTTTAATCAAATATACCGATATACCGATAAAATTAATCAAATATACCGATTAATGCAAAGTTGATCCGAAATACGATTCATTGAAAGAACTAGAATACTGTTATGGATTGATCGCCCTGAAGAACTGAATTCCACCTAAAATAAATAATTTATGAAAAAAAAATCGAATTATCATTAGAGATAAAATTATTAAAAAAAAAATTGGTATTTAGTATCACTGGTATTCAGTAGATTCAGTAGATTTAAATAACGAAATCTAGAAAAAAATAATTGAAAATCATAAATAAGTTTTCCAAATATATTATATAAATATTAAAAATACAATATTAAAAATAAAATATTGGATACGAAGAAATAAAGAAAGAATAAAAAAAATTTTAAATTTTGAAAAACAAAACGTATTTTCTAAAATTCAAAGACCAATTTAAAACAATTTTAAATAAAGAAAATAATTTGGTTAAACTGATGCTATCAATTTGATAAGTTGGAATTTATAAAGATATAAAGAGCTTGATTTCTAAATACCTGATAAAGATTAGTCCCACCAAATAATATATAATCGATACTGCGCGTTATACATCCATGAACCAAGCCTCTTTGCTCTAACTGCGCACACTGGGCTTCTCCTTCTAACTTACTTGCCATGAATCGCACGCCCATTGCATTCAATAAAATCTAAATAAATTTAAATAAATAAAATTAAGTTAAAAATGGGACTTAATGAAGATTCTAATTCTGCAAATAATCATGTCAATTCAGCTAGGGAAAAAAATAATTAACACCATTACAAATTATAAAGATAATTATAATTATAAAGATGAAAAATAAAAATTTCAAAAAATTAACAAATAAATATCACTTTTATTTCGCGTATTTGATTAATGATTTCAAGCCTAAGTTCCTTCGCCCATATGCCACTACGATTCTTTCGATCTTTCTTCAAAACGGTGTTGTTTTGCGGCTGTAATTACGCAAGAAATCAACCATAATAAAGCTGCTTATACCATTTCCTAATAACATGAAATTAAGCATACATCGTGACGAATAGAGTTCTCAACATTATCGAAAACAATAACTGGCTCAATCCCATAATCCATAAGCGCTTGACATCGATTATAAAATGTACTTAAATGTGGTTTTAAAGTCGACGAACAATTAGCCACATTCCCTCTCATAATTTCCCACAGCCAACAATGACCATCTAAACAGATTTAAAAAATAAAAAAATATATATGTGAAATATAAGGCATTCCACATCCTAACAGATAATTTTAGTGTAAAAAAAGTCCACTTCATTACTTACTTACGGCTATACGCTTGTTCTTTAATGCAGATATATCAACTGGTTCTCTATATTTGCCTAACACATCCCATAAACCTCGTCCCATCTTTGCTAAACTGTTCCACAATGATCTGCAAAAACATAGTTTTTTTATTAATAAATCATGAAATCTTTCAAATTTGGAAAAACATGCAAAACATTAAAATCGAGTAACTATTAAAGAGTGATTGATAGAGGGCAAAAGAAAACAAAACAAAACCATGAATATTCTATAATTGGAAACATATCTGATTCTATTTAACGAAAAATTCCATTCTCACAAAAATACTGATAAAGAATTTACAATAATCTTTACTAAAGTTTTTTGTATTAAAGTTTTTAAGGATCAAGCATTGATCCAACCATCAAATTTCGCCCTCAGATTAAGTTTATCATCCTCTAAAAGTAAAACCATAGAGTACCTTACCATAATATTACGGCGATATAATTTAAGGCTTATTGATTAGTAAAGATAGTTACTCATAAAAAAATACACTAATAATTATAGTTCAACAAGTTTTACCTTAATCAGTTATCACAGAACGATGATGAAACGAATAATTCAACGTTTTTGCTGCGATCTGTTTAGATTCCCGCGAATAAATTATCACAACTATAAAAATTAATTATTCATAAACCAAACAAAAAATATTACATTCAAATAAAATTTACAAAAATCAGATGTATTCATTCAATCATTATTTTAAAGATTAAAATTTTTTTTTTAAACTTCAAATAAACATTATTTCAATGTTTATTTAATTATTACATGCAAACAAAATCTCATCGGAATCCTATAATTCTAAAGATATTATAACTGTAATGAAAACGAACCGATAAATCACGCTAACAAACCTGTGATAAATTTATTATTATTATTATACTGCCATCAACTTAATAAGCAACTATCGATATATCGACAAAAATATTTCATAAAAATTTCACAAACGAAGAGTTAAAATTTGGAAGTAAAATTTTTTTTTTAATGGCCCTCACCACTGGTCATTGGTAAGACTCGGTAAGACTCCGCTGGCTTATCGCACTAGACAAATGTGGCAGAGGGTCGCTTAGCGACAGAAGTACAGGTGAGTCGCCAGCATCAGCCCGATTTCTGGACGGGTTCGCCCTTGCAGGGAGTGGAACCTCAGCAACGGCGCCCCGCACTCAGCAACAATCCACTGAGCCATTCTATGCCCCATTAAAATTAGCGAAATAATGAGCATCATTAATCAATAAAAATATCAAATAAAATATTAAAAATCAAATTTTATTTTTGTTATTGAAAAAATTCTTAAAGAGGAAATTATTCGAGTGAAATGCAATTATAAACTCTTTTATTGCAATAAATCGAAATTAAAAGAAGGAAAATTAAAAATATAAAAATATTTTATCGCAACGAAAAACTAAAAGAAAAAAGCTAACTTTTAATTGCAAATCGATAAACAACATTTTACCTGGCGACTTATCGAAAATTCTATTCGCTGAATTATCGGCCACTCATCTCAAAAATTTTTTGCAATCAGTAAAATGTATTGTTTAGAGAAATTCCCATAAAAAAATCCCTTCTTACTACAATAAAACGGACCACAATAAACGAAAAAATACCTGAAAATCGGGAAAAAAATACATACCGTTTTGAAAAAAACGTTTTAAGATAAATTTTAAATGTTAGCAGCTAAAAATTTATTATTCCTTCATGAACTTTTATTTTATAAAAAATTTTATAAAAAAAATTCTTTTATTTTAAATGTCAAATTATTCAAAATATTCCATTTTTAACTTTTTGCTGAATAGAATTTCCTTTGGGAATTTTTCTTTTTCCTCTTTTCAAGAAAAATAAACATATAAATGAATTTTGCGCGTATAGTCGTAAGCGGTTGCGCTGATTATTTTCTCTGAGAAACAATTATTTCTTTTCCATTGACAAAGATAAATAGGGAGAAGGAAGCGCCCTAAATTCGTTAAGGGGGAACGAGCAAATGTCAGAGCAATCATAATGCGCGCAAGTGGATTGACATGGCTTGCGTGAAACTTCGGCGAATTTATGGATATTGGTGGCTATGGCTATACCAACGTGCCAAAGATCCAAAGATCACATGGATGTCGTTCGCCTGTCGCGGCTTCGTCCTTCTCCAACAGTTATGTCCACTCCACCGTTGATCAAACATATTGACTATATTACTTTGATATTTCGATTGATTTTGGACGAAACGATATTTGGACTGGACTAACTCTGGCCGCATGGGTGCCTGTACCGTTCCTATCCTTTATGTAACGACAGGTCCTATGCGGAAATTGGCTTGCGCAGAATTTCGTCCAAAAAGACATATTCTGACCTATTTATAGTCAGGAGAGACTGAATTTCGATTATCACACTCGGATGGTTCATGTTACATTGGAATCAGGAATAGAAAGGATCTCCTTTGCCACCAGCGCATCTTTTCAGGATAGGGAGGACGTCCAGTTGTGGAACTCTCAGGACAACTAGCGCTGAAACTAGACTGACCATATTTTGATCATTGAGGAACTGTTCCTAACCAGAACTGTTCCTATTGCGACCCCGCAGTAAGAAATTTTCATCGATCAAACCACTATCTTTTTGTACATCCTTTAATACCTGTTTACCCATGCAAAGCAGTTTAGTTTGGAAATTAACGTCTGGCAACGAAAAACATCACCGAATAATAAGCCTTTATTTTATTACTCTTTCATTAAACTGACCCTTGTAAAAATCCAAAAAAACTGTTGTTTTGTACTCTGCTTTAAATGCTTCTTTCGATGGTTAATTTCTTAATCAAAATTCTGATATTCTGGTTTGTGCAAGATAAATGTCCAGTTCCTCACGGTCATTTCACGTCGTGCTTAGCCAAAATTCTACGACCTATTGTGGCAAGTAGTCAGTTCACGTCCACTCGCGTCCAGTCAGCTATATGGGTCAAACCAATTTAGTACCAAAAGACCCATTTCGTGTCAAATCCACAAAGTCGTCCTCCTCCTTTGAAGCAGCACACAAAGAATATAACGGTGTAATGCAAGAATTGGAATAACATATATTAGATAAGCCCGAGCAGAATAAGAAACGAGAAGATTATTATCATAATACGCTAGCGTATTTATAAATTTTGCTAAAACATTTGACAAAATCAATTCAGAACCCTACGGAAAAAACAACAATGGCTCAGGGGCAATCAATGAATCCAATATGAAAACAATATAGATATACTCAGATATACCCGACGACGAGAGTGGCCTAATTGCGACACCGAGCTGAAGAGGATACATTCGAGAAACCCGTCGCGAGACGAAGCAGTTCTATCCGACGAACAATTCAATTTACCAAAAGGCGATCGGTATATTTATTAGGTTTTGAATTCCTTTAATTTTTGGTAATTTTCCATGGTCTCGCTTTCGTTTTGTTGCCATAATTCATACGCCATCAATAGTGAAATTATCATATTGTTGAATTGCCTCAAAGAAAAAGCACCGAGTGGTCACCGAGGGAATATCTAGTTTTACTACAAAGCGGTAGATGAAATAGTAATTTTGGACGATTCTACTCCAAGTTGAAATTGGCGCTAATCGCAAATGCAAGCCAAAGTTCGTATGGAGAAATAAGCTCGAGGTGGACCAATCAAGATCTGGACTGATACGGTGAGAAAAAATTTTGAACGTATAGGTGGACCAGCAATATATGGACTTAGACGATGGAAAAAGGAGTGACTTCTATTGCTATCGACGATGGCATCAGACCGCATCGCTTGGAAGCATCTTACCCTTGTAGCAATTGGAACCTGCCTAACCAGTAATGGTAAGAGCTGTTAGAAGAAGAAGAAGAACAAGTTGACAAGTTAACCAATCAACCTAATAGCTCTTTTGGAAATAACTGAGAACATTCAACTCTAAGGATATTCCGAACTAAGATCAACAAGAGGAAGAGAGCTAGAGGTTGTTACTGAAATCTGCACTCACCACGAAACCTATTTAAAGGACTTAGATAAATTATGTGAGTTATTACGACTCGTGCAGCGGCCAAGAATGGCCGATTTTCGATATTTTATTATTTATTCTTTTATCATTTTGTTCTGATAACTGATTAGATTGAAATTAAAATAAAAGGTCGAAATGTGATTTTCATTCGAGCGAAAATACGCAATAGAAAATATGTATAAATATAAATTAATTCAATACAGAAAAAATTAATATTAAATTAATTTCGCCAGATAAAAAAAAAAAAAATATATTCGATTCATAATAAAAATGTTATATTCACTATTCCATGGAGAGTAAAACTATCGCTTTTCATCGTCGCTACATTTTTTTCCAGTCACTACATGTTTATAAGTAATGTGGTACTAGTAGAAGATATGTCGGTGCGCTTCCCTTCTCTAGTATTAGATATTTCGGGACAAAAAGCTTCTTATTTACTAATCATATCAAAAACGAAAATAAAAAAGCCAATGCCTGGATTGCTAGGATTAAGAGAGACTTTGAAAGGCTAGCGATTTATTAATGAAAACATGGAAATATCTTCAAACATATAACAGAGGATGGAGAGGTTCACCCTTTCAGCCAGTCTAGCCAACTTAATGATTATTGATGCGAACTGTACGAAGAAGAGGATTATAGACAATTCGCATTGGAATAGAAATTAAACCCTATAATTGAAACCATCGGAATTCACGAGTAGAGGAAGTTTTCTTCAGCTAAAATCGGTATTTCCTGTTGCCTTTACGATTCGATAATCAGCACTTTAACAGATACTAAAAAAAAGTAAATAATTCTTCTTCTAAAATATTCATTTTATACTCATTAAAATTAACAAATGTGTTCTATAATTTTTCCACTGTTCAAGCTGTTTCGTGGACTGATTATCAAGCTGAGTAAGCAATTTCATGAACTCGTTATCAGGCTGATCATCTCGCATTATTTTTTACTTTTTTGCATTTCATGCCGATGTCTTTCGCCAATGTTTCTAGGATAACCAGTCACTGGATATTTGATAAAGAAAGCTGTTAACCGTCCAGTTGTTCATCTGATTCTTCTCTCAGTGAAGAAAACTGTCGTTTATTTTATTTTCTTTGTATGAAAAATATTGCTATTGAAACACACTTGGATCCGCTAAATTACTCCTAAAATATTTCGAAATAATATTCGACATTTTCTTAAATTTCATTTATTCGTTGCTTTCTAAAAAAGGATTAAATCTGTTTGGAATTGAATTAAATTTTCCAACTCGTTAAGCAATGAATTAGCGGTCTATTAATCTCAGCCAGAGAAATAGATTCGTGGAATTAGTGAACAAAATTTCGAGAAACGACTTTTTGCATTAAATTTATATTGAAAGAAAACGATTCAACTGCGAAATCGCCGTCGGTTTTATATGGAAATTCAATATTTTTTTTCGAAATTTTTTGAAATCAACTTAGAATGAGCATATTTCTCGAGAGAAATCCATGTGTTCAGCTGCACGCTGCGAGGATCTATGAGTTTAATAATTTATGAGGATCTCATCCATTCAACTTTATTTCTGTCCTACGGCACTCAAAAAATGTTATAGACGTGGCAAATGTTGGCGCTCGAGATGAATGTCCAGAAACAATGGATGGATGTCGTTTTATATGCCACCTTTGTTCGCACAATAAAGTTAAAAGTATTTAAAAGCTTACTTTTCAAGCGAATGCGATTGTAAATCTCAAGAAAATCGCGAACATTTGCTGAATTTTTAGAGAGATTCAACCGAAGCTAGGCACCATCGAATCGATTTTTCAACAAATCCTCATTGATCTTATACCCTTTTTTTCCGAGAAGTTCTCACCATTTCTCGCCACCGATCCGAACTGAACCAATAAGTCGGCAAAGTCGATAGTTTTCGCTGTTGGAAATAGAGCCTTAGCACCAGAATTTCAAAGAGAGAGCAACAACCCATTGTCCATTATACTGGTACTGGTTAAATCTCAGCCATAACCTGGCAGTCAAAGCAAATCTATTGGTTGTCATCGTTGCACAATTTTTGGAATGGTAATTGAAATCAAATGCAAACATACTTGTATAGATACTCGCTCGGAAATGCCTAATTTTTAAAATAAATCTTGTTGCTAAAATTTCAGAGAAACAATAAGAATGAAATGAATGCGAATATTAGGCACGAAGATCGAGTGGTGCACCAAGAATTCATTGAACATTAGGGGTTCGATTCCTTCTTCTTTATTGTCTGCCAGCAAAAGTTCAGGGAACTCATCGAGATTTCCATTACCATTTTCTCAGGAAAAAGCTATCGTCCGAAGTTCTTTAGAGAAATTCCATATAATTACTGATCGAAGATTACCTGTTAATTCCATCACATACCTTACGCGTAAAGGTGGTACTTTGTAAAAGCGCATTTCTGCAACTATTTTATAATTTTTTATTCATTCATTTTCCTTTCATTCATTCATTCATTCTATTCATTTTTACCTAATTCTCAAATTAATTAATTCTAATTGTACTAGTTAATTTTTTTATTGTTGTAAAGATTTTGTGCACCGTTCAAAGCAACTATTTACTTAGCTGAGTACCAGACATTGCAATATTTAGTTGTAATAGACATTCAGTACCCTGAAACGATTGTTTAATTCCTGTATTTTTTGAAATCTATTTTTTTGGTACGTTTCTGTAAAAATACTTTTAATCGCAATTAGAATGTATTAAAATTTTTCCTAGGTAGAGAAGGTGGGAAGAATTTATTATAAGGAGGAAATGGGAAGGAATTAGTGATTTTATAAAATGAGCGATGATGAAGAAGGAGGAAAAGTGGGGGAAAAAGATATAAAGATATGGCAAAAGAGGAATAAATCATGGAAAAAAACTTTGAAAACATTTAATTTAGTTTTATTTTATTCAAATAATTTAAAACTTGCTTAAAAGAATAAGATTCAACGTATTTTGAATTATTTATTTGCCATTATTAATGCGTAAAAACCTTGTGTAATATACTTTCAGTGATTTCAGTTTTTTGGTTGCTGTTGCATTCTTCTCACATAAATTGCGTTAATTTTCTGTTCACAGAAATTCGTTCTACGAAAGAAGAAAAAAGAGAAGAGAAGAGAATGAACTTTATTTTCCATTTAAGAAGAGACTCAACGAACGAATTGGAAATCTTTTAAGAATTTTATTTCTCAGTTATCACTGAAGCAAAAATGGCAGATGATAAAGTCGATAGAGCAGCAAATGCATGTAATATCGTAACAAAACTCGACCATAATCTCAGCTGGGAAGATAAATTTCTTTCTTTTCCCATTGAAGTGAGCGTTTTGTCCATTGTTCATAAAGAAAGACTTTTTTAACATTTTTTAACATTTTTAATGGCATAAATTTTCCAACTACATCTGCGTGAAATATAAGTTTGAGTTATTTCTACATCGCAGTTTTATTCCTTTTCTTTTGCTACTCAAAAGTATTTTAAAAAAATAGTGTATTATGTGTTTGCTCTCACAGGAGCTGATTAGGATTACTTCGCTGAATATTGGAATATCCTAATTTTCTCACTTAAAAGAGCAAAAGCTAAGCCATGCTTGAAATAGTAATCTGAACAATATGCCACTTGGCCATGAAATAGGCAGAAACAATCTCTTTGTTTTCCTTTTTTGATTTAATAATATAACTCGTTTTCATTGTTTATTTTCAGGGATTGATAGATGATTTGCACAAAATCAAAGCCTTTGGTCGTAATGAATTCAATAAAAAAATTATCACTGAATCGTTAAACGAAATTCTCAATGTAAGTTTGCTGGCTTTTTCAAATCGTGTTTATTTTGGGTTATTTTATTTGTCTAATTGATTTGAAAAAATCATTTCTGCGTTTTTTGTTGTTTAGAAATTTTTTTTTATTTTATAAATCTTTTGATATATTTTTTTTCAAATATAAGTTCTAATAAAACTCACCATTTCGTTTGGCTGACAATACTGACTTTCGTCAGAAATGAAATGAGGATAAAAATAATCGTGAGTCCCTAGCAATATTCAAAATATATGCTCGAAGGACCAGTACAATTCGGCCATTCTTTCCTCAAAATTGTCTGTTCATTAATACATTTTCACTTTCTTAATTTTAATTTTTTAATTTGAACAATCTTGATTTATTTTTCATTTTATTTGCTTTCATTGAACATTTGAAGGCCTTTATTAATATTTTAATCGGTGATATACGAATAAACAACAAACGAATCAAATCTTTATGCGATGATCTTTTTTGTCATATCGATTTGTACTTTTTAATTTTGTCGAGATTAAAAACTCGAATGAATGTAGGTTTTTAAACGTTTTTTTTTCCATTTTTTTGATTCTATTTTTTTTCATTTAAAAAAAAATTTTTACAAACAAACTGCGTATAATTTTGTAATGAAATAAGCATTTTTGTTGTTTCCTAATGCTTTTAATAATTTTCTTCCTTTTAACATGAGAAATTTGAATGAAGGGAATTTCTTTTAGGCATCCCAACATTACTGAACTGAAATGTTGGCTGTTATTTCTTTATAGCTTTGACTTTATTTACTTATCTAATAATTTTTTTCCTGCTTAGCCATTTTATTCTATAAAATTCACAGAAACTATGCGGTTTCATTTAATTTTGGAATCTCTTAATTTTTTATGTGTTATTAGGCATTGTTTAGGTATGATCGTCTCATTAATGTTTTGGTTTTAATCACTGGCATATGGATGCACTGAATTAAAAGCTAAGCATAATGAAAATTTTTGTTTAAAAGTTAAATGTAAAAGAACTTTTAGGATTTGCGCAAATCTAATCACTGCTGGAATGTTTATCATTTTTTACGATATATACGAGTCCCTACAAAAAAATTGCAGAATAATTTTTATTCTGATAAAAGTTTGTTAGTTTGTATTTAAATTGTATATAAATTGGTTCATATTATATCAAAATAGGAATGATCTTAGCTTCATCTTAAAAAAGCAAATGGAGTAATTTTTTTTATTCTTTTTTACTCTGAATTTTATGAATTGTGGCTTAGCTAGCTTCTATTAAAACAGGAATTTGTGGTACCAAAACAATCATTTGAAATTATTATTGAATCAATTTTAGATAATATGGTTATTAAAACAAACAAGCAAAAGAAAAAGATTAGGAACTTATTTGAAGAAGCTTGGTTATCACTGATAAAACACAAAGTAATGATTGATATCAGCCTTTTTTACTTTTTGAGAATTTTCTTTACGGTATTTTAGATGATCCATTCTTATTTCATTTCATTTTTAGCCCAAATTAATCGAAATATTTTAATGAATATTTGAGTTCTGAGTTCTAAATGGTCGTCGATATGTTATTTCTATTCTCATCCTTTGATTAGAATAAATTGTATTGAAAGTAAAATCCATTCCCACTAAGGACTATCTTCTACCTCAAGATATTCTTATCTCTGAGAGCATACAGTAATAGGCATCTGAATATACAACCACCGGATATGCCGTTTGTTTGAAATCTTATAATTTTAAATTTTTTTAAAATTTAGTTACCGAATACGCTTATTAAACGATTAGTGCCTTATTTGAGTGGGACAGTATTATCAGCAATGAAAAATGGGCAATTGGCTGGAGATTTTTTGTTTCGCATTTTCAATCTTGGCGACATATTTTCAATCTTATCTTTGGAAGGCATTTTTAAATTAATCACCGAGCATAATTTGTATATTATTATTTTTCTACCTTTTATAACATGATATCCATTTATTTTTTTTTTTACCTTTCTACAAATGCGATAACAAAATAACCATTTTCAGTGAGTATCCTAACTTTTACAAAAGTGTCTATAGAATTACCACTCCGTTTATATGTTATTTAAGTTACCGTGAAAAATTTTTAAATCTACTGGATACGTTTCTTTCTTCTACGTAAGAATTTTATATTTCTTTCCTTTCATTTTCTCTTTAATTCTTTTTACTAATTTTTACTAATTTTCTTAATAAAATAATATATTGTTTTTGGATGATTGGTAATAATTTTTTCTTAAATGTTAAGATCTATATAAAAATTCATTTAAGACATTTGCCTGCGTATATTGTGGCATCATTTGTTAAAAAGTTATCACGTTTGGCTCTCTATGCTCCATTTTCTTTTCAAGAACCCTTGCTAGCACTGATCCAGAATTTATTGATTCGTCATGATACTCTGCATTTTCTTTTGCATAGAGATGAACCAGGTCCGAATTTTGCATATTATAGTTTTTTATCTTATCTTTTATCAATAATTCAAATTTTAATTTAATTGATTTTTTTACGCTAGTTGATTTCAGATTTGAAACCACTGATCTTAGATAATTCAGATTTTAGCCACTTTTGAAATGGATCCTTATGATATGGATAATGTTTCGCTGAAAGAAAATGGAGCGTTACTATCTTCTTTGTGGGAAATTAAGGTTTATATTCAAACGAAAATAATTTTATGAGCCATATGATTATGGCCAGTACATTTTGTGATTTGCCAAGTCTTTATATTTTTAGATGCTACAAAAACATTGGCTCTTCGATATTACAAAACGTACAAGTTTTGTTGACAAAGGTATTTCAAGTATGGAATCATTTTTACGATGGAAATCTTCTGATAACTATTTTGATCAGATTATGCAAAAAAAGTTTGGAAAGGATCTTGCAAAAAATGGTTTAGAGAATAAATTTATTAATAATCAGGTGGAATATATTTTAAACAAATTTTTAATTTGTGAGATATATGTCTAATATGGAAAAAAGTACTATTTTGTAAATGTAAATGTACGTAAAATTATAAAATAAAATTTTAAAATTTTTTTCAATAAAGTAGTTTTTTAGACTGGGCATGACGATAATAATGATGATGAAGGCGATTTCTCAGATGAACCTAAAAATAAGCGACGGAAAATGGCGTCAAACAATCGTCAATCGAAAAATAATTATGAAGTGCCTATTAAAGAAAATGAACCTGATAAAGAGTTTTTTTCTTTCTTAACATGTAAAGTGGATTTCTAGTTCATATTACATATTTATACAGTTAATTTATTATTTTCAAATTAATCTCTGTTTCAATTCAGTTTTTTATTGTTATTGCTTTATTATTTTTGTTGTGATATCAGTTAGCAATATTCTCTTCTCGAATTCTTAATAATGAAAATTTTGCATTCGATGTCAATAAAAAAGGAAAGAAAAGCAATATAGAAAACAATATCAGAACTGGAATTACCTCACAAAAAATTTTATTGTTAGTAAAGAAATTTTTTTTAGCACAAATGACTTCTCTGTAAATTATTTTATATCTTTCATGACAGTTAGTGGAGCCGAATTAATAATAAATGTTTTCGAGGTCCAAATTTAAATGCAAAAAAAAGTTTCCGTTCATTAAAAATAAACATGGCAATTTAAGTATCAAACAAATGTGACATGATTTATGGACATGAATGAATCTAATATGAAAGATATAATAGTGAAGGATGAAATTATTTAGAAGTTTCAAAAATATTTTGAAAAAGCGGATTTTAAGAAGAAAAATGAATCAAGAGAATACAAGGAAGACTGAAGGGTACTTTAAAAATGCAATGGGGCATGTAGGAAACTGAAAGCGATAATAACGATTAGAAATTTATGCGAGGTGAATTACAACAAAGTTTGAAGTTCTATGGAATGAATATAATGGGAATTTCATTCATAGCGAAGGAAAACAATATGGTACTGGTTAGTTAACAAGAATATATAAGGATTTTCTTTAGACGAGTGTCTTCTTTTATCCAAAGGGATATAATTTGGCCGATTGGTCAACTGTACGTGTATGATTCAACTTATTCTCGTGTGAATTCTATTGTTTATTTTTTTTATGAATGAACATTTCTTAGTAAGTTTCTGTTTGGTTGTCACTTTAAAAATTCCGATTCTGTGATTCTTAATAATTTTATCTGCAAGAATTTATGCATCGACTCATTCAGTTAAACAATGTACATGTTTCATCGCTCATTTTTTTTCTTTACCAATTCAGTCTTTTGGTTGAAACATTTATTTGTGTAAGGGTTTCACTGAAGACTAAAATTATTAAATAAGAAAAAATTAAATTTCCTGGATTTAATGGAATTTTAAAAATCAATTACTGAAAGGTCAAAATAATTGCTAGCGTTAATACAGGGTGGAAATGACATTTTGCAATGCAGATATTGGCATATTAAAAATTTGTGAGAGACAAACTTGTGTCGCACCCATAGCTATCAATAGAATGGTAGAGGACGGATAAGAATTAGCGCCACCAATTAGCGATAGATTCATGCTAAAACCGGAATTCGCCTTATTTGAAGTGGCGACCTCGTCAGAAGTGTTTCACATTATGAGGCATCAACCGATTATCAACCGAATATCAACCGAAGGCGGCAGTCGGTCCCTAGCTATTCCTATATGCAGAATTTTAAAATTACTTACTTACCCATACGCATATCATTTTCACGGTAATAGCAAGTGCGAATTGGAAAAGAAAAGTTCGCAAAATCTAACAGTAGTACATACCAGATGCGTTACAGTATCGTCAGCCGTCGGTCAACAACGATTGCGTCACAAATCGTCTTCGTAAATCGCGACATTTGCGACGACCTATAGGCGACGATCTACAGTATCAATGTGCGCTCGACTGCGTCTACTGTCGTTGGATTCCACTATTTCATTCTTTATTGTATGTTCAATATTATGAATTTTAATTCTCGTGCTTGGTCATTGTTTAGAAAAAAATCAAATTAGATGACTTTTGATAATTGGTTTTTGAAATCCGCGAAAATTTTTAAAAATTTACTGGGAAACAAAAGTAATACAAAATATCAAAATGGAAATCTGAGATCGGACAGATAGTATTTATACGATTTATTATTTATACGATCATGAAATAATCAATATGAAATAATTAGAAAATATCGCATCACACTGAGTTGTCACAAAGTGCCACACGAAGAGATTGTACATTAATAGGGACTCTCCGTATAATTTCAACGATCGGAGCAGAACATGCGACAAGCAATGCTCGCTTATGAATGAATAAACAGCTAGAAGAATATACTCTAAACAATTAAGTAATTTATAATAATATGGCTTATCGAAAAATTCTGTGAAACAAACTAAAAATAAAAGCGACAAAAATTATTTGCGTCATTAATCCTGTAATCAGGCTTTATCACTTCGAATTGATATCGACTCATTTCGATATTTGATGTTCTTCTTCTAACAGCTCTCACCATTACTGGCTAGGCTGATTGCATCAGCTACAAGGTTAAGATGCTTCCAAGTGGCGTGGTTGACAGTAATAAAAGCCATTCCTTTTTCCATCGTCTAAGTCCTTATATTGTTGGCCCACCTATACATCCAAAATCTTTCCTGACCGTATCACTCCAAGTTTTGATTGGCCCATCTCGCTTTTGACGCCATCCATCACACGGTTTAGCAAGTAACGAAATATGCGACAACTCTTGTGGTGGACAACGGAGAACGTGCCCTAATCACCGAAGGCTCTATGATAACATTATTAATACAGGTGGTGTATGAACGAAGGTAATCATATAATATTTTATGCGATCATATAATATTTTATCCGCTCGACGGAAAATATACTTTAAGCAGGAGTGGTCAAAGGCAGATGATTTCTTAATATCCTCATTGATCATGTCTCAGAACCATATAACAAGATTGAACAAATCACGGTTATATAGATGCGGATTTTCGTTTTAATGGTAATTTCACGACTGGCCCATAAGGATTTCAACCAGAAGAACGCATTTCTAGTTGCTGTGATCCGGGCTATACGATCGTCTTTTACCTGGCCATTTGGTTTTAGAGTAGACCCAAGGTATTAAAATTTCGATATTTGATATTTGAAGGTTTAAAGTAGTTGCTAAAGCGACAAATGCCTCTGAAAAAAATTATGAATGAATAGCAGGCAAATAATTTTAATAATTTTATAATAATAAAAATTCTATATGAAATGATAATAATTTAATAATTACTAATAATTTTATAATCAAATAATTTTCATTATTTTCAATTTCACTCTCGTCTTAAAATTCAAGAAAATGAAAAGAAAAAAATTATCATTTCGACGAAATAATATTTCAATAATATTTTAATATATTTATATAATCCTCTATAATTAAATTATTTTCGAAATTTTCTCTATGCTCATTTGTATTTTATTTCGAGAGTCTTCTAAATCTCATTCAATAATTTGATTTTATATATGTAATAATTTTTGAAATTAACAATTAAATAATTCCAAAAAAATGAGAAAAATGAAACCTTCGATAGTTGATCGCTTAAGAGAAAGTGATATGAAGAGGAAGAATTTTATTGGAAATCGAAATTTTATTTTCTCTGGTAGCATTTTAATAAGTTGATTTTAATAATTATCATTTTTATCATTTTCATTTTTATCATTATCATTTTTAATAAGTTGTAGAGTTGAATGAGAATGTGGTTTAGAATAATAAAAAATTGTGCAGTACAGAGAGGTGCGATGATATTATTACTCAATGCAACAGTTTGTGCAAAATAAATGGTTATAAATAAAACAATGGCCATTTGCATAGTACGATGTATGGTCCACGTGAAATACGGATTCTGGACTAGAAATTTATCACTATTTTTTTTCTGCCAACTAAATTTCTGATGTTGCTGGGCTAACTGCGCTTTTATAATCGCTTCTGATTTTATTAAATAACTCAAAAAATAATTCAAATCTATACTTAAAGTGAGCTGAAAAATGATCTAAAAGATGAGAGAGATAATTTAAATATTGTTTATAATTTCTTAAATTTTTTCCCCGCTAATTTATTTGCAGCTTTATCTGGATGACTGCTCGCAGAACGTTTACGCCATACACGATCATATTTTTCTACTTATGGCCTTAATGGTCATCCTTAAACCTTATACTCACCTATCAACACACATATACCCACTCATATACATATACGTGCATATATACATACACATGCCTATACATATGCCTACCCATTTACATATATATATATATATATATACAGGCACATGCACACATTCGCAAATCCATCTTTCCACCTACCATTAAAAAAAAAATGAATCTAAGAAAGAAAATGTTTTTCCGAAAATGTTGCGAACAAGACAATATTTCCATTATTATGATAATTATTAAATTATTTTTGTAAAAATTTTTTTCCAAAATGACCAAAATTTTTAACTTTGAAAATTTTTTTTAGAAAAGCTTTACTTTTTTTCATTTATTTCTTAATTTTTTAACTTGCTCAATGTTAATTTTTTACATAGAAGTAAAGGAATTGAAAGAAAAAAATGAAATGACGCAAATCGTGCAGTAATCTATTTATAAATTAAAAAATTTACGATGGGAATGATTCAGTCAACGATCGGCATTCACGTTTTCCGATACAGTAAATCGCGAACATGGATAAAAGTTCTCAGGTTCTCAATAAATAGGCCTGGGAATACACAAACTTCTACTAAACCTTGTGATGGGTGACATCAAAAGCGAGGGGAAGCGAGATTCAAGAGCCGGAGTTACACGGTCAGAAAAGATTTTCAACCAGGGCGGACCAGCAATATATGGATTTAGACGATGAAAGAAGGAGTCGTTTATATGTTGACGATGACATCAGACTCCGTAGCTTGGAAAAGTCTTATCTTTGTAGCCACTGGAACCAATAATGGTGAAAGGAAGAAGAAGAATATGCCAATATGTATAAATATACAAAATTCACCCTCTGTGTGTGGCAAAGATTATTCCCAACCTCGCGTCCTCTACTAAGGGCCTGCGATTGAGAGTTCTGAACAGTATCAGTATCTTAGCTGTATCAGTATCAGTATCTTCCTAGCAATGTGCTATTCTGGATAGAAATCTGCTAAATGAAAATATAGTTACCACTTTTCTAGTTTATTTTGGCCTTCATTTTTCGCATCTTCTGCGGTTCATCTTTCACTCCATGGTATTTTTCCAACTTCTTCCTAAAGTTCTTATCACTTGACATTATATCTATATCTATCATCAGTGCTGGATTCTTGCTTAATACCGTCTTGTTGCATTCCTTATCATGGTCATGGTGTGACTGTGGGAAACCAACTTATTCCATTGAGTTCTCGATATCTTTGAGATCTTGTTGATTCTGTATAGAACCAGGTATTCATCGATCGTTCTGTAGGGATCGAGTCATAGGCTATTCTGTAATCATTCGAAGATCGGTGCAGCTCGGTCTGTCGGGATTTAAGTCTCATCTATAAGCAGGTGATGTTTGAAGCCTGTTGCTGTTACTAATGCTTCTTTGAACTGTACTCAAGTACTGGCTCATATGGTCATGAAGCTTCATGCTTGATAGGACTTTCCACATTGTGGATGGCAAGTTATTGGTAGGTTGTTGGACGGTGTTATTTCTATACATATATATGAAATATATTTCAATGTAGAATAAGAAATGCAAAAAAACGAAAATTTCTGGTCTGATTTAATTCATTATCAATTCGTACCGTTTGATGTATTCCTTCCTAGGCGAAAAGCCCACTGCAAATTTTCTCAACTAAGGCAGTAACAAATTATTACTAACAAATTATTTAGTTGCAATAAACCGCTTTAATCATGAAGCGATTGTTTTCAGAAGTTGGGCAGCGAATGGAATTTTACGAGATTTAATTTAAATTGCTAAATGATAAATTGAAATTGCGTTGTTATTTGTGCGTTGGGGGGAGGGGTATTTGCTGTTTTAACCGCCGCTTTTCTTCGTTTTTCTCTTTTTTCATTTTTTTCTATTTTTTAAAAAAATGCGCACCATTTTTGATTGAATTCACTGCGTAAATAATCGAAAATTTTCCAAATTCTTCGAATTCATTCGAAATTTTGCAGAAAATCGAAAAACGATGGATCCGTTTGGAAGTCCCACGCAGCCGACGTCGGTTATTACAGCGTTAGGCGGCCAAACTCCTTCATCGGTGCAAGGAGGGCCGGGATCGTCCTCGTTGCTCGGCGGTGGCCCTGGCTCGGTTCTAGGGCCGGGCAGCATTTTAGGAGGGCCATCTTCGACTCTTGGTGGACTCGGTCCTGGATCAATTTCAATGCTTGGAAGTACAGGTCCGACGTCGGTTCTAAGTACTGGCGGAAACTCTTCATTAATTGGCTGTGTTGGGTCAAATTCACTTTTAGGTGGTGCTGGTCCTAGTTCGGTGTTGGGAAGCGGAATGCTTGGGCAACAAGGGGGTCCAGGTAGAGTGTAGTTTTTCTGCACTTTTGTTTTCAAATTTTTTTATTTCTTAAGGCTTTATATTTTTTACTGCGCTCAAAAAAAAGAAAGCTTCATTGATTTAATTCAGGGTCAGTTTTACATAGCCATAGTGGTCCTGGATCAATACTTGGCTATAGCAGTGAAAGAGGTGGTCCATCAAGCATAGTAAACCTCGGCGGTAATCCAGGATCTATATTCCAGGTAGTCTATAGGTTTTGAGTCCTGAATTGAGCATTACTAAAACTTTCTTTTGTTTTCATTCTATTTATTCATATGTTTAGATTTCACAATGTTTAATTATTCTTTGAATTTCAAAATTGAAATTATGCTTTTTTTTCTAATGGTTTTCATTTAGGATATGAATCCAGCATCAATTGAAGCTGGCAATCTGGCTGTGCCAATGACACCTCTAGCTGGTGGCGATAATTTTCAACCTCCTTCCAATATTCCCATGGTAGCTACAAATGCACCACAAACTCCGGCTTCACAGTTGGTTGATATACCATCACCTGCTTTGCAGAATATTGTTTCTACCGTGAATTTAGGTTTTTTTTCTAGCAGTTGATCTGACTAGCCAGTTTTTGATTTCATAGTTTTAAAAAATTTTTTTGTTCTCGCTATATTTGTTCATTATATGTTTATTATTCAGCTTTTTTGTCCTTTATATTTTTCTTTTCAAGGCGTTGGTCTAGATTTGAAGAGGATAGCGCTACATGCGCGCAATGCGGAATATAATCCGAAACGTTTTGCTGCTGTAATAATGCGCATTCGTGAACCGAGAACAACGGCTCTTATATTTTCTTCTGGCAAAATGGTGTGTACAGGTGCCAAATCAGAAGAATCAAGTCGGTATGTTGACAGGTTGTATCATTATATAAAAATATAATTCTTTAAATGATGTTTTACGGAAGAAGAAACGGAAAAAGAAATATTAAAGGAATAATTGAGAGGCAGAAATAAGCAATTGAGTTATGCATTATTATACTTGTTTTCTTATTTTTAATTTTTATTTTATTTTTTAAAAAAATAATTTCTTAGACTTGCTGCTCGGAAATATGCTCGAATTGTGCAAAAGCTCGGTTTTGATGCAAAATTTACGGAATTTAAGGTTCATTTTAATTATATTCCTTCGTAATTTTGTCATCAAACAATAAATTCAAAGAAATATCTCTTTTTTATTCGGTGATAAAGTTATCTTTGGTTTTTTTTTTAAATGTAAGCTTTTCAGGTCCAGAATATGGTTGGATCTTGTGATGTTCGGTTTCCGATCCAGCTTGAAGGCCTTAATTTAACACATACTCAGTTTTCAACTTATGAACCTGAATTGTTTCCTGGTCTTATTTATAGGATGGTTAAACCTCGAGTTGTTTTGCTCATTTTTGTTAGTGGAAAGGTTAGGTTTTATTTTTTTTTTTGAGTCATTCCGTTTCCAAGAAAATTCGTTAAATTTTCGTGCCATTTTTTATTTTTGCAGGTTGTTATAACGGGCGCCAAATATAAGAAGGACATTGATGATGCTTTCAATCAAATATATCCCATTCTCAAGGGATTTAAGAAATGATCATTATTTTATTTTGTTTGCGAATATTCAAAATCTGATGGAAACCATAGAAGCTGCCCATTTCCACTTTATTGATTATTCTTATTCGTTTATTCGTCTTGATTTATAAAATCCGTTTTTTTTGGCATTTCTTATATATAGGTGGTACTGATGATCTGTCTGCTCTTCTTTTGTCAAGTGGCTCTCGAATTTCGAAAAAAAGATTTCTTATCGTATGGCACTATTGACTAGAAATTAACCATTTATTCAGTGGTTCTTAGGATGGTGCTCCACCTTTCTTAGAGATTTTCTTGAAGGAGTGCAAATGGATCCTCATCCCCATCCGGGTTTTTTATTGATTTTATTGATAGATATTTGTTGGCAGGAATAGGAGCCGAATTGTTCTAAAAATAATCTAATCAATTTATTTGACCATATTGTCTCTAAATATTAGAAAGAGTAGTCTTCTAGTAGTAAGTGTTTTAAAACTGTATAAATTATTTATTTATTCGACTAAATGTATTACAAATAAGTACATAAAGATATAATTTGATTATATTTTCATGGTTTCATTGCTAAGTAAAATTTCTTCATCTGCCTTTTTATCTGCCAAAAAGATTTGTATATCACTAATACTTAGTATATGAATAAATAATTATTAAAGGAATTATTTAAATGGACTAGAAAAATTTCAAAAGATTGGAGAGAAATTCGCTTAAAGGTATAATGCACATCAAATATTTCGGCGAAGCAGCTCTTTTGGGGATCCAATCTCTTCATAAGTCATTTTTTTGCTTATATTCCACATCGACGGTTGTGACCACAATAAGCAGACGACGGCAATTGTGGCGTGTGGATTATAACAATCCTTTTCTCGAGATACCTCAGGCTTGGGTCACGACTTTAAGTTCTGTTGAGGTCAGTTTCTTCATTATTTTTACCATTCTTCCGAGCCAATTTTTTTATTCTTTTGATGGATGCATTTAGCTTATTATGCACTTAGAATATTGTATTATATTATGTTTTTCTTGACAACAGCAAGTCTGCCATCGGAAATAGATTCTGGGTGAGAACTCGTTTATGTAGCATCAAGTGATTTTTTGGCATGAGCGTCTTATCACGTTAGGTAGCGAGCAAATTAGTAATGGTTCGTGCATTTAGAAGAAGAGGTTAAGGACCTTAATTACTATTATAACGAGTATGTTTTTAACTCCAAGCGGTGAAGTATTAGCTTTAAATATGGTCTTAAAAATCACACAGAAACAGAATTTCAGGAAGAACGGGTTGATTTAATTGATCTACACCCAACTGTATTTCGTACAACCCCGCGTTTAGATTTACTACATCGTAATGTAAATTGGCAATTAGTTTATCGTAATGTGCAGTTAACGAAACAACTCAGTAAGGCAGAAATGCCAGGCGGTGGTCGTAAACCTTGGCCGCAGAAAAAAACAGGTCGTCATCATGCTGGTTCAATTAGAGCTCCAGGTTTCATTCGAGGCGGGTAATCTCTGATCTTTCTTTTATTTTTTGTAATATATATATTCAGAATATATTTTTTTCAGATTATTGTAGATTTTATTTTTACTTTTTTGATTAATAAACGCATTACGTCTTTTGAAAATATTGAATTAGCCTTTTTTTAAATTTAGATTTGCCAGTGGTGTCAGAGGTCCAAAGACTTGGTTTTATATGTTGCCTGATGATATTCGCTTGCAAGGTCTTTGTACGGCATTAACGATTAAACATGTTCAAAATGATTTAGTTATAGTTGAAGATTTTAATAGTTTGCCCAACAGTGATCCGCAATATTTGCATGATCTTGCAGATATGCGAAATTGGGGTTATTCTGCATTATTCGTCAATGATAGCGCTGAGGTTTATTTTTATATTAATGAAAAAAAAGAAAGCTACTAGAGGCTTGGTTTTTTTCCATATGAAAAATTTTTCTTTCACTTTTCGGGTTCTGTACTATTTTAGGTACCTTCCAATTTGGTTGATGTATGCGAACAAATTCCATCTTTCAATGTAATGCCAGTATATGGTCTTAACTGTTATAGCCTTGTGAAATATCATACTGTCATTCTTTCACGAGCAGCACTTGATCTTTTGGAGTCGCGAATATTAACTCATTTTTATCGAGCAAAAAGTCTTCAGAAAAAATATCGCTATGCTGATTTTAAACGGTTAATTTTATGTGAAGGTGAAGACGAAGAAGATCCAGTTCACGCCCCTTATGTTTAAATTCGGGTGATTTTTATTTTGTTTATTTAATGCATGAAATATTTTGATAAAAAAATTATTTGATTTTGCCATTGTTTAAATAAAGTTATTCGAAATCTGTAGCCATATTCTTTAATGTGCAATTTAATCACAAATTTTCATATTTTAATTAAAATTTTATTGTTTGATGATAAAGAAAGAAGAAAAAAATCGTTAAAAATTGTATTGTATTTGTTTTTATTGGTGATTGCGTGAAAGTTATAGTCCTGGATATGTGCTTTATTAATTACGTATTTTTATTGTCGTCGAAATATTTATATTTATTATCTTCGAAATGGTCTTTCAATTAATTTTCTCAGATTTCCGAATGGATTCCTTATATGCTAAAGGAAGTATCAATGCTGATAGAATGCTAACAAATCTAGATGATTCGGAGCTTTTAAAGATTGCTTCAGAAGCACTTAATAATTTTGTAAATATCAATTTTATTGGATATTTCGGTAAGATTTTCTTAAAAGAAACTATCGACTTAGCGAACATTGTAAATTAAACATAATTGAATGAGAAATAAGAAAATATGAAATAATTATGATCGCGTTAATTCCACTCGTGGTGTGAGATTAGGATTGATGTGTGGAGGAAAAAAATGTGGTTTATGTAGCAGTTCGAGATTACTGAAAATTACTTAATTTTCATAAAACTGCTAGGAATCCCATCATTTCAAATTGATTTATTTCTTTTCATATTTACTTATAATAATATTGGTTGAATAATTTTTTTTATATTCTTATGTTACTATTTATTGATAAAATTTAATACAGGCGAAAATTCGTTAGTCAGTAATTATTGTGATGATTTATTCAACGAAGCTGTTAATGCATTGTCTTTTGATGGCAAATATTTTCTTATAAAATCTGCAAAGTAAGTTAAAATTAAAAACGATTGTATTCGTTCTTTTCTCACTCATTTTTTTTTTGAATTGTTTATATTATTCTTGTATTGTTATTGTTATTATTATTTTCGATTAGATCGTCTTTTCCTTTATAGTGATAAGACTTATTTTTTAGAATAATTTTAAAACAAACACTTGATTTTCGCAATTTAAAAAATCGCCCTCAGATATTCAGAATGAAAATTTCACGAAAAATAAAAGACTGCCAAAAGACTGTTTTTAGATGCATCGCTTTAATTTATTTGGCAAAATGTGTTCTTATCGATCGTGATAATCAAATTGATGACTCCTTTGAAAAAATTTTTTGGACTTCTCGCCTTGTTCAGTTATGGCAATGTCTTCTCGATGAGCCGGCGAAAGAACTTAAAATAATCGGAGATGCTCAGGTTTATTTTATTAAGTTTTGACTCCAAATTTAAAATTCACGAAATTTTCTAATTTCTGATTTTTTTCTTAAAATTATTTTTATTATAATCCTATAATTTTTATTATCGTAATTATGATCATTCTTATAACTGTAACACTGCTTAGTGGGTTACATTTTAAAGCGCCGATTTTGGGGTTATATACTCTTAGTAGAAATAAGCCTATCTCTCAGAAATTTGGCTTATGCCTTCCTGATAAAATTTGTCTGGTCCCACAAGCAAGCCGAGAAAGTCCAACCAGAACTGGTGTTAGTCCTTTGAAAAAAAAATTATATATTCTGGAACTATTTTCGCCTTTCCAAAGGCATTAGATGAATATTCTTTTGTTTAAGGAAATTTATGTTTCTCTGAATTTTTCCAGTTTTTTTAATATTACATTCTATAGAAGATGTGCTTTGTATAAAGCCTCATCAAGTTTGAGATTAAACAAGTTTTTTTTATAATTTTTTTATTTATATTTATATACTTTTTTCGTTTGCGATTTAGGAAGCAAAAGCGGATTCACTTAGTGTTGATGCACTTTTATTAACAGAGTTTATGTTGGAACGAATGTATGTAAACTTAAGCTATTTCGAGTACGACAAAGCTTTAAGTTGTTTAAATAAATCTCAAGAGCTGCTGAAAATTGATATTGAATTGTCAGGCGCTCTTGGTAAGCGGACAAAGTTTCAAGAACATGATATCGCTCAGCTTGATGTGAAGGTATTCTATTCATTTTTGGTTTAATGAAATTCAAAAAAAAAATTGTTCACCGAAAAAGGTCGAATATTTTTAGGGCATTTTGTAAGCATTTTTTTTATTTTTTTGGTTTTTAAACCTAATTTTATCATTTTTTCTGTGTGATATTAAATGAATATTTTTCATAAAGCAGTAGTTGTTTTATTAAATTTTACCAAATTTACTCGAGAAAAAGACATGTTCAGAAGAACAGGATGTTGATTTAAAATGAAATTTTTATTTTTATTTTAATTTTAATTTTTAGGTCGATTTAAAATCGGATATTTTGAGCATCGAGCAGGAACAACTGGGGATTGAACCTGATACTTTCGTAGATTCGCTGAAAAATGTTTGTTTAAACGACGATTCGTTACTTGAAACAGTTCATTTCACTCAATATCGAAATAATGAAACTTCTCTTTCATCTTTCAGCGCTGCATTTGTTCTTGCAAAATCTGCTTATACTTATAGCGCAGAGCACAGAGATGAATTGACGATCGAACGATGCATGGCTTTTGTTGAAAAGGTTGATTTTTCAATTTATGTTTATTTTTTTTCATCTCTTATTTTATAAAAGCATTTAATTTTATAAAGATTCTCAAAAAACTGTTCAATAAAAAATTATTGGAAATAGTTCAAAATTTCGAATTTATTGGAAATTTTTAATGTTTTTCGCTTTTTTTGATTTTTAAAATTTATGTCTTATTTCTTCTATTTATATTCTGTCTTCTGTTTCCTGTGGTGTAGTTTTTTGTTGTTAATTCTTTCTAATTTTCCATGCTAATAGGTTATATCAACTCATATCTGCAATGTGGTTCGATTTTGTGCGTTGGTACAGAGAAGTAAACTGGAAAGGCATAGACGTAAGCGAGTTGAACGAGCATGTTGTCAAATGGAGAAGCTAATTAAAATTATTGAACATATCGATGAGAAAGGAAAAATACGGGTATTATTTATTTAAGTACAAATCAAGTAGATCATAAAGCCATCTGCTGGAAAGGTGATAACGAGCGTAGTCAAGATAATAAGATAAATGAATAGAACAAAATAGAATAAACGAAAAAAAAAAAGAATACTAATGTTGAATCGGGCTCTTACAAATAAGCTTGACCTGTTCATTGCTTTTTTTTTTAGAACCTTCTCTTTGTTAGATTCAGTGGCTTGTCGCACTAAAAAAATATGCCAGGAATAAAAGTACAGGTGAGTTCTGATTTTTGGACAGATTTGCTGCTGGGGATGTAGAACTTCAGCTTTTCGAATTGACCAATCCTTCTGAGCCATTCTGCTCCCTAGTTCATTGTTTATTGCTTCTGGTTCCATTAAAATTGCAATCATAAAGTTAAAATTCAGGTTGATAATGTAATAATTAGATTTTGTATTTTGTTCAGTTCTTTTCTTAGTGAAGATTTTCTTTTCTTATATAACTAGATGAGTCGAGGAGATGTTAGGAAGTGCCACAAGAAATATTTGCGTAGAATCTTAATTAATTTGTTTGGTTTCTTAAATCTAAGAGGATAATATTATTGTATTATTATATATTTTCAATGTGGACGGATGGATATTTTATATGTTTTAATTAGGAATCTCTGGATTATTTCTATAAATGTTTTGAGCCTCAGATTCAAAATTCTAGAGGAATTTTTCCGTACATATAAATCGAAACTATATTTCTCGTCAGTTAATAGTCCTTACTTACGTGGGTCAGTATTGTGTTGAGCAGATAACGGGAAGATCAGAGCCTTTGGTATTGATATATGAAATTTTACATTTATCTATAGATAACTTAATTTTTCTTTCCTAGAGCCGCTAAATATTGTAAAATTCAAATCCTATTCAAATTTTTTTGAAAAGCATTTAAATTCTCAATTCTATTATGCGAAAAATAAATTCAGTCATCTGTATATAAGTAAATACTTGAATTCAAAACAATATTAATGATACTATGTCCGTTAAAAATATTCAAAAAAGCGTTCATGTTTTGAAGTAGGCCAGAGTTAACTAAATAAATAACTAAAATCAGCTGATAAAATTGTTATTGCTGATGATTTAGAAATGACTAGGCAGAAAATCTAATGCCCAATTAAAAAATATTTATAAACTACTGCGAAAATTCTACAAATAACTTGTGTATAATTATCGCTGAAAAATCGTTTAGAGAATATATCAGTTTGCATTCAACAGAAAAAATTTTTACTTCTTATTCAAAGCCCTTATTTATGATTTCCATATTATTTTTCTTGACTATATATTTGGATATAAGATTATTAAATATAAGAATAAATTATTCGATTGGGGCTAATAAAATATTATTTAATCTAATATATACCTTAATAGCGTCGTAATTAAAATTGCACAAATCCGTATAACATAAGGCAGATGGATCGATAACTTTAAGCTGGAGTATGTATAATATAATATTGTGGTCACTAATTCTAATATGGAGGTGGAATTAATGAGAGAGTACAAGATATAAGATATTAGAGGATTTAGTAGGAGCGTTAATATGTTGCTCTAAACCGACGACCTAGGAGCACAATCACAAATTTTTAAGTACAATAAATAGTTCGCCAAATTAATATTGGAAGGTCTGACTAAAATTACCAACAGTAACGAAGTTCCTTTGAAACAGGTTTGAACTGATTGCTTAGCAAATAATTAAAATCAGAGATATATCCTTTCCTTCAATAATCAGGAAAAGATTGATAAGAAAAAAAAAGAAAAAAAATGCTACATTGGAAATCTTTATAATTAAGATAGCGAAAGAACAATTATTAGATACAAAATAAAAATTAGTGGGCTTTTTGGCACAACTTCAATTTAATTTGGGAAGCCTGTTAATGCTCCTAACATATAAAAAACAGAGCGATGAACCATTCTGATAGTACCTGTTTGGTACAAATCCCTATCCTGTGAATTCAAAATCAATCATAAATTTTTTTGAGATTGATTTGACCATTAATGCATAGCATCGCTTTTTCGGTCCAATTTCAGCTGTCGTTTCCTTTTCTCAGAAAGTACTCTTGAGTAATAGGAGAGCGGACATCCACTTTACGCAAAAGCCACAATATATCTATTCTCCTAGCGAATCTTTAACACATGTCGAAGGAATGGCCCTTTCTTACTCTGTCTGCGAATGTCCTCAATGCACTGGAGATATTCATATTCATACACGGATTTCTTTAATTTTTTGGCAAATTGTTTTTCAGCCACCTTAATATTTTCTTCCACAGATTCTTCTGGAATACATTTCCTTTCCTTGATCTCGAAGAATTCATCTATATTTAATCCAAAAATCAGGTAGTCTAATACTGTCGGCAGTTTTATCTGTAAATTTAAGAATATTTATCTCAGGTGAAAGTTCTCGATAAAATTTTAGTCGAAATATTTACAGAACATGTTAGCCAATTGCTATGTCTAATTGGCTAATAGCTGCCTATTGGATCTCACATTTCATCGTTAAATAAGCCAATCGGGATTCAATCAGATCAATCTGTTACTAGATTCGAATTGGCAATAAAACGTTTCCCAATTTTTTTGGTGCGAAATATCCAAAAATAAAGTTTCTCCAAACTATTTAAATGATTTAGGAAAATATTTAATTATAGCGTAATCAATAAAATAGAAATATATAAGTGCCATCAGTTATGCTCCGGAACATTCCCACTGGTTATCTCTTATCTCTGTTATCTCTTCTCAGAACCTCTTTTTGATATTTGGTTATTTTAGATTTATCTCTATTCCACATTTCCTGAAATCGTCTAATGGAAATTAGTGAAATTTACAGTAGTTTACGGTTTAAACGAAATTTTAGGCACCTTTTGGACGATCTCTGCGATTAATGTTGGCTAGTGGAATGCTGCCAATTTGGAAAATGAAATCGTTGCATGCACAATTGCTGTACTCATTAGGATGTATATCAGTGAGCTATAATTATGTTTATTGGGTTTATGTTCATTTTATTTTACTGGAATTTCTAAATCTTCAGTTATTTGAATTATAATTTATATTGCATTAATATTTCATTAAATATTTTAAATTTTGAAATTTTTTAGCTTCTTTTTTTATTATTGTTTGTTTTCGTTTTTATACCTTATATATTGGTCTTACAGATAAAATTTAAGGAAGCACTTCATATCTATGAATCATTGGAAGATTGGGATGAAGTCATCAATTGTTATAAAGCGTTAAACCAATTGGAAAAGGCTGAAATTCTCATCCGGCGGCTCATCGATGAGAACCCAAAATGTGCCAAATATTACTGCCTTCTTGGCGATGTCACTTCGACACCGAATTATTATAAAAAGGCTATTGAAGTCTATTTTTATTGGCTAAGGCTATTTTTATTAAACATTTTCCATTTTCATTCCGCTTTTAATCTAATCTAAGATTAATGAATATTTTCACTGATTTTTTCAAGAAATTTTCGTAAAAATATTTTATTAAAATTAATTGAAAATTCAAAAATCTGTCTAAATAACTTCTAATTTTTTTTTATCTGGTTTATTCTCTGAATGAAATGGTTCTACTATCCATACAAAATTTTCGATAAGTCTTTAGATTTCCAATGGAAGTTCAGCTCGTGCTTATCGATCTTTGGGCGAATTGATGTTAAATTGGAAGAAATATGAAAGTGCAGTTGTTGACTATGAAAAAAGTCTTCAATTACAGCCCCTTCAAGTTATAATTCTTTTTTTTTACTTCGTGAATTTCACGAAATTGAAAAGATTAATGGTTTATAAGAATTTCGATCATTAAAAACTGGTATTGGAGTCCAGAACAATTCATTAGTTAGAAATTTTTGAAATTATAATTTTAGAAATAGAGATATTTTTTAATTTTTATTAATGATGTGAAATTTAAGAAAATGAGATTTTCAGTTAAAAGCTTGGTATAATCTTGGATTTTGCTACTGGAAGTTAGAACGATATCAAGAAGCTGCAAATGCTTTTCAACGATGTGTTCATTTAGAGCCTGAGCACTTTGAAGCTTGGAACAATTTATCAGCGGCTTATATAAAAATGAATCAGAAACCACGCGCTCTGAAATTTATACAGGTTTATCTTCTTGTATCTTATTACTTTTTATCGTAAAATTTTATATTTTCACGATAAAGATGGTTCAGATGAAATTAAAATCTGCTTTTTCTCTTTTTCCAACTCTGCTACCATATAATTATGAATCAAACTGTTCATTGTTAAAAATTGTTTCAGGAAGCAATAAAGTTTAATTACGATCATCCGCCGATGTGGGAGACGTGTTTACTATTGAGTATTGATACAGGTGAATTCACTTTGGCAATCAAGGCTATGCATCGTTTATTAGATATGAAAAAGAAATATAAAGATGATGAAGTTATTGAAATACTGGCGAAACAAATTGCAGCATTTCCACAAGTACAACTATATTCATTTTATTTATATATATATATATATATTTGTATTTTTTTCATTAAATTATGGCAAAATTTCAGGATGAAAAAGAGACGCAATGCTTGAAGGCTGAAATGTGTAAACTTTTAGGCCGTCTAACATCAAATCAAACATGTTCAGCAAAGGTTTTTTTTATTCTTTTGAAATATGCGACATTTAGAGCATTTCTAAGATGGTATGCTATTTCTTGTTTTTGTTATTGTTATTTAATATTCCTTTTTTGTGAATCACACTGCTTAAGATTTGGTGCTCATATGCAGATTTGAAGAAGCCCACTGATAATTCTTCAATAGAGGACCACGAAAAATATGTGGAGCTATTGAATCGTGCATTAAGAATAAGCCAATTAGTGAGCATATTTTACTTCTTGATTACAGCAACTTACTTTTTGTTTGTTTGTTTTTTTTAAATGGATGAAATTTTTATATTTTGTTAAATCATTAGAACTTAAGGATCTGGATAAAAGCGATCTCTTATGCATTGACTGTGCAGATATAACTTTACGATTTGTTGATGCATTCAACCAACTTGCTAATTTAAAATTTTCGGAGCAAAGCCGAGTAGGTTTTTTTTTGTTTATTGAAGCAGTATGATGCTTAACCAAGAAATGCTCTTTATCATTTTTTTTTCGAGCCTACAGTTAGGTGATTTCAATTGCCGAATGTTTTTTGTGTCAAACAAATATCTATATCTTTTCAGACGAAAAGTCATAATCGTATGGTTTTACGTCAGGTGATTTCCTTAGTCGAAAAAGCTTTTGGTGTCGACGCCCAAAACTCGCAGAATAACGATTTGAAGTTGCGTTTGTCGGAACTTAAGCGTTATTTATCTGTTTGTTTTTAAAAATTTTCGTGTTCTTTCTTTTGTTGGAGAATTTTTATCATTTAAAATAAAAATTCGCTGCTAATAGTTTTCATTGTCGTTTTTATGTTTATTTCTATCGAATTACATATTTTAACTTTCGGTTTAACTAACTATCAATTAACTATGTCTTTTTTTCATCGAATAAAAATGAAGTAATCTAGAAATCTAAATCAGTCCGGTCATATTAAATCAGTCGATTTCAGTGCTAATTTTAAGAACTTTTAAATGAAATATTTCTAGAAATTCTTTTTCAAGAAAATGAAAATGTCGAAAGGATTTTAAAAAAAGTGAAATCTTCGATTTTTTAATATTTTTTTTCAATTTCCACTATTTTTGAAATGTTGCGATATATAATTCAGAAATTTATTGCAAATCAAATCTGTCCGGTCTATTCAGGCTGAATTAATCTGCAAAGTGGTTTTTTTATTAAAAACTTCATTGAAAATCATCTGGATTGTGGTTCGATTTTCATTTGATTGTTCACTGCTTAATAGAACGATTTTTTAAATTGTTTCGTAAAAGTAGAAAAGAAGGCATGTATATGGGCAATATTTTTCGAAATTGCCTCTAACTCGAATGAATTTTTCTCGTTTTAGTAAGTTTTGATTTTTTTTTATTTTTCTGCTAACCTCTTCAGATTATAGAAAAGCAATTCAGTACGATCAAATGAAATTATGGCATTATATTGGAGTGCAATTATCTTCAAACCGAACTCGTTTCATTTGTCATTGCCATCATTCGATGTCGTTAGTCGTCAACATTTTCAATTCTCATTACTCTTTTTCTATAGTTTACGTTTATATCATTTATATCAGCTTCAGTCGTCTTACCTTTAACCTTTTTTATCAATTTTTAATTCGATATTTTTTGAATATTTCGAAGTGATTCCATAAATCGTTTATATATAATGACATTTCATGAATTGTTATTATTTATTGAAGAAATCAATTTTTATCTTCTAAAATTCAGCTATAATTATAATAATTACTTCATGAGTTTTACTATTCTAGTTTGAAGCAATTTTAAGTATAATTTTAAGTATAATTAATTTGCCGTGAACAAATCACAACAGGGAATTTTTTGAGATTTTGTCATTGATTGATTGCTAAATTTTCTAAGATTTCTTTTTAAATATTTAATATTTCCAAATATTAAATTTATATTGAAATTAATTTTCATTTTATATTAAATTTTTCCACACTAAAATAAAAAAGAAAAATTTAGGCAATTCCACGATTTCTCCTCATTTTTTTTTTATTCTTTCATATTTATATTTGTAAGGAGAGAATATCGCTTTCTACTTCGGCTGACCTTAATTTTGAAGGTCATCGGCGTTTTTGGCCACCTGGGGAATAAATTAAATGGCTTTGCGTTAGTTGGACTTAAATTTTTTTTATTTAATTTAGTCTTTGAGTTTCATATCTGTACGGTGAACTAAAGTTAAATGCTTTAGAACAGATAGTAATTTCGGTTAGTTCGGTTTAAGGTGTTTCATTATTTATCGAATTTTTTTTGAAGAACTCTCTTATTGAATGAACCAATATATAACAAATAAAAATATTACAAATATTAAATAAATTAAAAAAGAAAGAGATTTTATAATTTATTTAGAATGTGCTTCCATTATCTAAATAGGAGATTAACGCTTATAGACGTTAATCTTTTTCAAGAAATTCTTGAATAAATTGCTAATTGCTATGCAGTCAGAGGATAAAAATTTTTTTTCGATCTTTTATATATTTTATTCCAAAGAATAGAATAGAAAATTAACAGATATATGTATTGTAATATTAGAAATCCATCCATCATATATGGATTTTGGAAAAAACTGGAAAAATTCATTAGTAATTAATTGTTTTTCTTCCTTATTAAAAAACTCATCTAAATAAGTCAAACCAATGATGATTGATGAAAATTGAATTCTAAATTTAATTTTTCGTTAAATAATTATTCATAATTACATGAGGAAGCCTCATAAATCAAATTTCCACCAAGTTTATAAATGGTTGGCTGTCATCATTTCTGATCATGCTATCTCTGCTGCTGCCAGCATGTTTTAAAATTTTTGCCAGGGTGTCAGTTGAGCTGGCGAAAGAGGTGGTTCGCCAGTGCCACTCATTTTTCAGTATGCTGTTACGGTACAGTTCGAAGCAACGATTCCTTCATTTTTACAAATTTTGGCAATATTTCTTGGATTTTTATTGATATAATATGGAATTTTTGAAGCGAGACAATGTTTTCTCGGTAGTGACAACATTTTTTTAATTTTTTGCAATACGTCATTTTTGCTTAAATAAAATTGCAAGTGATTACAACTTTTGCACCGATTTTATTGCACTTTCTTGCTCATTTTTTTTAAAAAAAATAATATTTGTTTGCCATCAGGCAATCGCTGAAAATTTCTCTTTTTTTAACCATCGTTTAATGCTTATTTCTCATTAGCTTTTGTTAAGTTAAATAGAAAAAAAATAAAATTGCTTATTTGCTAAAAACTTGTTTAATTTGAAGCAATTTCATCGCTAAATCTCTTTTTCTCATTTTGAATTGAATTCAAAATTATGCCTTAAGGCAATTTTCCATTAGTTTAAATTCTTTTTTGTTTTGAGAAAATCTTCTAAGATCTTCAGAATTCGAAGTTATTTATAATATTTATAAATTTTGGAAATGTTTCATTCGCCCATGGAAAAGGATTGAAAATATGAAAAGGAAACTGCAGAAAAAACACAGTTGTCTACTGTTGATCAAAATGAGAACAGTCTAAGAATATTTAAAGTTTTCTTATAAGCGAAAAAATAATGGGGATGTAAATCAATTTTCTTTTATTATGCACCACTGTTTTGCATTTTCCTTGTTTTGAAATCCGATGATCTATTAAAATTCAACTTTATTCGAGCGATCCTCGTTAAATTTTTCTTTTCTGAATATTTAATCTAAGATTAAGAGGTGCAATAATCTCTCTTCTAGAAATAAGTGGTGATCGTGGTGTATTTTTCTCGGATCCTCATTAAATTTCTTTTCTGAATATTTATTCTAAAGAAGATTAAGCGGTGCAATAATAATCTAAAATAGAAATTATTTTTTCTCAATTTTACGTTTTTTTTTAAAAACTGAATGTTACTGGTGTAGAAACTACAAAAACGGGCAATTTATTCCAGTAGTCAACAATAGTAATGAATGAAAAAATTTTGATGAAAAATATTTTTCAGCTATTTCTCCATTTCCAATTTTTCAATTTCTCGGAATCATTTTTCATAAAACGCGAATTAAAATGCTATTCGAAAAGCGATTAAACAATTAATTTAATAAAATTTAATTTAATAAAATTCTTCCTTTCATTAAAAATTCAAATGATCGCGTTTCATTGTGAAATCGCTGAAAAAATCGCTGATGAAAAAGGATTTCATTTGTCTTCATTGTAATATTTTCCTTCTTCTAAGCCATCAAAGTTAATAATAGTTGACAGTGATAATCGAACTGATATTTATTCCACTCGTCTAACTTCGAATATTCGCCTCACTAATCATCAATTTTGACTTGTTTTTCGTTTCATCTAACGAAGAATTCGCCTCAGCGATCATCAGTTTTGACATATTTCAGAAACTTTCGCCTTTATCCCGTCTTTTATTTTTTTTTAAACTATCGACTTAATTAATTTTTATTTTATTTTGATTAAATTCTTTTAATTTTGAAGCGAATTAATTGCTAAACAAATGAATTAAACGTGAATTTAAAAATTTATGCAAATGTCGATGCTATTTTGCTGAAAATTTTATTATTTTCGAAATAAAAATCTATTTATATAGCATATAAAAATATTTCGATGAAGCATTTGGTCGATGCAACGAATTCCGATTGAGTTTTTCTCATTTATTAGTTATTTTATTTGATTTTGGGCTGTTATGGTATCTCATCCGAAAATTATCAATTCTTAAAGCACTTCCACTATATTTTATTACTTTCATTATCTCTTATCAGCGATGATAATGTTGTCGCTCGTGTGGAATATTATCACTTTAGATTATTATATTGATAGGGAATAATGAGCTTTTCGTAAATATATTGTTATATCGTTTGCTGCGTTCGCGATAAAGCCGTTTTATAATATTATTATTACTCTTCTTTATATTTTACTACTTTTGTTCATCGTCATTTGCTGTTGCCATTAATCTTTGTTTTTTGTTTTTTTCCTTTTCATTTTCAGAGAGAGAAAAATGATGGCAAATGAATGACGAAAAAAGAAATAGTAGATTATTGGTAAAAAAAAATAAGTTCGTCGTTTTTCCTGTTCGTTATCTATTAAAATAAAATTGCTAATACTTTTGAATTATCGATTTAGGTTTGAGCTTCGAAAATCTTTTGCCTTAAATGTGGCTTTTTATTATTTAAAATAAACAAATTTTAGTCGAAATTTACATCAAAAATTTTCACAAAAATTATTTTATTAAAGCATTTTACTAAGGCAAAAAATAAACCAAACAACAAAAACTCGATTTTAAATTCGTTGAAGTCTCTAAATTTCTATTTTTAATTTAAATTTGGTCATTCCGTTCTTTAAATTTGTTTTGCAGAGTTTTGTTTTGTTTGTAAAATTAGAAATACCGTCAAAAGAAATAAATTAGTTCGTCTTAAGGTAAGCAGCAGCATTCTGGATCGATCCCTATGTTCTGATAAAAATGAAACTTATCACTGGAAGTGAAGTTCGACCGCTCCTTAGAACTCTTTGCGTTATCATCGAGTGGCTCTTCGCTGAAAGTTGCAGCCAGTCAAATCAGAAGGAGAACAACGCGACTATTGCATGAAGATTGCATAACGTTCTTTATGGTAATTTATTAATTTTCCGCTCAGATTTACACTTTAACTTAATCTGATAATCTTTTTACTATTTTATTTTAACTTTTTTAATTTTGCAGATTTGTCGAAAATTTATAGAAATTAAAAATTTATGACGAATATTGAATTTTGGCATCGATTTAAAATTTTTTGGATTCAACTATTAAATTTTTTTTCTATGTGAATTTCCAATGAAAAAAGCAACTTATTCAGTTTTTTTTCTTTTTGTTGGATGAATGAATATGCGAGGAATTTATTATTATTATTACTATTATCAACATATGTCGATGGAAATTAGATCTCGGATTTATCAATCTTTTTTTAGCATCGAATTGAATTTTCGATTTTTCTGCTTTGCTTGTTCGCTGAACTTCCCACTGAATCGTTTAGTGCTATTTGCAACGACGCAAACAAATAGGTCTTCCCGTTGTTAGGTCTTTAAACGAGTGCCGACTTGTTGCATGCATATTCGTTTCCTCCTAACGACGTCTTATATTCTCAACGTCGATTACGGTCTTCTTTTCCCCCTGTTTAACGCCATTTTTATTTTAGTTTACTTTATTCATCGCTAGCGTGAGACGTTGTCTTTGTCAGAGAGTCATTTGTGTATAGAAATTTGAGTGGATTACCAACTCGATTGCTCATTGCATCTTTTTCTTTATTTTTTTTAAGTTGGTTGTTTTTTTATTTTTTCTATTTTAAATTTCCTGAGATTTGCATATATTGCAATATTCCGAGTCGGTTTGTACCCTCCTTTCCTTTTTTTTCAATATTTATTGGGAAGGAAGTATAAAAATTTCGAATTTATCCAAAAATGGAATTATTAAGTTGAAAATTTTTAGAATTAATTTGTATAAATTATTGATAATTAACGTCCATCTCTCTCATATAACTTAGTTCAAAAATTACTCGTAGGTTTCTCGTTAATTTCTTTCGGGGATCAATTTTAACACCTTAAGAATACGTTCTATAATAAAACAAATAAATATTGTAAGCCGCAGGCTATCAACGAGGAATTTCTCAGCGCTTACCAATAGATGGATCGCCGAAATCAACTCGGTTTTTTGGAAATAGGAAAATTGGTTTTTTAAATGATAAAATTCAGTTTTTCTTATGGACATGAAGGTTCCACGAGCGTTGCAATTTTTTTTCATTTTATGCCTTCGAATTGATGGACTATTATTGCACTACAAATTCTTTTTTTTTCGATTTTGTTGAAATGTCTCTTTTCTCTTTGCCAAATTTTTCAAAAATATTTTTGCTATTATTTATTGTATTTTTAAATGTTAGATTATTTAATCATTATGCATCATCGAATTTGGTTCGATCTATTTTTTATTGTTCTTAACACTATTATCGTTCTACGAACACATAATTCATCTTCGTGCGAAATAAGTCATTTTTTTTTATTTCAGTAACAACGGTATAAGTGATTAGAAAGATTATCGAATTATACGTAGTGAAACAAAGGCAGTACTAATGTCCGACTCGCGACCAGCTTCTACGCCACCACCGAATATGATCGCTTTACCGATTAACATGGAAAATGCGCGAAATTCTTCCGAATTTGCGAATATGACAATTGGTGAGCTATTGGGTAAAACGAAACGAATGCAAAACCAGGTTGATTGGATTTTCTTCTACTTCTTTTTAAATACCTTATTATTTATCGTTTAATAATTAATTTTATTTTTCACTATGCCTAATTGATATTTGCTAATATTTTGAATGGTTTCGTCAATATGAAATGTTAGTTTTTCCTAATTTTCTCTCATGCATATCGAATTTTAACAAATTTCCTTACGGACGAACTGCATTAGATTCATTTTATCATTATCATTTTGTCTTTCCAGTCTCGAATGGTTGCAGCGCATTCTCAGAATGTCTCTAAAAATCAACCATTCTCATCCAGCGGATTCGTTGCTTCGCAGTTATCAATACAACCAACAACCTCTAACCAACCTTTCAATAGAAGTGCTGTTTCTGTGCTATTTTTTATTTATGGGCATATAGTGTTTAGGGTGGATTTTAAAAATGAATGGTATGCTATTTGATAATGAGGAATCTCAAATAAAATTGTGGGAAATATTCATCTTTAGCGGTGGAGATACTGTTTTTTTTTCTTTGCTCAATGCTTTAATCAATATTATTCCATCTGTTCTGTTCTCACCACTTTTCAAGAGATTCAAAGAAGAATCCAAAGATTTCTGGCAGCATGAAGCGAAGCCATCAATTAATCACTCTTCGCTCTCCCTCGCATTTCGGAGTTTTTACGAAATCAGTGGAGTGTAATCCTCAATTTTCTCCAATGTAATATTTTTATTCAGATCGACTCTATCAGAGTTTGCGCATTGACGATAGCAAAACGACAATTCCTATTCGCAAAGTGCTTTCAATTCCTTCTTGCGATACGCAATTTAAGCGAGAAACTGATTGCAATAGAAGTGAACGTTGGTTCTAATTTTTTTAAAAATATCATCATTACTGGTTAAACTCGCTCCACTGGCTTGTATTGGACAAATATACCAGGTAGTCCCTTGGCGATAGAAGTAAGTCGCCAGCATCTCCCGGATTTTCGGATAGGTTTACTCCTGCGGAGAATAGAACCTCAGCATCGCTCTAAATTGAGCAGCAACCCACCAAGCCATTATATCCTTGGTTTTAATTTTGGTTCCATTCAAATATCTCAGTTTTAAAAATCCTATTTTTATTATTTTTTTACAATTACAGTCGCCTTAAGGAGATAACGAAGGGAGAAATATTGTCTTAAATTTGGATTCGTCTTTTTAATTACTTGCGAAATACGAAGTTATATCGTATATGGTTGTACTTACCATATTTTTTCATTGCTAATAAATAATTTATGTCACATTAAGCAATTCATATTGCATAATAAGTTGGATAATTGAAGTCCATTTACTTTTAAAGAATTGTTAATGATTGTTTTTAGTCATTCAATAATACTTTTTCATGAATTTTTTTAAAGAATACCGTATGCAAACTTGAAGAAATGGATAATTGAAATCCATTTACTTTTAAAGAATTTTTAATGATTGTTTTTTTAATTATTTAAATAATACTTTTTCTTGAATTTTTTAAAAGATTCGCATCGATTCTCATTGATTTTTTTATTAAAATTTTACGTTTTTTTTCCATAAACTTTTTCATAATTTTTTGCTTCTAAATTTTCTATTTTTTATTATTATTTTTTTCGGCTAAACATTTCTTTGGCTATCACAGAAATAAAATAATTCTAGAAAGAGTGATATATGGGACAATTTGTGAACAAAGTACAAAGGACTGGGAACAGCAGCAACAACGGTTTAATGATGTGCAGCTACCATTAAATGAGTCATATGTAAGTGCAAATTTTTTACTTGGTGAATGAGTTTCTTTCTTTTTAAAAGTGTGAGGCGTTTCGCTTATTACATTAATTCAAGAGAAGAGAATTGTCTGATTCCTCAGATCATAGATTTTTTCCCTTTAAAATCGCATAATGCAAATGAAAATAATGATAGTAGTTATGCTTTTTGAAATGTCTATTTAATATTATTGGGTGAATGGAGAAGCGAAAAAAAGGAAATAATGTTGTGAATGTTGTGAACGTCAAATATAGGTTGCTTTATCTATTTAATTAAAATTTCGAGTTAATAACTTTTTGTCATTTATCATTAATTACTATTTTCGTTGACACTGATGTTAATTAAATTTATTCTTTATTCTTCAATTTAGGCGACTAGTGGAATAAATCAAACGAGCGCGAATGCACTTGAACGAGTTCGCTTGGATGATCTCGCACAGCAGATCGATCCATCATCAGTTTTGGAGGACTCTGTTAAAGACATTTTATTGGAATTTGTCGATAATTTTGTTGAAGAGGTTTTTTCTATCCTTTTTTTGAACCAATGTTGTCGTAAAAGCCTCCTTAAGTAAATAAATCTTTTATTGGACAATCTTTCGTTTGCAACATTGAATTCCATTTCCATCAAATTTTACTTTTTCATAAAAAATTTTCAGCTTATCGAACGATCATGCAAAGTTTCGCGCCATCGAGGATCCACTATACTGGAAGCAAAAGATGTTGAATTTGCTCTCAAGAATTATTATAACTTTCCTCATATCAATAGAAGTGGTGGACTAGCAGCGGCACTTTTATCACCTGTGAACAATAGTCAGGATATTGCGTCGCACAATGCTGATTTTAATGCTCATAATCAACGAATGGCAATGATAAGGAAAACAATTAAGAAACCTTAAAAAAATGATTTTTAAGATTTTTTGCTTTGAATTCATCTGGAAGTTTTGCTTTATTATGTATGATTTAATGGTTTAGCGTTCACCATTTCTATGTGAGCTTACTGCATTTTTAGTGTGATAGGTGAGTTTTTATCGGGAATTGTTGGGGATAGAAGACATTCACCACCATCCAGATTCTTTGATGAATGGGAACTTTATTCTTATCGAGTCTAAATTTCTAATGCTTAGTAATCTAAGCAATATGCACTTGTCTATCATTTGTCGGATGTTATTATTTGAAAATGGATTCAAAAAAATGATCTATTATCATATCATTTATGATGATGTTGTTCAAATAAAAACATTGTAATACTTTTTTTCTGGAATATTTTTGATTTTTTTATTGGTGCTACGACTTGAATTTTGTTTGAGATTTGTTTGAACTGGTTGGTCTTTCAGTTTTATTTTTTGGCATTTAAAAAATTAAAAAATTTGGCTGATGATAGTTGTTGTCAAAATTTTTATTGTTTTTATTATTTTTCTGCTCAAATTCAAATGTTGCATTAATTTTTGTTTAATTTTTATGATCTCAGTTCATCATTTTATAATGCCTATTAATTTTTTGTCAAGTTTCAAAATAAATTAAGCGATTTAATCTTAATTTCTTTTTTCGATTCTCTCGATTTTTTTGGATAAATTTCGAGATCACATCGATTCATTTCAATGTATTTGTGTTTTTGTATGTGTCATCCGTATTTTCTGTCGGGAAGCTGTCATACTTTTTTTGTTCCAAATTCAGTGGAATCAAGAATATGCATTTTTAAATTTTTCTTATTGTACCATAAATAATTGGAGATATAGCTTTTGTTCTTAGATTTTTCGTTCATTGACTACCAGCAATCTCAGGGCAAAATAAGCATTTTTTTTATTTTCTTCTTATCCTTTGATTTTCGCTTGTTTGCCCATTGGTATATAATGTGTGTCTGATAAACAATTGTATCATCAACGTTGGGAACATAGAAAATAAAGCAGGTGCAGCATTAAAGATAAATTAAAGACATGCGAAGACTGAGTAGATTTGTTGCAAAAGTTGAGTTGTGTACGTGCAATTCCATTTAAAAATCTTAGTCTTGCATCACCCTCCTTGAATCCAGTATAATGGAATAATTTGATGAAAAGTTTGATTCTACGTTTCCGATGTTTAGTGTTTACTTAAGCGTTTTCTTAAAGCCACGCGAAGAAGAGGAGAACATGCATATTTTCTATATGTAATATTTTCTTTATCGTTATTCGTTGTCATTGATGTATTCGCAATGATTTCAGATTTTTATGGTACTTATCAAAGGTACATATTCAAATATCTGAATGAACAGAATAGATATGTAATGTCCCAAAAAATAAGCGTTTTGTATAAATTAAAACATGGAGATTATGAACAACAAATAATATAAGATTAAAGCCGTGCATAGAAAATAAGAGATCTGTCGAGGATACGGCAAATGATTTCTAAGTGGTTAACCGTAAATTTTGGCTAATCTACGCCGGCGTTGAACCGTCTTAAATTCACTTTTTTCGGTATCGTAGGTCCTTGAGAAATTTTCAACAATCATTGTTATCGGGAATGCAAGCACCAAAACACCCGATATGCTAGCGAAACTCGCTATTACTTTGCCAGCTGAAACAAAAGCGAACAAATTTCGTATTTTTATTTTACTTCCATGTATGTTTTACTCTATAGATTTATAAATATCTGATGAAAAATGATGTCAAAGTGGTTCACTGAGGAACATTAGTCGAAAATCACGAAATATTTTATGATATTTAATATATTTTATGAATTTATTTTTGTTCGAAGAAATCAAAGGCGATCGAGTAAATTTTGAATTATCTAATCCTATTAATCTTCCTTAGTCCCTTTTATTATCTCTGACTGAAATTTAGAATTTGTTCAGTTATAGAAATTTTGGTAACAAACCACAGTAGTGATATCGCTATTTTTGAAATTTATGGCCTGTGATTTTTGAAATTTGAAACCTGTTATCAGTATCAATATCAGTAAAAGAAAATACTTCCACATCATACTTCACTACATTTCTAGATTAGAGTGGAGAGTAACTCAGATTATCCCGTTGGCAGTTTCACATCCCACTCTCGGCAGGTGGTTTATTCCTGTCAGTAAAAAATCCGGGTGGTTGTCGACCCATTTTTACTTCTATCGCGAAATAAATTCCTAACCTTACTAAACCAGCATTAGCAAATAACAGCTAGTCAGCTAATACTAAGCAAAAATAGTATCCGACCACTTATTTACACCATATTCTTATTATATTTCCATGTGTGTGTTTTTTTTTAAGAGCTTACATATAACTGGTTAAACTCGCTCCGCTGGCTTGTCGCGTTGGACAAATATGCCAGGGAGATTGGCGATAGAAATACAGGTGAATATGAATATAGGTGAGTAAATATAGTATCACCGGATTTTTGGACAGGATTACTCCTGCGGAGAACCTCAGCACAGGCGCTTCGAATTTAACAACAGCCCACTGAGCCTTTTTATCCATATATGCTTTATTCTAGTGCTTTATAAATATCTGGTGAAAAATGTTATCATTGTGTGGTTCATTGAGGAAAAATAGTCAAATATCACCACGAAATATATTTCATAAAATAATTTCTCAGTCGAAAATTATAATAATCGACTAAGCTATCTGAATGCGTGAATGTAATTTGGTACGAAACTTACCAAAAGTTTGTGGGCAATAGTCGCCATATCCGACCGTTGTCATTGTTACTATGCACCTAAAAACACGTGTTTTTAACAAAATCATATTTGATTAGACAAATTAGCAATTTCTTATTTAAGGAATTAATTAATGGTAAATTTGAATTCGCTCATACGCAACATAAACTTCTTAAATTTATAGACTTACCACCAACCGGCATGTGCAATCGACCTGAAAATTTCAAATATGTTCAATTTTGAATTAAAGATATATGAATTAAATATGACCTATGAACGATTACGAAATCTTAAAGCATATTTAAATCAGAAATATTAGAAAGAATGAAGTAAATTAGTTGGAAAGATTGTTGATCACCTGAACTTCGTATTAGGCTCGTCACGCTCAGCAAAGTACATTAATGTGGAGAAAAATATAATTGCAGTCAATAAAAACAAAAATAACATTGACAATTCAGCAAGGCTGAAATTTATAATATTTTATCAGAATGATAAGAAGATTCCAGTTCGATCTCAGGCGACTACAACGGACTCACCTCTACCTCCAAGCGACTCTATGGCGGAATATCTGGTAACCAGTGAATGCTATTAATGTTGTTATGGTATACTCTTAGAAGAAAAAAATTGCTCCGTTCATCAATTCATGAGCCATAGTGGATAATACAGGAAAGAAATTGGATTAATTAATTGAAATTGGAAAAATAAGATTTCATTCATAAGATTTTTCAAAGAAAATTGCTAAGCTAATAGTTTAATTTAAACTTGAAAGTGATGACTTTAATATCTCCAATAAAGCGGATAGGCATGCAAGTAATTTTTCGCAAGGTTGCGAAATTTATCCATATTATCAAAGCAGTGCGACATAAATTTCTAACCTTTTAGGTGCAGTAGTGCTTTTCACCTGAACTATCTTTCACCTCTGCTTCCTAGAGATGAAAGCTGGTTTGTTCAAGTTTTGGAGCCAGAGAAAGTCTTAGTTGTAAATTCGCTATTTTACCGTAGAAAATATTTAAAATATAGTTGCATGAATGATCATCTACTTTGCGAAATACACTCGTTCGTCTAGAAACACAATTTACCTTGTTTTTACTGTTACACCGAAAGATTTGAGACCACTGGAATAGCGCGCTAACTTAAAGATGCGCGCAACTCGCATTATTCGTACTACTCTCATCACCATTGCCAAACCACGAAATTCACCAATCGTATGAGCACCAAGACCTTTAAAAATATCGAAATAAACTGTATGGCCTTCATCATTGCTTTTCTTTTCTTTTGAAATTTTAAGCTCTTATAGTTCCATCAACATATATAAAATTCCTAAGTAGCAGCATAAATGGAAACTGGATGATCAAATAGTTTCTGATTGTCAGGTATTGAAGCACTGCCTCCTCCGGTAGGAATAAGCCTATCATTATGAAATGCGTATGGTGCTGGAGACCCACTTCTATCGCCAAGTGATTTCACGAAAAGAATTTCACAATAAAAATCATAAAAAATAGCGAGCGAGTTGAACCAGAAATGCCGAGCATTTTAAAGATCTAAAAATTTCAAAATTCGACTTACCTAAGCTTTCTAATGTAATTTCTAAGTAATACGGTATGATTGTTAAACTATCAATAACATTAAGAGGTTCGCGAATAAATCTATTTTTTGTTGTACAAACCAAAAATCGAGCAAAATATTCCACTGTGAACCATATGACACATACCTTGGAAATTTTTTCAGTAAATTTTCTGCTTTTTTATAATATTTTTGCTTATAGAAAGTTCGAGTTAAATCCAATGGAATTTTTAAAATTAGGAAATGAGGAAAAAGGAATAAAAAGAGAAATTCATTTTTTCCTCCTTCTTCTTTTGTTTTCTCTAGATTTGGGGTGCATCAGCTCTTCAATGTATAGAAAATTGCCACTGAGAATCGAAACTTGGGTACCAGCTCACCCACCTCAATTCGTTGGACGCCTAAGGCCAAAAACACAAGTATGTTGTTCAATTTGGAGACTGAGGTAGTTTGTCCTTAAAAAAAAAAATTCAGGTTGCAGGCGATTCGTCTTTACTTCTATCGCTTCCTTGTATATCTATCTATCTAACTAGCAGTGGTGAATACTCTTCAAAAAAAATTAGGGGATTAATATAATATGATGTTTTGTCGCCAATTGGCCTCCCTTCCTCTGAAAAATCATAATTTTCCGTCTTTTTATTGAACTAGGATTCAAATTTAGAAAAATTCATTTTTTAATGAAAAATTCTTTTAAAACAATCAATTTTTTAATATTCTCATCAATGGTCGAATTCAAAAAAGTTAGTTTTTTAAAAGTTTTAACAACAGTCAAATTTGTAAAATGTATTATTTCGTTCTATGATCCTATAATTTACTTACCAATTCTAAATATTCAAGACCAGAATGCGTCCTAAAGACAGTTTCTTTCCTACCATTAGTTTCATCTTGATGAGTGATAGTTTGGAACTCGGGTAACGATCCAAGTATCATACCCGTCACTGACGCCATTACCATTGTGATACTTATTATAGCAAATGCCTATAATAAAATATTTAATAAAGCCACTATAACACGAAATGATGCTAACTTTGGCAAGTGTCCCTGTGCTAGGATCTTCCATAAAAGCCCATAATTTCCTTCGCTGAGCTGCCCAGCACACTCCTTCGAACTGATCACCTAAAATGCAAATTAAGAAACCTCATAGAACTTATTCATATTTTAAAATGGTTTAAAAATTAGACTTTACTAGAAACTATAATATACGTCTTCATTTACAATTTTTGACTGGGTGCTTGACTAATGAGAGAGCCATTTAAAGATAATACAGGTAAATTTCCGGTATAACCCAGTACAGGCTTATTATAACCAAAGTAAGGCCAAAAGTACACACATACTAGCTGGCATAAATAAAAATTTTTTGGTATTTGGAATTTAATTATATACTTTCTTTTTTTAAAGCGTAAAAATGCATCATAAGTATAAAAAATTATTGAAATGGGCTAATAAATTTTTTCCCGCTGGTCAGTAGTAAAAAATATCTGAATTCTTAAGTAATTACCATATTCAATGGATTTAATGTAATTTTGGCCATCCTCTTCGTCTTCGGAAACATCGATTAAAGGCATGCAACATGGCGCGAAAAAACTCCTGCAATTCTAGAACCACTGAAATAAGTAGAAATAAGGAAAAATTGCACATTTCTCAATTTTTTTACGTAATAGATCCGAAATAGATCGGATTTGATACTTTAATTTGAATCTGAAATAGTTTAAAAAAATTGAAATTTAGCACCGAAATTTCTTTTTTCAAGAATCTTATGGATATTTCCAGAAAAGTTTCTCAATTTATGCTCTATTTATAGATAAATTATTTCTTTAATGAACGTATAAATTAGTTTATCGGTTTTTAATGCGATTCTTAAAAAACGAAAATTTTTCTGTGAGCTGAAAAATAACTTTTTAATCCTCCAAAAGTCTAGTTCTTTTATAAGTCGTTCATGGCAGATTTCACCCTGTCGATGGAAATGACCTGTCGTTAGGAAATCATAAACTAGTTCAAATATTCTTCCTGAGCGTTCAAAGAAGTATTCCTGTGTCTCCGAAATAAAACCATCGCAATATTCTAGGCGTTCTGTATGAGTTTGACGACAAAATTGAGCGAGGAGTGACATTGGACATCGATACTAAATTTGGATTAAAATACTGATATTGATCAAACTCAAACCTCTTTTGATCGGACCTCTTCAAAACATCCGAAGTTAATTTCTTTCCACTTGGACATGTGTTTACCAAATATCTTTTCCAGTCTCAAATTATCGTTTTTTTCCAAATAAATTTTCAAAACAAACAAAAGATAGAAAAAAATTAAATACGACAGAAATTTTTTAGCATAAGTCTTCTTTCAGCAAATTTTTTGTTGATTATTTATATATTTGATATAAAATAAAATTGCCTGAATTGTGGTACTTCGTATCCGATAATGTCCGCCACCAATATTCAGAAGCAAATGAAATTCAACCGTTTCTTCATTTCTTAGTTTCACTTCACTTTTTTCACTAAATATATAGCAAATGAGATATTTAATGCGTATGGAACTTTTCCAGCATTATGACTTTTAAATAAAATATTCATTTTGTTTCTTTCAATTTATTATTGTTGTGATGCAGTGATGCTTAGCGCAGAAAAATGCTTTATGTTTGAGTTAAAATGAACAAATATATATATATTTGATCTCATAATAAGTTAAAAGATAATCAAGTGATAATGAAGATACTTAAGACAAAAGTTAAGAAACATTTTTTCTTCCTTCCTATCAACAAATCCTCCCAAAAACTGGCAAATAGATAATCTAATATTTCCACAGAATAGATGGATGATTGACGAGTGAATATAATCCGAGTGACTTTTCATCATCCTTCAACTTGGTACGATGATGAACGATGAACGATAAACTAAACATTAGAATAATTATAGAACTGAAATTGCATTTTTTTTTCACTTACTCTTGACTCTTGACTGACTCTTCTAATTTATTTTGAAATCTCTCATTATTTCATGCATAAAGTTTTGCAAGATTTCTTCGGAATGCCAGGAAATAGGTAAGATTGCTATCTTAGCAGTTTTTTTCATAAAGAGACTTCTTAATTTATTCTTAATTTAAGTTGATATAAATATATAATTTGTGAAGGAGCATGAAGAAAGGTAGAAAATTGGGTGAATTACATTTCGTTCACGTCCACAAACAGCTGTTATAAATGGTGGATGGGATATATTAAACTATGGATAAAATATTTTTCACAACCTTCAACCCCCGCTATTCAGATAAAGCTTGAGTGTTTGCTCATAAATCGCAAATCCGAAACGAAAGAAATTTGTTTATTTAAATCAGTTTTGCTTTTATAAATATTATTTTTAGTGGATAGCTTTTTTCTTTGAATTTATTTAGCACTGCGCCTAAAATTTTTGTCGTAGGAATTTTATTATCATTAAAATTTACTATGGAATATCATGTCGGCAAATCCATTGATAAAATCGAACAGTTGTTGATTTTTGACAAACCTATCCCATTGAAAGATTGTTTTTTTTAAATTACAATCTTAGTGATCTCTCATCGTCAATAGCTTTAATCAATTTATTAGCGATGACCTGATAAAAGCTATTAATAAAACCGATAACCTAAAGCTTATCAGTGATTTGTTCTAGATTATGATTTAAATTATTTCTCTAACTTTTTTTTCTTTGAAAAAGGATTATTTTGAAAAATTTTTTCCATGCTTTAAAATTTCAATTCAAGCCAATAAATTTTTTTCGTTTATTCTTCATTACGTATAATTTGTAACAAATAGAGCCAAATCTATGCAAAATAAGTTTTTAAGTATTAATAAGTCCCACTAAGTTTTCTGACCAGAGGGACACAAAGAAGAAGGACAAAGGATGGCTTTTCTGAAACTAATGTCATTACTGATGAATATGAAAAGTATTAACTACATCGACCTTTAATAGCCGCTGTATAAAATTTATATAAATCTATATAAAATTCTCCTCAATCACATTCACAAGAGATATGATGTGTAATACATAATGTTCATGGTTTTCAGTAAATGCCTTGAGACATTTTTGTCCTTTTTCATACTTCCCAAATTTTATTTATTGCTAACAAAAATGGTTCATTCGAATTCGAATTAACGAGTCGCGCACTCGCATCATAATTATGGACTAAATAAAGGATGAAATAAAGAAAATTTTGCGAAAAAAAGTCGAAAAAATTGAAGACGAATGTGAAACTCTGGAAATGCAAAATTTTTATCAATAATTCACCATTTATCTCGTATTAAAAGATTCTTTATTTTTTAAAAATTATCCTCTAAAACACGTGAATTGATCAAAATAAGTCCAAATTTTTTTGCCAAGTGAATTCGCCGTGGCAAAAATGCGAATGCGAGCTAATTAGCATAATTGCTTTTTTAGGCTTGGCAGAATGCAAGAACACCGATAAAAGTAGCAAAATTAATTTTAAAAAAAGTCAGAGAAAAATGAATTCTTCTTACTGCGATTCGTCGCTAAGCGATAGTAGTCGTTTATCAGTTCGTTTGAAGACATAGTTCAACGAATTGGATTTGTCAAAAATCTTTCTTTCCGATGACCGTCGTTGATTTCGATTAGCACTGTGCAATTCGTTCTCTGCCCACATTAGATAAAGCACTGCATTTCTTCCTGAACTCCATTTATTAGTTGATTGAACGACGAGAAAATATAGTTCTTGGCACCTCTTTTGAACTCTTTATGAATAAATTAACCCTAATTTATTCACTTACTGGTTTGTAAATCCGTTTCAGACATGTTCAACGTAAAGAGATAGGATAGGTGTTTTTTCAACTCAAATCTAACCATCATAGGTTTGACTCCTGTCTCATATGAGAGTAAATCTGCCACTTAAAGTGAAATTCGGGCAATGCTGGCCGCTTATCTATTTTATTACTATCCTTAAATGATTTCCTGGCAAAGAATTTTCAGTCTAAAGGCCAGTGTAAACAGCCAAACCAGAAATAGTGAGTGCTGTTAGAGGAAGAAGAAAAAGAATTCAGAGTAAACAAATTCATTGAGCCAATGAATTCTACCTTTGCTATACCCTAATCATTTTTTTGCAATATTATTTGATAGCGAGGGTTGTTCTGAATTCAACGAAAAAACATATTTCATCATTTGTCAAGCACAGTTACTAAAGGTACTGCTTAATATAGTTGAAAAAACAAAATTCAATATAAATTTGAGGTGTAGAATAGCCGAGCTGATAGTAGTTCAGTGTTCAGTTATCGTTCGAGAGGCAAGAGTTCTGCTCTTGCTTACGATAGGATTAAATCTGGCATTGAAAAATCCGAATGATGCTGCGGATACATATATTTCCATCCTCTTTCTGGCCTAAATGTACTATTCCATTCTTCATAAATAATCAAAAATGCTGATTATTACAAGAAATAAATCGGCATTTTTGTAGCATTAAATTTATTAAAAAAATTTATGTAAAAAGTATTACTGAATAATGATAATTTTTTAAAAAATTTAATCAAATATCAAATTTAATTTCATTAAAATCATTAAATTCTATTCACTTAAAAAATGTTTTCAGGAAGTTCGTCAGAATTTTTCGAGCTATTTTTACAAAATTACTATCGTCTGTAGAAATTTGTAGATTCAAAATCATATTAATTTGACTTGAAATTTTGAACAAAATTGTAGAGAACCTAAACCTTAAAAACTTTATTTACTTCAGATTTGTCCTTTCTTCTGGCCATTATTGTTGGCAAAGGGAGGTATAAATTATTGAATTTTTAGAAATAAATAATTAACGACCTAAGAAAGAATTCACACCTAAAAAAATTTATAAAACGATTCTTTTTAGAATAATAATCTTTTAACTCTTTAATGCGGAAATTCTTTTGAGGCCGAACAAAATGTAAATAATAAAGAGGGGTATTTGAGCAAAAATAAAGGTCCCACAGACTTCTCTGCACGAAGCATAAATAACATGAATAACATGAAAATGTACGAAAATATTGGCGACAAAGACGGCATCACCAAATTAATGTCGCCACGTGGTTGAAAAAAAACCCAAGAGGGATGAAGCTTAGAAATTTTTGTCAGGAAATCATATAAAAAGGATTTTGTCAGTGAACTATGATCAGCAAAAGAAGAAGGCTATGTCTAAGATTCCAGTTTCTTTGGTAACCATTAAATATGGGCATTCGAGAATTTGAAAAATTTGTGGAAAAAAATCTTCAAAAATAATCATTCAAAACAAAAAAACAGGAAAAAAATTAAGGAATAAGAAAATTTAGCAAATTTAATTTTGATTAAATAAATTATATTGATAAGGCTAAATAATGCAAATAAAATATTGATAAGGCTAAATAATGCAAATTAAAATGCAAAATTTCAAGGTTTTAATTCGGGTTTTAATAAAAATTTGCTCTTTTTTCAGCTCTTTTCCACGAGCAAATCATGGACTAAATTATGCACTAAAATTTCTACTTGGAAAATTCATGGAATTCATTCATTTTTTTTTAATTATTTTAATTTTCAAACATTTCAACATTACTGTGGGTGACAAATTTATGTCAATTTTTATATTTCTAATAATAATTTTTTTACTTTTAGTATACATCTTATCATAGTACAAATTTTTTAGATTTTTTTTGTAAAGGAACCTATGACCGGATGGCTTCTTATCAGTTTAAGAAAATTTTGAAATAATTGTAATCTTAACTCTAGCAGAAATAAATCTAAATAATTTTATTATAAAATGTTCAAGGCCCATCCGTTCTTCTATCCAAATCTGACCTTCCGTTAAAAATATCATTCTAATATTAATCGAATAAACCTGACCAGAAATAATGAACGTTAACAATTAAATAATTAGCTGATGCTACCAACAGCAATAAAAATCAACGAAATTGTTTGAAATAAAAATTTTACTTCTTTAAATTTTTGTAATGAATTATTCTTAATTAATAAAATTCCGGGTGGTGCTGGCGACTTGTATTTTTATCACCAAGGAACTCTCTGGCATATCACTCCTTAGTGACCCTCTGATCACTATATTTCTTTTATTTCATATCTATATTATATGCATTATAGATACATAAATGTTTTTCATTTACATTTTTGAAATTTA